ATCAGTGTTGCCCGAGTACTACTCGCTGTGAGTAGTACTCGGCGAATACCCGAGTACTACTCTACTCGGGTGATATTTTTGAGTACTCGGGTATTCGCCGAGTACTACTCTGAATACTCGAGTACTGCCAAGCCCTTGGCAAAGAGGGGTAATATAGATTGTAGAATAGATAATTGAAGCTTCTACTTGAGCGTTCTGTATTACTTCCTGTAATGAGTGACTCTTCGCTGTCGCCGGTGCCGGCTGAGTATCAGTCTGATGCTTTAGAGCTGCCGCCCCTTATTCCAATGCCCCTTATTTCGATGCCGCATATGCCTCTAAGAGTTCAATTACCTGATTCTACATCAATACTCTTTTCCAAAAGACTATTCTACTGTACTTTATTGGATACAGTACCTGCTAGAATCCAATACCAATGCCTTCAAACCAATTGTGGATATACGCCGAGCCAGCCCCTAAAGAACCCAACGACGAGCAATCTATAGAAGCATCTTTAGAAGCAGCACCCATCGGTGCATGCAGAATACAATACAATATCTTCAATTCGAAGCTCATCAACACCCTCTACTTCTGCTTCTGCTTTCTTCCAGCCCCGCCAAGCACCTAGTAATGCACCAAGTTCGTCGAAATATAGAGAGCTTGTTCTCTCTTTTATAGTATTAAATAACCTACCATTACGCCTTATTGAAAGCTAATCCTTCCGGCAATTAGTTCACTATCTAAATCCTATAGTCTTAACAGTTAGTAGAACTACAATTAGACGGGATCTATATCGACTATTCTGCTATTATAAAGCACAGCTTTAAGTAGAATTACAACAGCATATCACAAGCAGTAGACGACTGGCAATAACGACAGATACTTAGTCTGCTCGGAACTATTCTAAGTATGCAGCAGTTACAGTACACTAGATTAATGATAATTAGCAAATGAGAAATACCATACTCGACGTTATATACCTACAAGAGCCAATCCACTCTAGCGAATACCTTGCTAAACAGTTGATAAATGTGACGGACGATTACAGTATTACACCTGTAATCTTTACTATTACAAGAGATAACGCCTCTACGAATACAACTATGCTATTAGAATATAAGAAGCTAGCTTTAGTACAACCTGTTACTCTAAAACAACCATGGGCTTTTACAGCAAAAGTAGGAGACGTACGCTATATTGGGCATATTATCAATATTGCTGTTCAAGCTACTTTAGCCTCTTTAAAAGCAACACTAGATGAAGGCCTAGAGGCATATCGGCTTGAGATTAGGGCAGCACGAATACCACTTACTTCTGAAAATGATATCGTTACTGTTCTTGCTAAGCTCTAGCGTCATATATATGTGTTTCGGAACCGCCGCGGGTAGAAAGACGCCTTAAAGAATTAGTGTAAAGCTGCGAGTATCAAAGTCTGTCGGTTGACTCTTGATATGCTAGTCTAATGGAGCTCAACTTATCATATGATTGATATAGCTTTAAAGCTTTAGGTTCTAATTACAGCTTTATGCGCATTACAGCAACTTGATATTAGTATGAGAGATATTGCTTTAACAGCAGTAGACTAGGCTACGCTACATGACTTATTAAAGCTATTCTATATCTTCGTCCGCCTAACTAAGAAGTTACAGGGCTCTTCTTATCTATCTCTCAACTACGCTGTTCCGCAGTATATAAGGATGATTAAGAAGCTTGAAGATATGAGAAGTGAGCTACTAGAACGAAGCCCAATTGCTACTACTACGTCAATTGCGTTAAAGAAGCTTAATGATTACTATACTCTAGCTACAAATCAGCAACAGAGCTACTCTACAATTGCTACTATCTATGATCCTCAGTATAACTTCAACGTCTTCAATATTATATAGAAAGATAGCACGCACTTAACTAGGAAGAATAGGGCAAAAGCATAGTGGCAGGACTGCTTCTATCGATATTTAGGCCGCGAGTCTGATATTTAAGCAGCAGACGTTATAAATAGTATTGAAGCTAAGGATCTAGATATAGAGCAAGCTATAAATATCGATATCGACTTAGAAGATAAGCTATACGTATCACAAAGCCGCTATAATATTAAGCTAGAATAGAAGCAATAGATGAAGGAGCCGACAGTTGGTAGGGATACGGATATTCTTAAGTATTAGCAGAGTAAGCAATACCAATATCCATTGATTGCTTCTATTGCAAGGGATTACCTAGCTATTCCAGCTACCTCAGCAGACTCAGAACGAGTATTTAGTGTCGGTGGTGATATTATCACAAAGAAACGGAACTGATTATCGCCTTCTACACTTAGATATCTACTTTGCTTACGGAATTGGGGTGTTTTATCACAAGGCGACGACGAAGACAGCGGCGACGATGCAGATAATGAGAGTTAGAATAGTAATATACAGTTTTATATCAATATCTATTTTAAGCTCGAGTACTACTCGAGGTATTCGAGTACCGGTACTCGAATACCGGTACTCGAGCTTCAATTTTCAGTACTCTACTCGAGGATGCTCGAGTAGTACTCGGAGCGGTATTCGGGCAACACTGATTCTCATAAAGGTGGTTGAGTTATAAGAACCATTTTATATTATATTCACGACCAGCGGATCTACGGGAAGGTTGGAACATATTTGTTTATTCTTTTTTTTGAGATCCTTTCTACAACCTTTTCTATCATACATACTAGTATACTATTCTTCCCTGCCGGAGAGCAGCCGTTCCATAAACGGACCGATCCGTGGGAATCTATCATTATTCGCAAAACACCCCGCTTTCAACCAGCGGACGACCCGCGCCTATCATATCGCACAGCCGTCCATAACAAAACATCACATATCATACAAAACCGCTACCTCTCCCTTCTATTACGTTGGCGGTGCTCCTTTCCTCGTTTCGCACGGCTCTTCTCCTTGGGCAGTTCAAGCGGCGTATCCTTCACTAGCTCCATCATAAGCCCAAGCATATACTCATCAATCGACCCCACTGGGCGTCCCCATGCATCGCGCTCCTCCTCCGACACCACCACGCCATTAACCATAATCTCCGGCGCGGGCGTCGCCCCCGTGGCCGGCGTGCCAATGTCATCCATGGGCGTGTCTGGTCCCGAGGCTCGCGGCGTCGGCGCAGCAGTGACAGCCTTCTCTGCGAAATCCTCAACGTCAGCCTGCGTCTCCTGCGCCGCGGCCTTGGCGGCAACGACATCCTCGGTGTCTTCTGCTGCCTCAAGCACGCGCTGCACATTGGTGCTGTTATCCGGGCCACCAAGGACGCGGTCCATAGCTGCGCTGGCGGCCGCGTCGGCGTCTAGGAGAGACGTGTCGGTGACGACTTCTTCCGCGGGCTTGGTGAAGTAGTCTGTTGTGAAGGCGCCCTCTTGGATGACGACGTCGTCGAGCATGCGCTTCTGGTTCGCTTTGCGCAGGATATTGGCTTCGATGGTGTGCTCGCTCACGAGACGGTAAATGTGCACGTCGCGCGTCTGGCCGATACGATGGGCGCGGTCCTGACACTGCTTGTCCATTGCGGGATTCCAGTCGAGGTCATAGAAGATGACGGTATCGGCACCTGTAAGGTTGATACCGAGACCACCCGAACGAGAAGACAGGATGAAGGCGAGAATACGCGTGTCGTTGTTGAAGCGATCGGTAAGAATCTGACGCTGCTCGATCTTGGTAGCGCCGTCAAGGCGGAGATAACGATGGCCGTGGATGTTGAGGAATTGCTCAAGAATATCGAGGACTTTGGTCATCTGTGTGAAGATGAGAGCGCGGTGACCGCCAGCTTGGAGACGGCGCAGCAACTTGTCTAGGGCTTGTAGCTTGCCGCAATCGTACTGCAAGAGTCGCTTGTCGGGGAACTGGACGGAAAGTCGCATGCGTGCTTCGTGGAAGGGATCGGGCTTGTCGCGGTGAGGCGCAGTCTGGAAGTACTCCACGCCGCGGCGGGAGAGTAGCACTGGAAGTGCGTCGGGTGCAACAATGGGAGGCGTGATACATGCGAACTTTTGGATATAGGGTTCGAGTTCCTCAGAGCGTTGCTCTAGCGTTAGAACCATGTCTTTCAACACGCTCGACGACTTCCAGATCCACTCAAGCACCTGGTCTCGTCGGGTGGGCCGCTTTTCGAACAATCGAGGGTTAACCCCGAGATCAAAGCGTTTGACAAGGCCCTTGCCATACATCGGTTTTGCTTGTCGCCGTAGAGCATTGAGATATACGATGTGCTGTAGCTCTTCAAACCGACTCCATCGCGATGCGCTTTCTAGGAAAACAAGGTTGGATTTGACAGTGGACGGATCCATATTTGTCATGCCATATTGAGCACGGAGACGTTGGGCCTCACGCATGTCCATCAGAACTCGCTGCGCCGTCAACATGTTGCTGCGCTCGTTAACAGCCAGGGATAAATGCTCGTTCCTTGTAGGCACTAGATTTAAAAAGCCCAAGCTGACTGTGCTCATCGGATCTTGCCATAGAAGTTTGCTACGGACCATCAAGTCTGTGGCCTGAAAGCTAGCAACAGCCGACTTCTTCATAGGAAACGAGCTAAGAATAGGCCGTTCTAGGAAGAGATCCGGGTGGTTGCAAACTTTCCTCAGTTGCATCAGACAGTTGATAATCGACAGGTAGTTTCCCGACGCGAGAGTTTCGCGGGTACCAGACCTGCTCAAAAATCCGTCGTATAGCTCCCTTTGTCGCCTAGATAGTCGACAGTACTCGACATGCTCATACTTGGCTGGCATTTGCTTCTCGACGTCCGCCTTCATCCTCCTAAGAAGATACGGTCGAAGAACTTTGTGCAGCTTGGTGATGATAGCGCGAGCCTCGTCATCCATTGTTTCACGCCCATTCTCAAGGATCTGCTCTTGCGGTTTCTTGAACCATTCAGAAAACTCTTTTAGGTCTGCAAACCCGCCGATACCCTGCTCCGTGCCGTCAGACGGCATCAGGAAGAAGAGCAACGACCAAAGCTCAGTGAGGTTGTTCTGGAGCGGAGTTCCGGTGAGAAGGAGCCGTGCTCGTGTGTTAAACGTAAGAAGGGTCTGCCACCTCTGGGAGCGGAAATTCTTGATGTTATGGGCTTCATCTAGAATCATGTAATGCCATTTCCGACGTTTGAAGACCTGTTGATCTTGTAGGACGAGTTGATACGACGTAATACAAACATTCCAGGTGTCCACATCATTCCAGCCCTGACGCTTCCGTTTCCTTTCTTCTTGAGTGCCGTAATATGCGAGAATTTTGAACCCAGGACACCACTTCTTAAACTCCATCTCCCAGTTCAGCATGACACTTGTCGGGACAATAACCAAATGAGGGCCCCAGACATGATGCTCGCACGCCAAATGGGCCAGTAGTGCGATGGTTTGGATGGTCTTGCCGAGACCCATCTCATCTGCAAGAATTCCGTTCGTATTATTTGCATACAGCCCCGCAAGCCAATCTAAACCATAGTGTTGATATTCTCTCAGAGTTCCCCTTAGTAAGAATGGTACTGGAGTTTTCAAGTTCGATGGTGTTTGGGGAGCTACGGTGGGCGTAACTGGACCGCTTGTCTGCTCTATGGACGAAGCTGACTCGGCATCTGAGGGTTTCGTCACAGAAGTCCTTGGGGTGAGCTGAGTGCTGTGATCTGCGCTGGCAGCTTCGCCTTCGGCCTCGGAGGCAGCATCGACGTTCATGACTTCGGATAGGGGGTGTTGTGGATTGTCATCTATCTCCGCACTCGCCTTCTCCTCCACATCGGTAGCAGGAGCAAGAGATGATTGGGGATGAGACGCGTCTGGAATTAACGACACCTCATCATCCTCGTCGAGCATATCTTCATCTTCCGCCGCAGCTGATGGCGTAGATGGCGTTTTATCCACGCCCATCTCTGCAAGATCCGAAGGTGCAAGGAATCCCAAGAGACTGGCATCTCCTTGATCGTCACCGTCTTCTTCCGATTCATCCTCCTCTTCCTCATCGCTGTCTCGTTCTTCATCACTGGATCCCATATCGTCATCCATATCGACTGATTCGTCCGTTTCATCTGCTTCGGTTTCACCGTTGATATTGCTGGCCGTGTCTAATAATACATCTACGTCGGATCCTTCTTCGTTTTCTTCGTCGACTTCCATGCTCACAGGGGTTTCCGGGAGACTAGAGTACTTCTGTTTCAATTCTTCCAGCGTCAAGTGCTCATCGCCCCCTTTGTCCTCGACGTCGCGTTCCTCGTCAGCTTCCGACTCTGATGATGACATATTACTGTCACTTTCGCTGTGATTTTCATCGGTTTGATCTTCTGCCGATAGATCATCATCTTCGTCTCCCTCTTCTTCGGAACTGGGCACATCGGAGTCCTGGTGAGCTCGCCGCGCCTCAAGCTTTTGTGTGGATAGGTCGACAGCCTCGTTCAGAGCTTTGCGCACTCTGACCTGCTCCTCCGCCTCCCATTGTTTGAGACGCCTCTTATTCACCTCGGCCTTGACATTGTCCCAGGTTATTTGCATTGCCCTCACAACCGACCTATATCGTAATTCGACTGCCTTTTGCGCCTCTGCCTCCATTTCTTCGAGAGACTTAGGTTGGTTCCTGTGCCACTCATCCCTGCAAGCTTCGGCAAGGCGCTTCGCATTGCGCTTGTGTTTCTTGTGCTCCTCAACCATTAGTATCCTGAATTCCGTCACAGCACGGACTAAGTGGTCTTGGTGAGAGTACTGTCTTGGTATGCGCTTGGTGCTTTCTTGCTCTTCCGGCCTGTATGCGGATGAAACTTCTTCACTCAGGACACCACCCGGCAAGGCCGCGTCTTCCATTCTAAGAATTAACCTGGCTTCTCTCAATGCCATCTCATCTGTATACCCCACATCATCTTCCGCAGAAAAGAGACCCCCTTCCTCAATAGGTTGGTTGAACGCTTTTTGTATGTATTCCTCAAAAGTCGGATATTGTTTCGGTCTTCGAAGAACTAAATCGGGGTGTACGAGCGGCAGAGTCGGCGGCTTAACCTTAAATCGTATACGGGGCGATTTCGTCTTGGACTCGGGGCTATAGCCTTCTATCGCATCCTCGTCATTCGGCGTCTCCTTCGAACGGATATCCGACGCCCTCGCAGATCGGCGTATTGTCGTTGGCGTGCCCCCGGGTTGAGACATGCGTTTCTTGTACGCTCTCTTGACACGTACGGGAGGTGGCGACTGTTCATTTTCGCTGGCCTCCGGTTGCGACGCCCGTTTCTTGTATGCTCTTTTTACAGGAGCTGGTGACTCCTCATTGTCGCTGACCTCAGGCTGAGGCACTCGTCTGTTATAGGCTCTCTTGATACGGGCAGGAGGCGATCCCTCATTGTCGCTCAAGGCGTGTTGTGACCCCGTTTTCGCTGGCGATTTATGCGCGTGGCCTTTCCCTGGCGAGCTTCCCAACTTGTTATTCGACATATTTGTATCATGCTTGCTATTCGCCGGTAGCGATTGCCTCCCCTTGCTGAGCTTGTCCGCGAAAGAAGTTGTCTGCGAGGCGTGTCGAGTCTGGCGTTTGTTTGATGGAGGTTGCAAAGTGAGAGGTAACTGGTTTGTCCGACCGGATTTTCGTTTTCCATCCTGAGTGAAGGACGAGGGGCCCTCTGCAACTATCTTTTTCCAAGGTGGCGAGTTGTCCTTTTTACGCGTTAAGCTTGATGGCGTGCCTTCACTGACTCTGCGCCTCTTGGGAGGTGGTTCGTTCTGAGGGGCGCTTTCACCGTGTCCATTCGTATTCGGCGTCGTTTCATCATCGGGCGGAATATCTAATGTAGCCTGTTAAAATGTTTGTGCTTTGTGGTTATTATACTTTCGTTGATGTGGAAATGCATACCAGAAATTGCTTGATGTTCCGTCGTCTCAGACGCGATCCCCGGCATTTCTACGTGGCGTGCGCTCGACACTACCGTGTACAGAGCGAACCATGCATTTGTAGCGCCAAAACTGGCATCAAACGATGCAGATGACCTCAAATATTCTTCATACAAAGTCTGAGTATGCACAGGGCAAAATGTCGGTTGTTGTTGCCTTCAAGGTGATTATTTGACGATTATGGACGCGAGAGAAATCTAAATGGGGATGAAGTAAGCCGCAGATCGGGATTTAGCGAATCTAAGCTAATCGCGGACGACGACATTACCACCACTCATCGAATAGCCCAGAAAGGTGCAAATCGCAACAGCCTTCAGTCCCACAACAGTACGTCCACGCGCCATTGGACTTAGCTATCCATTGCTAACAGCTTGAATAGATGCTCTCACGACGCATTGGTCGCATCCAACGCCTTGGGGCTGTCGCCCAGGTAGCTCGCCCTGCGGGCGCGATCCAAAAGCGATGCCTCTCCCAGGCCGACGTTGAGGATCCGAACATGGTCAGTCCACTCGGAACGATGAGTTGCATGGTATTTCTAGTATTGAGACTGATTTTTCATCTGCAGAACGGAGGCTACGTGAACCCACCGGCTATCAAGCGCCAATTCCGCGACCCCCATGGAGACTGGTGGGATAAACAACAGCGTCGTAACTACGGCGAGCCAGTACATGAAGACGATGATATTCTCGGCCTGTTCTCTCCAGAGGAATATACGCACACCAAACCGGCTACTGCCTTCTTCCAGATCGGCTGCTTCATCACCGCAGTGTTTGGACTTTGCGGCGTAGTCTACGTCCTCTACCCGGACAAGCAATCATACCCGAAGGAGTATGAAGGAGGATTGGAGAAGGAGCTCGGTGGGCCAGGAGTTGTTAGGGTAAGTCGAATGCTCAATGCGATGTTGAATACGATAACTAACTTTAGTATAGGCACGAAAGGCAGGAGATCCATACGAGTGATTTAGGACTTGAGTGGGACCGAATGTATATACACCACACCAATGCAATTATCAATTACCAATATCACCAGGCTTTTGTTGCGTGCTTTGAAGAAGGAGATACATACGTATAATGTGAATGGCTTTCCGCGGCGCCTTTGCATCAAGTGGGTGGTTGCAGTTCTGACATGAATGGATATGGTGAGAGCCCAGTTTGCAAATCGCTGTTCGCAGAGAGCTGTTCCACGGGAGAATTTTGCCAGCACGGATGAACTGCCCTAATATCTTCAAGAAGTCAAGCGCTTGTGAAAGAAGTATTGGTTGTTTAATTGGGCTTGCTAAATCAGTAGTAGAGTGCCTGCGATTCCATTGTGCCTCTCAAATGCCTCGAGATGGACTGTACATGACAGCAGTGTTCATTGCAATTCTGATTTAAGTAAAGTCGTTTAATCACTGGGGCTACAGTCAATAAGCTAGCTACTCACCGATGGAACCAGGGAGACAAATATCCACGAGTCAGAATTTCGTATCAATCCTGAGCTACACTGTCCGTCTTCATATTTTTAGAGTTTTCCATCACTTGGAGCTACGCATATACTGCTAGGGCGAAGGTCAGAGTGCTCCTTCCTCGCCCTACATGGCATGAAAGCGGAAGGAGCGAGGGGAGATTCGTGCCTTCCCTTAGTTATAATGTGTGACGCCTTCAACGATAAGCTGGCTCATCTTGATCGACGATATCCTTTTCTATCTTCAGTTACATGAGCATCTCCACTGATGTTACTTTTACTGTCTCGATTTTACTTCCTTTTGTTTGACTAGACCTCGCGGAAAGCTGCATTCATCATTCTGACCAGTGCCTCTGCTGCTGAACACAGTACACCATGCGCTACCAGAACTGGGACGTCCTCCTGTTCTCAGACAAATCGAAGGTTCCGATTCAAGAGTTCAAGACTACGTGCCATGTTATCCAAGATTCAGGTAAGGCAGTTGATGGTGTAGCATCTTTACTCGTGGATTTTACACTCCCACCACGAAGGGAAGAAGACATGGCTAACCGCCTCAATGCAGAATACCTCCCAACACAAGGCACTCTGCCATTGCTTCCAACGGTCACTTCATTCGTGCCGGCTCTAGGACAGGGCCAGAATTTTCGACTATCGATTCACTCATGGGAGGCACCGGAACCGAGTCGCTTTGCGCTAAACTTCACCAAGGATCCAGGTCTCATCATGTTTGAAGCCAGGGTATTTATTGACGGACGACTGGCGGGGTGAGCCACATCGTTGCGAGTATAGACCTACAGGGCTGACAAAGATGGCTACAGACACAGGTATTTTGGACGAGACGGCCCATGGCCAACAATCATTGAAACGGGGATAAGTGAGTGCTTACCATCCATCCCGCCATCGAGATCTATTACCTCACTTTTGAAATGAACAAACTGACCCTGCTAACTATCTAGACGTTAATAAGAACGGGGATCTCGAGCCCTTAAGATTTCCTGAATTCCATCAAGAGCTTCTTTCCCAGAACTATTGGAATGCAGGCGACGACCTTGGCCGAATCAAGGTCGTTATTGCGGAAGGCTTGCACCGGGAGTCGCCAGCAATGCCATTTGACCGCATCAAAAATATTGTGGCTTTTTCGTTCCAGCACGCGCCTTTGGGTATGTGAGCATTCCCAGATGAGTGGCACTCTGCATCCCACAGAGTGTCACTTTGTACCATCCATTTAGCTGACTTGATACTTTTCAAGAGGTTCTCGAATCTTCAAGTATTGCGTGGCCAAATGCAGAAATGTGGCGCCACATTTCATTTGTTGCAGGAATGTTACCAGGTGGTAACGTTCCAAGAAAGCCCAGCGAGGGCGCTGTTGAAGCCCATAGCCACTCTCCACGACGTAGATCCATTTCCTTGGCTCGGCCACAGAGACCTCCCCCAGCGATGGGTATGATGCTCCCTCCTGGGTTGCCAGTTTTCCCTCACCCTGCCAATTTCGATCCATTCACGGAGCCCCGAGCCACTCAGTGGAGGCAACCATCGTCAGCAGACGTGTCCATGCCTGATTATTCCAGCTCAGTCTCGCTGGCAAGCCACAGCCGTCAGTTCACGGATCCTATCTCCAGCAACAAACCAGAGCCGCAGAGGTTTCAGTCTTTGGAAAGTATCGGTGCTTTCGAAGGCCTCTGTGAAGCACTGAAGCCAAGCAATGTCACCAAAAAGAGCGTTTTAGGAGACTCGGATGACGTCAGACTTGCTCAGAATAAAGCACCTAAAGTGCCAGATGACCATCAGTCTAGTAAGTTTGACACTCTTTGTCTCGATATAATTGCTGAAACAAAAGTAGTCAGGAGCATAGCTGGCCAGACCACACCTGCCACAGCGCCCGAATCTGGTATTTCCGGAAGTGTCAAGAGCAGAAAAGAGAATGCCCAAGATTCCCCGCTTCCAAGAGAAGCTCTATCCGAGGGAAACAACTTCACTTTGGGCGCCTCGCAGCCATCGTCGGCGATTAGCGCGGCGGGGCACAAGAGGCAGCACGTCGTCACGCCTGCATCGGTAAAGGCTATCGATCAGGAAGATGAACCGAAGAACTCGATAATGAGGAAGATCTCTCAAGGATCGGCAGGGCGACGTGCTCTTGGTGAGCTGCCGAATGCCCTGTGATTCCTTCATCAACACTACTCAACGCTACTCGACTGGTAAGGCTGCAATGCAGCCCACGGGTATTCGGCCTGGTTAGCGCTAAGTTCGATAAGGAAAACGATCAAAATTAGAGATGTGGGCTTTATTAAGGAAGAGGGGAGACGGTGTAGTCTCTCCTGATTACAGTGGGGTGTTTTCGGAGGGCGGGTTGCACTACTTTGCGGTAAAATTCTTCGTTATTTGTATTTCTTATTGCCTCGCTCTATATCGCTCTCTCTGGGAGGTATCATAGGGACCCGATCCTTGTCGATCGGTCCGCGTCCACAAAAACAAAAATCGTTTCTATTCTTACACAAAGTTTCATTCATTCAGAACCGCGCGCAGCTTGACCCCCACACCCCATCCACATCCACCACCACGGTCGGGGACCCCCACCTCCCTAGCCGCCCCTCTCACTGATTGACGACCGCCCTGCGCTGCTCTCTCTCCCTTTGCTCTGTGCTGCTTGCTGCCTGTCCGCTCCTTGCTCGTGATCATTGCTTGAAAATGATCCCGGGGGGTGGGGGGACTTCTATCATCGCCGCCTTGAGGGATGGAAAATGGATGGATGGTTTTGCGTAGTATTGAAAAAAAGGATTTGTGTGTGGGTGATTTGACACTCCCTTTTTTTGAGGGGATCTTCTTTCTTTCTCTTTGGACTTTGCTGCTGCTGTGGGGGCCTCTTTTTCGCTCGCTCCCCCCGAACGCTCGCTCAAAAAACACACACACGTACGGTCTATAATCGTCGTGTTTCCCTTGCCTTTCGCCCTTTCATTCTCCGCTCCTCCGTTCCTGCAATTCCTTGCCCCCCCTATTTCCTCCCGTCCTTGCTCACTATTCCTCCTTATCCTCGTCCCCTTTCCCTCTCTCCCCTACGTAACGTAACAGAATCGAATGTTCGAAAGTAAAACCAGAAGTGTGTAAGAAGTTCACAAAAAAACAACAGCAAAAAATATGGAGGCCGGAAAAAAGGAGGGGAACCGGGAATATAAAAAAAAGAGAAGCAAGATGTTAACAGGTAACGCCGCGCCCTTGGAACAGAACAGAAAAAACGTAAAAATCAAAAATGTGTTGATCCCTCCTCCCCCGTTTCCTCCCATAATGCAAGAGAAGCCACAAAGGGGGTGCTGTAAAGGAAAAAAAATATATATATGTTGCTTGTTCATGGTGGTTGCCCCATTTGGTATGCGCCGTTTGCAATGCTTTCGAATTCCTGACGTTTGACGGAAGGGTATGGTGGTAGTAGTGGCGTTATGAGTGTAGTAAGGATCGGTTTGAATTGTAGGGTATTTGTTTGGATGTAGAAATGGAGTTGGGTTCGAGTTTATTGACTCGTTTATTCGGCCGTCACGTTCGTTACGCCTCGTTCGTCTCGTTGTCGGACTTCTTGCCTGCCTGTACGCCTGTCCATCTTCCTCGGCACCTGTCTGTCTGTCTGTTCCGCGGCTGCTGTGTATGTATGTGGGCCTGTACCCCCCGAATTTTTGTTCCCCTGCGCGAACGCGAAAATGGCTGGGTTTGCGTGTATATATATAAATGTGTGGAGTTTTTGATATTATCGCGTTCCGGCGGGGGGGAAAATGGGTGGTATCAGGGCATCATGGCAGGGAGGCGGCAGGCCAGGCTGGGCCGGGACAGGTCTAGGCAGGCAAAAGCGACAACGTCTACGCCTCCTACTTCTTCCTGTTTCCAGAGCCAGTAGCGGTGATCTTGGAGGTGGACATGAGGTCGCCGATGTACTTTTGGAGGAACTTGTTGTTCGAGTCGAGCTTGTCGTGCTCTTCCTTGACCGCCTCTATGCGGTTGTAGATCTCGAGAAGGGACTCTTGGAGGAGCTTCGCGTGTCTAAATTGGGAACCAGGGGTTAGTGTGTATTTTTGGAGTTTTGTGGAAAGGGTGACAAAAATATAAATTCTGCGGCGGGGGAGGCAAGGGGCAGGGCAGAGAGCGGCAGGGCAAGGACTGACTGTGAAAGCTGTGCTCTAGCCTCTTGGCTCATCTTCTCCAGATCCTCGCTGTTCCTCCTCGGGCTCATGGCCCTAGCATCGTCCTCATCGAACACCTCCTCACCCTTCTTCAGCTCGACGTTCGGTGCATCGCGCGGCACAATGATAGTCCCGCTGCTCTTTCTCGTGCCAATCTTGGGTCTGGTTGCTGTGGACGCAGCGTCGCTGTCTGTTGCAGGTGGGGCCCCTTGGGAGAGGCGCCGCGGCGAGGCGGGAGAGGAGGAGGCGGAGGAGGTAACTGCTGTGTCGGGGGGCTCACGGGCGGTCGTGCTGCTGGTGCTGTGTTGTGTTGTTGTCGTCATGCTGGTGCGGTGACGGATTTAGAGACGGGACGGAGAGAGTGCTTGCGTTGTTGCTGCACAGGGCGTTGGCGTCCGGTCTGTGATATGGGATCGGTGAGGGTTACTCATGTGTGAGTCTGGGGTGGTTTTGGTGGCCGGGGAGGAGATTTCAGGAGAGTCGGCCAGTTGGGAGGGTGTGTTTGAAGGCCAGTGAATTTTGGGTTCAAGAGGTTCAAGAGGCGTGATATGAGTTGGGATGGAAGTTGGGCCCAATGTCGGGAGTCGGTGTACCTTTAATGCGGAGGGTATTATTATATCCTTGTATATCTGGATGCTGGATGTCTCTGCGTGCTGGCGTGAGTGTCGTATAGGAGTATGTCTCGGCGAAGAGGAGGTCGAGGTGGGATTGCGAGAAGATGTTGGCGTGGGATATTGAAAAGAAGGTTGAAGGTTGGATTGTGGATGAAGGTAGGTAGAGAAGGATGGGAGAAGCAGTTGGGAACAAAGTCTGAGCGATGGTGGCTGCCTTCTGGCGCACTGGGGGTGTGTGAGTGGAGGGGAGGAGAGGGGCGCGGATGGGGGGGAGAGGCGGGGGGGGGGGGATATGGGTGGTGTGGAGGGGGTACTGAGTGGATGAAGGCGGATTTTGATGGGTATGGTTTCTGAGAAGTAGTGACGGGTAGTGAAGGGTAGTTGATGGGTACTATATGAGTGTTTTTTTATGTTTTTTGAGTGTGTTGTGTGTGTGGGAGGTTGTGAGTGGTGGTGTTGATGGGCAATTTTGGGTAGATTTTTGGTTTTTGGGGTGCCTGTCGGTGTGTCTGTTGTTGGTCGGTGTCTCCTTTGGTGGTGGTTGGCGCTGGTTGACGCTGGTTGACGCTGGTTGGTGGTGGTTGAATAGCGGTTGGTAGTGGTGGTGTGGGTGTTTTAGTGGGAAAGCCGGCGGTGGGTGGGCGGGTGGAGAGACGCGGGAGTGCTGGTTTTTGACTTGTTGGCGTTCTACGACTCAACATCCTTTTTACTGTCTTCAGACATACATACACATATGCACATATACACACACATCTACGTAGATATCTACATACTTACATGCCTACATACTTACTTACATACATACCTACATGCCTACATACCTACATGCCTACATGCCTCACATATCTACATATATTCATATATCTATAACACTACAGAACGGCTTCTACGCTGCTTCACTATGTACAGCACGGCTACTGACCACTACAAAACGACTACGGGTGCTGGCTCTATAGGTGACAACAGATGACTTCTCAAGTACCTCAAATCTCTCCCTCCTCCATACTGACGGGACTACTAGAACAGACTACTACTTACAGTACCACGCTACATACCACGCTACGAAGAAAGTACATACCATACAGACCTAAACTACCGCTTCCACCAAAGTACCAGGGGTATGTCGGATGAGGAACAGCGTGTGGGCGCGCGCGCGTGCAGTGATGCTGAGTGTGGACTGTGTGGACCCTTGGACTCCGGGAGCGCATTGCCTTGGGAGCGTCATTCGGTAAGGGAAAGAGGGAAAGAGGGAAAAGTTGGGGCGGTGGGGAAAGGGCCTACTCGACTACGCCTTCCCTGCCGAACCTGCACCGTGCAGATCACTTACGCCATGGGGTCAGCTAGGAAAGAGAAGGGGGGGAAAAGGGCCAAATGGGTGAAAACAGTCAGTGGCACAGAGCGTGTTCGGCGTGTACTCCAGCTTGACTGTCAGTTGCTGCGCTGTATACAGGATGGAATGCGGTGGTGGCCACAGTGGCGGCTTCGTTCGTTCGTTCGCCTTTGTTCAATGACGACTCTTTTGATGGATCCTATTATAGCTGATACGAATTATACGGATGATACGGCTATGGGAGGCGAAAGAAATACTTGAATGGTGGTGGGCCTCGCTCCTTTCCTCGATCCTTCTCTCCTCCACCACCATCGGTGTCGGCTTTGATGATCACAACGAAGCTTCACCCGGCATGTCGTGATTTGGCCCTCCCGGGGAAGGCGCGCGTGGTGATGTGCACTCGCTCCCCAGTCCTCGTCTTGGGACTGGAGATTGCTATACGTACACCCATACAACTATGGATCCAGCTATCGATTGATATACAGCTCTAGTCGCTATAGGGATATGAGCGAGAGAAACGCTGTGATAACGGCGGGGGGGGGGAAGGGTAGTGGGGGGGAATTCTTAATGATTTCCTCTTCGAATTTCGAATTTTATTATTCCGTTGATATATTGGATATATTGACGGGTTGATACTACGGCGGTAATTTTGGTAATGGGCGGGCTATACTGGGGCAAGAGAACCACAATAGTCTCCCGCACCTATCCAATTCTGGACGACCAGGAGAGCCTTCTTTACCCCTTTTGTCGACACTCCATGCACCTAATTAAAGAGATTTCGACGAGGAAAGCCCGCTGCGATCTGTCTCTACCACAGAACTGTGACGGCACACACCGTTGTGAAGGGGTTCTTGTACTCGTACGGGTATGCTGGAGTGCTCCACAGAGCACTACACAGAGCGCTGTACGGAGCGGTCATGGGCGTGTTGAGTGATACCAAAGCCGTCATCGTTTCTCCTATTGATGCGCGCGTCATACGATCTTGATGTTTTACTCGGTGCTCAACAACTATGCACAGTTGGCCAGGTGTCGGATTCACCCTGTCGCCGTCCGAACCATCTCACCTGCTACCTACCGAACGAACAAGCAACTAGCAGCAAGCTGCTGTCTTAGATCTGTTCCGTACAGTACCGAGTACAGTATGTGTACCTACCGACTACTATAAACAGTATATGTACGTCGGTCGTCATACGGGTATGGTAGGAAGTTACCTGAGCCATACAATACAGTATGCGTTCCGATACTGTGCGAGGGGCGGACGACTCTCACTCAAACAACACAACACACGCCAACACCAGCAACAGCATCACGTCCTGCGCGTGGTTGCCATTCTGAGTAAGGGATAGACACCGATCTGCGGAAGTACCCACTAGTCAAGGTCAGCATCGTCATCGGAGGTGTGGTTCGGCCAAAGAAGTTGAAAACAGGAGACGAGGTCCCCTGGTACTCCGATCCCTCGTCACTCCACCCCGCCAACCAACAGCTTAAACGGCGTCTCCTCAGCAAATCCACCACTCCCGCTACAAACCCAAGTTCCTCCTCCTTGCTAACCGGAATTGGAGAATGGAGATATTTATCTTCCTTCTATTGGCTCCGCGTGACAGGACAGGAATGGTCGGCGCCAAGCATGCAAGCGTCATACCATACCAGACTTGCTGCATCGCTGCCTCCTGACACAAGCACTCTTGACCCATCGCCCGTCGCCGGCCACACACGATCCAGGGACGCTCAAGCGCCGCCGAAGGACGCCATGAAAGTCTTGTTGGGGGCGTCGGTCGGCGCAGGCAGATCGTCAGCCTTGACAGGCGCCTGACGATGCACGCAGCGCTGCTTCATCTCAGCCAGAGCGGCCACCGCGATCGCCTTCCGTCCAACCCGTGGAACAGAAACACGCAGAGGAACATAATGTGTACCTCGGACGTTGCGGGTTAAGGCAAGGCGGGCGGCCCAAAATAGGCACATGAGTATGGGCTGCCTATTGCTGTACCGAGAGAGGAGGGTGCGCACATCCAAATCTTAACGGCCTTTCTCGCTGGTGGTGGGTTAATTTCTGAGATTCGAACTACGGAATCACTAAAGGAGCCCGGCTGTGAACTACGGCTAGTTGTTTTGGGCACCAGACCTGGTGCTGGTTTGGTTGTTGGATGGGGTACGGGCCGGGCAGTACGTACATACAGTACGGCCCAGGGCAGTTATAGGACGCTGCGCTGGGAGGATTACTTATGTGTGTGTACTATGCCCGTCGACGGATTTGCCCAAAGTGGTATCACGGGGAGTACGGAAGCAATTAGAGCGTCTTCGCGGTGGGTAGTGGTGGTTCCTAGCCATTGTCACTTTTTAATAACTGCAACATGGCACGAGCGCACGCACTGCACAGGAACCGTGGTAGGTGGGTACATGAGGCGTCAGCCATCGTTCCCAGGAAGAAATGTTAATTTCTCTGGGCGGTGGAAGCTGCACTGCGGAGTACTGTACATATGTGCCGTGCTGTGTGTTCTCTCCAGAGTGCTGAATAGTGCAGTGCAGAGTAAGATGCTCTCCGCTATACAACAGAGTACAGCGTCAACAGCACAGAGGCACGAGCCGAGTATGGGCTTGAGTAGGGGTTCACTCCGCAAAATGACGAGTCGTCGGCAGAAGTTTCCTCTGGGGCAGGCCTGTACTATCCATACTCTACTGAAGTACTAATTCCTCTAGTGGCAGAATGACCATCCCCTAGCCATCCCCTTGCCCTTGAGGCTCGTACGATTTAGGCAGTGCGAGTGTGTGGGTGGGTGCGGTGGTTGCAGTAGCGGGAGCCACCGATGGGTCCTCGCTTACCGTACTTCGTTCAACCTTGAGGAAGCCCTCACCTCACCTGACACTTCTGCCCTGGGCGGACAGGGAGACAGGGGCACCAGCGATGCAATCACAGGTTTGGAACCCGGGCGGGAGTGAGCGCGGTGATTGGGCCGCGGGCGGATTTGATCCACGTTGATCCGCGCATCGTCACGATGCTTTGGGATGGAGCGCGATATAGCGTGCTGGACGGACGGAGTAGCGTTGGACTACTGTATGGCACGAATGTTCGGTGTGAGGGTGTGACGGTGGTCTCCACACCGGTGAGGAAGTGGCAGGGGCTTGCAAGCCCGGTTTTGTGGGAAGGGAGGTGAGGGTGGTGCAGGTGCGGGTGCAGGTGCGGCCTTGGCGGTCGTCGAATTTACACGGATAAGAGACGGGGGGAGGGAAGGGGCCAAAGAATAGCCGTCTGGGAACGGTGGGATTGTGGGACGGTAGGGGGGCGACGGTGATATGTGGAATGTGGTATTGGGAGACATGCACGCCCATGCACATACTTAGCATGCACCATATGCGCTGCAACCTTCCCACCGTCGGTTGGGCGTCAGGGTGGTGCAGATGGATCCCTCCGGGGACCGGGAACAGGCAAGGTGCAGAAGACCAGAGGGTTAGAGGATCAGAGGATTAGAGTACTTGACTCTCTACCAGTGAGTTGTCGGTCAGGGGCAGAAAGCGTGGGATCGGGGGTTCAATGAACTGTCTGATGACAGCCAGGTCTGTACGTACGAAGTACAGTAAGATTTTACTCGAGATTGAGCACAGCAAATTGCTTAAATCCCACATTCCCCAACCTTCCATTCCTGCCGATCAGCCTCGTCATGCTGCTGCTGCGTGCTGCAGGCCGATGATAATACGACGTTGGACGTCGGACGTTAAGACGCTTGCAAGGCTGAGAGACAGAAGGGCACCGACTACGGAGAGTCACAGCGGGAGAGCAAAGCAACACGTCGTTTTTGTTCATGCCTTGGTTTTATAGTGTTGTGCTGTGTGTGTGTGCTGTACTGTACTGTTACTGTACTGCACAGTACTTGCTCGTACACAGTGAGTGTGCACTTGACAGGGAATTAATTCACGATAAAACACAGGTGTAAACAATGCCCCTCCTTATCGATGTTTCTTTTTCTTTTCCTTCTTTTTTCTTTTTTTCTCACGCAATATCAACTGCCGGGTGGTGGCCATGAATAGCACGTTCCTTACAGTAGTACCTTAGTGAATGGAACACGATAGCCTCGTACCCATAATATGCAAGCCGAACCCATTGTTGCTATTATTACCATTATCGGACATTTTGCCCCTCTGTGACGTTTTGTTTGAGAAGAAGTTTGATCCCCCAGCCCACCGGCACCCACCAAACCCAACCAACCAACCTAACGGCGGCGGCCGCAGCCTCGCTAAACCCAATCTGACCCCTGGCCCTGCTCACAACACCACCACCATGACGAGGCTCTTGCTTCGCAACTACCCGTATCGTATACCCGCCGCCAAACCTACCCGCCCAGCCGCCGCAACGAGGCTGGACCTGACGCAAACGTAGCAAAGACGAGAGAAACGTCCCAAACGGGCACCAGAAGAACCACCCATCACAGCTCTGCTCGCGAACGTCGCGCGTGCCTTGCCTCAAACGTATATTTCCTTTTTTCGACACCCCCGGCCGGTAAACAACAGGCAGCAGCAGGAGCAAACAGACGCCCCAGCCTTCCCCGCGCCCACCCCCCACCACCATCCATCGGCGGACGACACACCACATCCTCCCCGCTCCCCCTCGGGCCGCCCTCTCCCATCGCAGCGATGTCGACGTCCTCGTCGCGCTCGGCGCGGGGCTCCACGACGCGCCGGCTACCGCGCAACATGAATGGCTCCCTCTCCGACCGCCTCTCGCGCACCGTCTCGCGCTTCATGCCAAAGGTGGTGACGTACAACGAGAGCTACACGTACGCGCTGCGCGCGGCCTTCCTGCACCACCTGCTGCAGCCGCGCGCCAAGCGGAAGCAGTACCTTCCTGCGCCGAAGGCGATCAGCCACCGGGCGTCGACGGTTGGGGATCTGGTGAAGGACTTGTCTGGGGTTGGCTCGGCGAAAAGCGCGAAGCTGCCGCATGGGTTTATGGGGCCGTTGGAGAAGAGAATGACGGGCGTGCTGATGATGAAGGAGCGCTTGCCGGGGTATAATGATCCAGCGGTTAAGAGGAGCTTTGCGGAGGCGTATACGGCGTTCACGGAGACGACGTTTAGGAGGCGTATGGAGCAGGAGAGGCGTGTGGAGGATTTGGTGTTGATATTTTATTCGAATGCGGTGAAGTCGCTGCAGAAGGGGAAGCCGCCGGGGGATGACTCGTGGAAGAATCTGCTGGATCGACATGTGGCGCTGTTTCTGAGGCTGCTGAGCAATACGATGAAGGATCATGGTTATGATAAGGATAGGCCAGAGCTGATGAGTCGGCTGGCGACGCTAGAGAAGAAGCTCCTGACGGACGATCAGGACTTGTCGTCTGGTGCGGGCCCTAGCGATTCATATATTGAGGTTGTCAACCCGATCAGCTACGATGTGAAGGATATGCCGATGGTGCTGGTTGTGGGACGCATATTCGGGATGAGGAACTCGCAGGTGCAGTCTGATATCGATGCGAATAAGAAGTTCTGGACGGAGGAGGTGGCCCTGACAGAGCTGAAGTCGTACCAACAGTGTATCAACTCGCAGTCGGCGCGCGTCCTCTCCTCGAATGACTTCGATGTCGATGAGGGGTACCAGGCGTGGAAGAAGGCGGAGAGTCATGACCTGTCGCAGCTGATGCTGGATATATTACACGTTAAGCCTGAATTGGCCAAATCATCTTCGGCGAGTACTAAGCCTGCCGCTCCACCGACAACTGGGCCCAACAAGCCGCTACCTACTATTATACCAGTGCAACCGGATGCCGATTATTACAATACTATTTCAAGCCCGACAGAGCGCACATCTCTGTCATCATTCAGCCAGACGCAACCTGCAGATATGAGCGGCCTGTCATTGAGCGATGAACCGTCTACCCGGCTGTATCTCGAAGAAGTCAGCTTCGTGTATATCCCTCCAGACCCACGGGCATACTACAGATCCATACTCATGCACGCGGCTACATTCGATCAACTACATACAGAACACAATGCAGAGAGCGGCGCCCCAGCCCCACCTCTGAGCATGCAATCCCTCGAACTCCTCACCGAGCTCGCGATTAGATGGCGCGTTCCGCAGTTCTCCCGGCTGATCCTCTACCTCGACGTCTCGGTGCAGCGCTTCAAGGACCGGGAAATCGGGCTCGAGGAGCTCGATGCGGCGTTTGAGATGATTAAGAACCCACCCGCTGAGACCAAGAAGTCTAGCACGCTTGCACATGCGGGTGGATTGCAGTCCATCGACCGCTCGCACTGGACTATCAATGACATGGCGCTATATCGGCATACGCTTGTCAGTGTCCACGATTCACTGCTGCGGGATCTGTATGACGTACTGCAGCACTGCTATGACTCGAAGCCGCCGTCAGTTGGACCGGTAATGGTGATTCTGGAGAGCCATATTTATAATGACGAGTGCTTCCAGCAGAGCCCGGAGCAGGTACAGGATTATAGCGAGCAGCTGGATAGGGGGTTAAGAGAGAAAGCAGCAGCGGTTTACCGAGGATACCTCGAGGCGGAGGTGCCTCAAAACCAGGAGGAATGGCAGTTCTACCACGTCGTGCAGCTAGGCAAGTCGGTGGTGAAGCTGTGCACTCGGATCCAGAAGCGGTACAAGAAGAACCCCGAGTTCATGGGCGTGAACCCGCTGACGGTTCTGGTGGAGACGATGTTCCCGAGCTTCGAGAACGACGCGGCGGACCTGATCCAGCGGATCATGAACGTAGCCCACGCGAATAACTCCGAGGTCGACCTCGAGGACGGCTTCGCGCTGTACAAGGAGCTCGTGGAGATCCGGCGCATCCACCAGCAGGCGCTGCCAGACGTGCCGTTCGCGTTCCACATTGAGGACGCGCTGGCGGACTTTGTGTGGCGCTGGATCAACGTGGCGGACGAGAAGATGGTGGATCTCGTCGACCAGGCGATCCTTCACGACAAGTTCGAGGTGCGTTCGGAGAACCCGACCGATAATGAGCGACACAGCGTGTCGGCCATCGATGTCTTCCGGCTGTTCAACGAGACGACGGACCAGATCTTCCAGCTCAACTGGGACGACGACGTGCACCACGCCAAGTTCATGACTGCGCTGTCGAAGTCATTCGGGGTGGGGCTAGCGCGATACTGCGAAGCTGTCGAGGAGCGCTTCACCAAGGAAATGAACCGGCTGACTCCGGAGCAGGAGGCGGCGGCTAAGCAGTCCAAGCAGGACCGGTGGATGCAGCTCGCCAAGGACGCGTGGAACAACAAGGAGAAGATGGAGCCGTTCCAGTTCCACCCGCAGTCGCTGGTGAAGCTGAATAACATCGAGTTCGCCGTGCAGCAGCTCGATAAGCTCGAGAAGATGATGAATGTCGATGCGTGCGCTGAGGTGCTACAGCGGAATATCACGCCTAAGGAGCAGCAGCAGATGCGGAAGCCAAATAAATACGTCTTCACCGTCAAGATTGTGGAGGGCGAGGATCTCAAGGCTTGTGACACGAATGGCCTCAGCGACCCGTACGTCATCCTCGGCGACGAGTTCAAGAAGCGCTTGATGAAGACGCGGGTCGTGCCTAAGAACCTCAACCCGCGCTGGGACGAGTCAATCGACATCATCGTGTCTGGCCCCGTCAACATCGTCGCGACGATCTGGGACTTCGACACCTTCGGCGATGATGACCTGATGGGTCGCACGTCGCTCAAACTCGACCCGTCGCATTTCTCGGACTACCTTCCTAAGGAGTGCTGGCTCAACCTTGACACTCAGGGGAAACTGCTCCTCCGTATCGGTATGGAGGGCGAGCGCGACGATATTCAGTTCTACTTCGGTAAGGCCTTCCGACTCCTCAAGCGCACCGAGCGTGATATGATTCGGAAGATCACCGATAAGGTAAGCCCTCCCCTCCCCTCTTTTCCCCTCTTTGTTACCCCCGCTAACCCACCCCAGCTCTCAACCTACATCAACCTCTCCCTCTCCCCCGACGCCCTGCGCTCCCTCCTCTCCCGCGGCATCTCCATAACCAGCATGTGGAAGACCCGGCAATCCCTCCCCCCCCCCCTCCTCCCCATCGACATCGAAAACGCCCTAAAGCCCCTCTTCACCTACTTCGACGACAACTTCGCTATCATGCAGCAAACCCTCACCACGGCGTCCATGATCGCCGTCATGACGCGGCTGTGGAAGGAAGTCCTCCTCGCCATCGAGGCGCTGCTCATCCCGCCGCTGAGCGATAAACCGAGTCCGCAGAAGGCGCTGAGTAGGCAGGAGGCGGATACGGTGTTTATGTGGCTTGAGCTGCTGAGGGCTTTCTTTAATGCGAGGGATGAGGAGACGGGGGAGGCGATGGGGGTGCCGGATGATGTGTTGAAGAATGCGAAGTATCATGAACTCAAACAACTGGCGTTCTTCTATTTCGACCCTACGGATTCGCTTATTAAGACGTCGGAGCGCATGGCGTCTGCCACAGCAGCTCGAGCCTTGGCACAACGAACATCCCTCTCCCTGCCGCCGGGGAGTCTGGGACCGTCGCTAGGTGTTGGGTTAGGGAGCGCTACGTCTTTGCGTCGGGGGAAGAGTATCATGTTGTCTAGGAACCTAGGCACGATGCGCCAGGCGAAAGAGGAGAAGAGGAGAGAGGCACAGGCGGATCCGAGTGATGACGTTATCCTAAGGATTCTACGGATGAGACATGAGGGCGTCGCCGTGGCGTATCTGAGGGATCGGAGTAGGCAGAGGGAACGCTTAGCGGCAGCGGCGGCGGCGGAGTCGATTGTGAGGCAGAGTCTGGGGGGTGGGGGGAGGTTTGGGGGGGGGAATTTGCCGAGGAGGTAGGGGGTAATAGGGGGGGAAGGGATGGGGCGTTTGATTGTTGGGTCAGATGGAAATGTTTAGGGGTCTCATTGCTTGCGGGTTGTCTAGGTGGGGGGGTTGCGGCGATACCATTGCTCTTTTTTCTTGTGTTCCTTACGGGATGGATGGATGATTAGGAAGGGCCAACGACGTGTGTGCAGCGAGCGTTAAGCGTGGGTTATAGCTAGCGACTGAACTGAGGTTATTACAATTAGGTAGACGGATGAATGAATGGATGATGTTGAATCTATCAATAACGCGGTCTAGATATTTATTTCATTTCTCCTCCGTTGTCGAAGCTGAAATATCGACGCCTCCTACCTCTTTAGCTAATATATAGCCTCTTAGTTTACCTCCCTCCCTGACAAAACATTTATATTCACATTTACCTCCCTCAAACCCCCATCTCCCATCCCCACACTACAGCCTCATCCTCCCCTCCTCAACCCCCCCTGAACCTACACCACACCGTGCACACCACAGCACGCACCACCAAAAAACCTACCGCTGCCTCGGCTGAAAACGAGCGTCCGTACTCGCGCGCTAGATCCCTCATTACGGGCACGGGGGCTCAGCACTTAGCCGTCTGTTCGTTTGGTCTACAGCATAGTGTTGGTCGTGTTGGTTGGAGGGAGTGGGGGGTTGGATTGGAGTGAGAGTGAGAGTGGTGAAGTGAGAGGTCACGTCCAACATGACCTCCCTCCCCTTACTTACTGTATGATATGGATGGTTACCTACCAGCCTTGTGTATGGGATTCCTGGTGACCACCTACCATCACCACACGTCCTCCTTGCCTCCCACCACGCCAACCACCAACACCAACAGCCGCCTATCCCTACCCTACCCTACCGCCGTCCCCCGTACCCTGCCTCCCAACCGTCCCCCGTACCCTCTCCTCCACACCACGCCTCTCTCCCCAGCACCACCCCCCCTGTCCCTTTCCACCCGTTCCAACCCACACCACGCACCAACCCTCATTAGGCAAGCCTAAGCCACTTCCAACCCACTAACTCCAATTAGGCAAGCCCACGCCCCATCCCACGCACCACACCTCTCTCGTCCTAGCACACTTAAAAGGGTTTAGATAGTCTTGGAGGGGCATAGCAAGCCTTGGAACGGGACTAGGGGGGGAAGAAGGCGGGCTTTGTGGTGTGGGGAACTGACGTCATGACGGTGGAGGGTTGGGGTGGATGGATGGGGGATAGTGCGTGCGTTGGGTAGAGTGGGTAGGGTAGGGGAGGGCGGGTGTGGTGGTGGACCCCTGGCTGGTGGTGGTGGGAGGAGGGATGGATGAGGGTTTTTCTTGGAGGGGGAGGAGGAAGGGCGGTGGGAGGCTGGAGAAGGGAGGAAGGAAGGGGGGAGGCGGTATATGGGAGTGAGGGGGTGGGAGGAGAGTGTATGGGTGTAGGAATGGTATACTGATATACAAAACTCCACGCGCAGAAACTGGTTATATGTAGAGAGAATACACTCACCCCATCACAGTCCACAGAGAACAAAGTATATACACCACACACACCCACCCCCCTTGCCTCTGCCACGAGTACCGTATCCCGTACCCCCCATCCCTAATCCAGTAATCACCCCTGCCCAGCCGGTGCGCGATTCAAGCTGTTCTTTGTCTTGTCTGTGCCGAGTGTGTGCTGTGCTACTGTGCTAAGAGAGTTGATTTGGCGCCTTCCATTTTTTTTGGCCCCTTTGCCGCCGTATCCACTGAGCGTGTGTGTATCTACATATCTACGCTACGGTATTCTACGGTGGATGTTTATTGGAAGTACTGTATAGTACGGCGTGGTGGTGTGTTTCGAAAGTGAGCGGGAAGGTGCATGGATGGACGGTTTGCCCGTTCTGGGTTAAAATAAGGGTCTACTGGTGTGTATGGATGTCGACAGTAGTTGCCTTCGTCTTACCGGATTAGGGGGGTTGTAGGAGGAGGGGAGGGTAGACTAGAGTACGGCTGTGGAATGGGAATGTGTAGGCGGCAGAAGCAGCAGGCAGGCAGACATCGCCTATGCACCACGCGGATGGAGATGTGATGTAGCTGCATGTGTGTGTGTATCAGATGGATGGTGCATGTACATATATAGTATTGCATACTCGTACTCGAGAGTAGCCTTCCTGTCTCCGCCTTGTAAAGAGACAGTATACGGAGTATGATTTTCGTATAGTAGTAGAAGAGAGTCAGTTGCATGCTACACCGTAGTTGAGTCCTAAGGCAATAACCAAGTTAGTTGGCAAGAGTACAGTTGAATCCTAAGGCAACAACAGACGTTAAATCACTTCATCCCATCTTTTCACCAGTATGCGATGTTCGTATTGTAGAGAGTTAGGTAGTTAAGTCCTGAGCTATAAGGCAACACCACCTAAATCATTTCATCCCATCTTTTTCATCTACCCACACCCACCACACCGACCAGCCACACACCACAGCCGCCTCCTCGTACCCGTCTAACCGTCTACCCGTCAAACCCTACCCATCCCATCATCCTATCCCATCCCTAAAGAAAAACCCTGCCCGTTCCCACTCGGCCCTACCGCCGTACCGTACTTTGAGCCTTCCGTAGTGGCTTAGTGCTTAGTTTAGTGGTGCAGTTAGTGTTTTTTTACTGTGGTTGATAATTCGCATCACTGCAGTTTAGCGCACTGTTAGCCTGCTGTGTCTACCCTAATTCACTGTACGGGGTCCTTTTTGCGCCAAAACTTCACCGAGGGCGGAGGGAACAGGTGTACTCGTTACTCGCTGTATAGGACACTTCAACACCACAGTCCGGAGTTTACAGCCCAGCGTCAATCAATCCTCCCATACACTGCACAGTACTGTACACTCCTCCTGTACGGTACTCTATACACTGTACATCAACCAGTACCTTTTTCATGGCACCACAGCATTGGCGCCATCGCGAACAGAGACGACCCTTCAAGCTGGCCGAGTAGACTTGAGGATATTCACAATACCCCCCCGTCTACACCAGCCTCAGATAGACCCTGTCTCTGTGTCTGTGCTGCGCTGTGCTATACTGTGTTTCCGTTGTGTTGCCCTGCCTTGGCTTGGGGAACTTTGTTGCCTCCAATTCCCACTCTCCCCTTCGCCAAACAGGCCTGGTCTGCCGCCCGTCCCCCCACCCCCGATTCGGAAAAGGGCATTTCCTCCCGGCAGCCTTGACGACCACCGGCTCGCGTTCCCTTTGTACAATTCACCCTGCCACAACCGGTGCGCACGCCTGAACACCAGGTGTCCACGACGACGACCCCACGAAGAAGACGAAGAAGAAGAAGAAGAAGACGACCGACCGACGCAGAGACGACGAATCGGCTGCTTTCTTCGCCTCTTGCCATCTACCACCATCGACTAGGCTTGGGCTTCTTCGATCGAACTTGTCGATACCAACAACTCGAAAAAGAGAGAGAGAGACTGAGAGAGACCGTAGGGGCCCCTGCTTCCCTGAGGCGAGTGAGCCGGGCGCGGGTACTGACATTCGAGGTGCAGGGTAGAAATACTTGGAACCATCGATCTCCTACGAACAGAGCGGCAAAGGTCGGAAAGACGAACGACTCTCCAAAAAGTACCATCGCGAAAACAAAGAAACATCTCCCCCCCCGACAGACAACCATATCACTGCAAATTTTGCATCATCGCCTAGCCTTTGTGGCAGGCCATCCATCGTTCGGACATCATGACCGACGATGCGGCACTTGCTGCTGCGACCGCCTACATTCAAAGCCTGGCCACCTCGCCCACAGGTCTTTCAGCCTTGAAAGCATCCCGTAAAGATGCAGACACTAATGGCATTGAAGAGATCCACCTGCCTGGCTCGTCAACGCCGGCCAAGCACGCCCTGGAGCGCGAGCTGACGTCGCTCGCCAAGCGGGTGCGCTTCCTGGAGTCCAACGCCGCCGCGTCCTCAAAGGACCACCTCATGCCCGATACCCCTAATGATAGCATCGACTCCTCCCCCGCCGATGACATTATCCCGACGGCTTCGACGAGCGCCGCGCGCGAGAAGATCGTGTCGACGCTGCTGGCGTCGCGGGAGAGCCCGGCGGGGCAAAGCACAGTCACCTACACCAAGCTGAGCAGCGAGCAGCTGGAGGCGCTGCGCGAGCACGTTGACCACCAGTCTGGGCAGCTCGAGAGCCAGAAGCTCGAGCTTGCCAGCGTCAACGCACAGCTGTTGAGGCAGAAGCAGCTGCAGGAGAAGGCGCTCAAGGCCGTTGAGGTCGAGCGCGTCAATGCCCTCGAGCGCGAGCTCAAGAAGCATCAGCAGGCCAATGAGGCTTTCCAGAAGGCGTTGCGGGAGATTGGAGAGATTGTTACGGCGGTTGCGAGGGGTGACCTGAGCAAGAAGGTGCAGATTCACTCGGTGGAGATGGACCCTGAAATCACAACGTTCAAGCGCACTATCAACACTATGATGGACCAGCTGCAGGTCTTCTCCAGCGAGGTGTCTCGTGTGGCGAGGGAGGTCGGAACGGAGGGTATGCTTGGTGGACAGGCGCAGATTAGCGGCGTGGACGGGACGTGGAAGGAGCTGACGAAGAATGTCAACGTTATGGCGCAGAATCTTACGGATCAAGTGCGTGAGATTGCCGCGGTCACGACGGCTGTCGCGCATGGAGATCTTACGCAGAAGATTGAGAGGCCCGCGCAGGGAGAGATCTTACAGCTACAGCAGACTATCAATACCATGGTGGATCAACTCAGGACGTTCGCAGCAGAGGTTACTCGCGTCGCGCGCGATGTCGGCACGGAGGGTATTCTCGGCGGGCAGGCAGAGATCGAGGGCGTCAAGGGCATGTGGAATACGCTGACGGTTAATGTGAACGCCATGGCGAACAATCTCACGACGCAGGTGCGCGATATTGCAATGGTTACGACGGCTGTCGCCAAGGGTGATCTCACGCAGAAGGTGCAGGCCGAGTGTAAGGGTGAGATTTTCGAGCTCAAGTCTACGATAAATTCCATGGTGGACCAGCTGCAGCAGTTCGCGCGGGAAGTCACGAAGATTGCGAGAGAGGTCGGAACAGAGGGTAGGCTAGGTGGGCAGGCTACCGTGCATGATGTCGAGGGCACGTGGAGGGACCTCACCGAAAACGTGAACGGAATGGCCATGAACCTGACGACGCAGGTGAGAGAGATTGCAAAGGTCACGACTGCCGTCGCCAAGGGCGACCTGACGGAGAAGATCGGCGTCGAGGTCAGGGGAGAGATTCTGGATCTGAAGATTACTATCAATACCATGGTGGACAAGCTGAGTATATTCGCCTTCGAGGTGAGCAAGGTGGCGCGAGAGGTCGGCACGGATGGTACGCTGGGCGGCCAGGCCAAGGTCGAGAATGTGGAGGGCAAGTGGAAGGACCTCACCGAGAACGTCAACACCATGGCGTCGAATTTAACGTCGCAGGTGAGAGGTATTTCGACCGTTACGCAGGCTATCGCGAACGGCGACATGAGCCAGAAGATTGAGGTCGAGGCCGCGGGAGAGATCCTGGTGCTCCGTGAGACGATAAATAACATGGTCGACCGTCTGTCGATCTTCAGTAACGAGATCCAGCGCGTGGCGAAGGATGTCGGTGTTGACGGCAAGATGGGCGGTCAGGCAGATGTGGCGGGCATCGGCGGAAGGTGGAAGGAGATTACAACGGATGTCAACACCATGGCTATGAACTTGACGGCGCAGGTGAGAGCCTTTGGCGACATCACGAACGCGGCGACGGATGGCGACTTCACGAAGTTGATCACGGTCGAGGCGTCGGGTGAGATGGACGAGCTGAAGCGCAAGATCAACCAGATGGTGTTTAACCTGAGAGAATCGATTCAGAGGAACACGGCTGCCAGGGAGGCGGCCGAGATGGCCAATAGGACCAAGTCCGAGTTCTTGGCCAATATGTCCCACGAGATCCGAACGCCCATGAACGGTATCATCGGTATGACGCAGCTTACGCTTGACACGGACCTTACGCAGTATCAGCGTGAGATGTTGAACATTGTGCACAACCTTGCTAACAGTCTGCTCACAATCATCGATGACATCCTCGATTTGTCGAAGATCGAGGCGAACCGCATGGTGATGGAGGAGATCCCATACTCGGTGCGAAGCATCGTGTTCAATGCGCTCAAGACGCTCGCCGTCAAGGCCAACGAGAAGTTCCTCGACCTGACCTACCGCGTCGACAGCTCGGTGCCTGATCACGTCGTCGGAGACTCGTTCCGTCTGCGCCAGGTCATCCTGAACTTGGTCGGTAACGCCATCAAGTTCACCGAGAACGGCGAGGTCAGCCTGACGATCCGCAAGGCAGACCAGGATAACTGCGAGCACAACGAGTACGCCATCGAGTTCTCGGTGTCGGACACGGGTATCGGTATCCAGGCCGACAAGCTGGATCTTATCTTCGACACGTTCCAGCAGGCTGATGGATCGATGACGCGTAAGTTCGGTGGTACGGGACTGGGTCTGTCGATTTCGAAGCGCCTCGTTAACCTGATGCGTGGTGACGTGTGGGTTAAGAGCACGTACGGCAAGGGCAGTTCCTTCTTCTTCACGTGCACGGTGCGCCTGGCTACGTCGGACATCAGCTTCATCGAGAAGGCGCTCAAGCCGTATCAAGGCCACCAGGTGCTGTTCATCGACAAGGGCGAGACGGGACACGGCAAGGAGATCAGTTCCATGTTGTCGCAGATTGGTCTCGAGCCTGTGGTTGTGGAGTCGGATAGCCACTCGGACCTCATGCAGGCGGGCCGCCCGGCCAACCACCCATCCAACTACGACGTCGTCATCGTCGACTCTATCGAGACTGGCCGCAGACTCAGGTCGATCGATGAGTTCAAGTACATCCCTATTGTGCTACTGGCGCCTGTCGTGCATGTTAGCCTCAAGTCGGCTTTGGATCTGGGTATCACGTCGTACATGACGACGCCTTGCCAGACCATCGATTTGGGTAATGGTATGATTCCTGCGCTGGAGAACCGTGCGATGCCGTCGTTGGCGGATAATACGAAGAGCTTCGATATTCTGTTGGCTGAAGACAATGTTGTCAACCAACGGTTGGCGGTCAAGATCCTCGAGAAATACCATCACGTCGTGACGGTGGTGGGTAATGGACTTGAGGCGCTTGAGGCCATCAAGCTGAAGAGATACGATTGCATCCTTATGGATGTGCAGATGCCTATTATGGTATGTCCTCTCTAACCCCTCCCCCTTTCCATCCCATCCACCCTGGCAAAAAAACGATCCCCACCCCCCTCCCCACCCACCACGAAAAACTAACCCTAACCTTCTCCCCAGGGCGGCTTCGAAGCCACCGCCAAGATCCGCGAATACGAATACAACATCGGCACCACGCGCACCCCCATCATCGCCCTAACCGCGCACGCCATGCTCGGCGACCGCGAAAAGTGCATCCAAGCCCAAATGGACGAATACCTCTCCAAACCCCTCAAGCAAAACCACCTCATCCAAACGATCCTCAAATGCGCCACCCTCGGCGGTCAGCTCCTCGAGAAGGGCCGCGAACCCCGCCAATCCACCAAAGAAGAGAAACCTACCAAGATCGGGCCGCCCGTCAAGGCGCCGCAGCCACTGAGCCCGCTCAGCCCCGGGGCCAAGAAGAAGGCGGAGATCAAGTCGGGGGGGAAGGGGAATATTCCCCTCGAAAACGGGGGGAGGTCAGCGCGCTCGCCGGCTGCGGCTGGTGCGAGCGCGAGCCCGGGACCGGGGAAGGGGGAGGAGGGAAGTCCGGCGAAGGAGGGTGATGATCCGCTTGCGAGGGTGAGTAGCGTTGCCGTTCGCCCCGCCGTGGCTGCCGCAGCTGCCAACGATCGCCGCCGCCGGGAGACGGACGCGGCGGCTCCGTCGGAGGCTGCGTCGGCTGCGAAGAAGAGGAAGGTTGGCTAATCTCTTGGGGTTGTTTTCTTGTAGTTGTTGATGCGCGCGCATGGTAGTTGAAAGATGAAAAACTTGAAAACTGAACCCCTCTTTTGTTTTGGAAAAGGGGGGGGGGATGTTCTTTTTCTTGTTCTTTCTGGTTCGAGCGATTATTTTTCTACGAGCGAACGATACGAGACAACTTGTTATGGTGGGGGGAGGGGCGTTTTTATTCGAGACGAGGATGGGGAGGTTGATGGGGAGCAGGGCGTGCGTGCATGTCATCTGCGGGCGTTTTTTTGTTTGTCGAATTTTCTGGCGGGGAAGGGATGGGGTGCGTGTTTGGTTTTTGAACCCCTTTCGAACAGGGGATATGGGAATGAAACGTTATGGGGTGGGCGGGGACTGGCTACGGGGGTGGGGGGGTCTTTCACGCTTGCTATATTTCCCTGTGGTTATTTTTTGTTTGGTGTTAATGTTTTTTTGAACGAGTTTTTGTGCTGTTTGTTTGAGTGTTGTTCTTGCGTTGATGTTTGTTGTTTTTGTTGTTGTTGCTATTTTTGGATGATGAGGTAATCTAGGGGATGGATGGATGAGGGATGGATTATATACCTGATATTAGTTGTGGTTGGCTCGTCTGAAGTGGGGAGGGGGTGGTTGGGATGAGATGAGATGAGATTGGGGATGTGGCATCTGCTTTTCCTAGCTTGATGGTTCAAGAGGCTTTATGGCTCTGCGACGGGGAAGGGGCAGACAGATTATTGTACGGATTATTATGGGTTATATGGGTATATGGATGGATAGGGAATATTGAAATCGTTCCGACTACTTTCTTTTCTTTCTTCCATCCCCCTTTTCATTGTTGTGAAGCTCGTTCGTATCTTTCTCGTACTGTTTATCTAGAAGAGCGTGCGCGTATACGATCTCACTGCTTCCTTATCTCCACCCACCCACCACCAGCCAGTCAGTCAGTCAGTGTCAGTCAATCAGCCAGCTCTATATAACCCCCCCCCTCACCCTCCTCGTCTCATACCCCATAAGTGCTTATAGTGCGTGCTCGAATCTTCCAAACGCCATTTCCCCCGCCCCACTCCGCTCGTCCTCCCAAGACGTGTCAAGACGTGTCACTGCCAATCCCACACACACGGACAAAATCACGGCTCTTCCCTAACACCGACAAAAAAAAACGTGCTCACGTAAGACACCCTGCGAAAATCTCAAGCTAACCAGATCTGCGCTATTACGGCGTCTACAAGGTTTTCGGCGTGAGTAATACTCGGGAAGTTCCGAAGAAAGCTACCACCGACAGACAGCTTTCGGAAGTTATTTAAACGTCCGGTGGTGGGTGCGCAAAGTCCACAAAGTCCGAAACCACCACCCACCCACCCAACTGATTTAACCTTTTGACTGCTGGCAGGTAGACAAGCATTGCTTGTCTGCTACTTAAGTCCGACGGGGCGGGTTTTAGAGGGGCTGTTGTGACAAAGCTTATTAATACCATGGACGATCTCTGTTGACGCGATTCGGTATCAGCCGGTGGTTGGTTGATGTGGGTGGCGGATTTAAGGAGTACCTGGGTTTTGGCACAGCGAACTGGCGTGTGTGGTGGGTTTAAGGCTTACTTACTACGTCAGCCGCCATGTCCGCCGAGTCGGCGGTGGTGGTGTTTGTTATCAGATATCCATAATTAATCTCACCGCGTATACCAACCAGCGCGCGAGGTTTGACAGTAAGTATGTAAGCTGACCGGAGATGGAAGATAGGTTAGGTCCGATGGGTGTTTGGGATTGAATAATCCAAGACCCACGCTGGGGTTCATATTTCCTTTAATACCTCCCGTGAGATTGTTGTTTGGGTTGTTTGTAGATACTTCACTTATTCCACGCTCACCATTCCGCTAGTATAGGAACAATACGAAAGAGGATTCTTACTACTCTACTGTGTTAACTGTTTCTTAATAAGGGATTGGGATTGAGCAAGTCGACTAAAGAGAGATATTATAATGGCTGCTCTCAAGGCACACGATGACCTGAGGGCAGACGGTTTGGGGTCGGAGGTTAATACGATTGTGGACAACAACGAGCATTACGCTGAGAAAATGGATGGCGATGCGGAAAACACGGATTTCGAAGCTGAGAAGACAGATGTCGATAGTAGTTCTGGGAATGCAGTCGGAGTTTTACCAGAGGATACCCTCTCACCGAGCGACTACCCTGAGGGCCTCCAATTCTTCTTCATCCTCATTGCTCTCATCCTGTCGATCTTCATGGTTGCGCTGGACTTGGTACGTGTTCCTTCTTTCCTTCCCCCCATTCTCTTTCTTCTGATAACAAGAGTGCGAGTGCTGATATTTTTAATCCTGCAGACTATCGTAGCAACAGCCATCCCAAAGATCACAGATCAATTCCACAGCGTTTCGGAGATTGGATGGTACGGCTCGGCCTTCTTCCTCACTGTAGCTTCATTCACCTCGCCCTGGGGCAAGCTCTTCAAGTACTTCCCCCTCAAGTGGGCATACCTCGTCGCAGTCTTCATCTTCGAATTAGGCAGTCTCATCTGTGGTACGTATCTGCGCATCCCCAAGAGTTGACATACCCCTTAAGCTAACCACCACCTCCAGCCGTCGCCCCAAACAGCACTGCCTTAATCGTCGGACGTGCCATTGCTGGTCTCGGCGCTGCCGGTGTTGCGTCTGGCGCATTCATTCTCGTCGCTTTCCTCGCTCCGCCAGAGAAGCGTCCCGCATATCTAGGTATCATTGGTGCCTCCTACGGTATCTCCGCTGTCATCGGCCCGCTGCTAGGTGGTGTGTTCACCGAGCGCCTTTCGTGGAGATGGTGTTTCTACATGTAAGAACCCTCTCTCTGCTCCCACAACAAGAACGAACAAAGTCCTAACCCCACCCAGTAACCTCCCCGTCGGCGGCGTAGCCGCCGCAATCCTCTTCTTCTTCTTCAAGCTCCCCGCCCACGTCAAGCCCGCCGAAGCGACCTTCCGCGAGAAAATGCTCCAACTCGACCCCACGGGCATAGTCCTCATCCTCTGCGCCGTGATCTGCTACGTCCTCGCCCTGCAATGGGGCGGCGTCTCCCTGCCCTGGAACGACTCCAAAGTCATCGGCCTCTTCGTCGGGTTCGCCCTCCTCATGATCGCCTTCGGTTTCAACGAGTGGTGGTTAGGTGAGCGCGCCATGTTGCCGCCGCGGTTGTTGAAGAATAGGTATATTTGGCAGGGCATGGCGTACTCGTTTACCATCGCGGGGACGTACTTCTTGGTCCTGTATTATTTGCCGATTTACTTCCAGGTCATCGATAATGTGTCGCCTATTCAGAGTGGAGTGAGGAATTTGCCGCTGATTCTGGCGATTACGCTTTCGACTATCATTTCGGGGGTGGGAATTACTGTTACGCGACGCGCGATGCCGTTTATGGCTGTTGCGGGTGTCTTGACGACTATTGGAGTTGGATTGCTTTACACGCTTGATATCGGCACTGGGTCGTCGAAGTGGATTGGATACCAGGTCCTCGCTGGTCTCGGTCTTGGGTTGGGCTTCCAGGTTCCTGTCTCTGCTGCTCAGGCGACTTTGCCGCAGATTGACATCCCCTCTGGATCAGCTATGATTATCTGTAAGTCCCCCAGCGCTCCTCGTTCATAACCTGTATCAGAAGCTCATACTAACACCCCCCAGTCGTCCAAACCATCGGCGGCGCCTTCCTCGTCTCAGCCGGCCAAAGCGCCTTCGTCGCCAAACTCAGCGAATACCTCCTCCAGTCCGACGCAGCCATCAGCCCGGCCAAGGTCATCGCAACGGGCGCGACGGTCATCCGGACAACGTTTACCGCTACGGAGGTGCCGATTATCCTGAGGGCGTACGTGAAGGGTATCCAGACCGCGTTTATTGTGTCGATTGCGTTGGCGGGTGCGTCTACGATTATTGCGTTTGCGGCGAGTTGGGGGACGTTGGAACCGGCGGCGGGAGAGGGGGAGGCGCCGAGGGTGGAGAAGGAGGGGGAGCCGAAGGAGGTGGTGTAGGTGTTGGGGTGGTGGTATGCACGGCGGACTTTTGATTTGTGGAAATAGAATGTAGATGGGATTCGGGAAGACACTCTCCTTATAATATCTTATTAATTTGGCATGGAAGCGGGGTATATACGGGTTTAATAGAATGGAAATGGCATGAGCCGATGATTAGCTATGAGGGACTGCTTTTGAAACATGGGTGTTCTGTTTTCCTTCGAATATTCGGTGGAGGCTGTTTGAAGAAGGAGAAGTTACACGATGAAAAGGAGGGGTTTGTACGGCAGAAGGAAGCCGACAAGAGGGGGACGAGAACAATGGAGACAGAGATAACACGTAAAGGAAGCAAATACCATTCACGGCTAAGTGCCTAAAACAAGGGAAAGGTATTAATGCTCGCAAGGGTTCTCTGGAAATCAACATGGGAAAGTTGAAAACGAGTAATCGGAGAGGTTAATTAAGCTCAAGACAGCCCATAAGGAAGGTCTCATTAGGATCAATCGGAAGTAACGCAGTGAGCTTGCCAAGCCGATTGGTCCATTACGGGGGGTGGTGGTACGAAGATCATGGGAACGGCCAGGGCTACGTTGGGGATGGTACTGGGGGATGGTTGGGCACAGGGGGCATTACTCAGGCACCTGACATTTTCGGACATGCTAGCCGGCGAGGTTTATCAGACTGCCGATCAGAAGTATGGGGTAGGGAGCTTGAGGGATATATGTGCGGAGGAAACTCTCCGTGGTTTATGTATGACTGAGATCGAGGTTTGGGTGTGAGGGAGGTTATACCAGGTCTCTTATGGGAGCGATCCTAGACTGTAGATATTTTATCCGCAAACCGGATCTCTATGCTGAGAAGAGATATTAAATGGAAAACTCGTCAACACATGCTTGCGCCTTATCAGTTCCATTTTTCGTGTCTTATTCGGTCCATATCTGTTGTTTCGTGGTGGAGCGGCTCCGATTTCCCCAGGAAGCAAAAGGTTCAATTTGGAGTCGGCTGGCCTTGCTTGTGTGGCCACGATGCTACGTCGTATAGAGCATGGGTTCAACGTGCCAATATATTTACAGCGTGGCTTCAACGAGGAATCCCTTATTACCAGTCTTAACATTGATGTCGCTGTGCCCTGCAGCCTGCTGGCTGAACTCTAGAGCCTTGGCTTTGGTGGATCTGCTCTCAATTGGTTGCAACCACGGCGATCAACTAACGGCCCGAAGCCGCGAACGGTTATAGATCGCAGATTTAAACGGTGCTAACGTAACGATCACGAATCAGAATAATGTACTTTTACGCTTTTGTTATTGGATCAACTCTGGGGTGGCTAAGGATCCTATATTAATAGCAATATATTCGGCCCCCGTCGCCCCCGATATACAGGCTGAGTCGCCAAGATGGGATGCAAGTCAGACTTCCTAAACAAGCTTAGTATTTGGGGCAGAGGTCGAATATGGCCCCATAAGCATACACAGGTATCACCCGAAGTTAGAAATTAATCTACAGAGGGATGATGGGATTCTTCAGGTTGCACTTATTCCTTACTAAAGCATTTGAAAGCAGTTTAGAGTGTCTTTGGCAGTCGCAGAAGGAAAGCGCTTGGGGGTCTATATATATTCTTTAGTCTAACGTTACTCAAAAATCGAACACGACATAAAAGTGGCTTCCACAGTTTTAAATCCTTCCATTTCACGAGAACAAGCAAGTCTTTTTGAGCGTAGCAAGCATGTTTCACGAGTTGGAATCTTTAACTCCTGCCGATCGGGATCTTTTTCATCGTTTTGGTCACGGACCTCGTGTTGAACCTAGATTCTCGTTGGTTCACAAGGCATTCGAAGATGTCGTTGACTCCCAGCCCTCACTAGTTGCTGCTGAACATGATGGCAACAGCGTTACTTATCAGGAGCTCGAAAGGTTATCCAATGTCCTGGCTAATGACCTCATTCGGAGTGGCCTTGAGCCACGGCAGCGTGTCTGCCTCGTTCTTCAGCGTTCTATTGATATGGTAGTTGCAATTCTTGCCGTAATAAAATGCGGTTGTCAATACGTTCCTCTAGATGGCGGAGTAGTGCCCGACAATGTCATGTCCCACATCTTTGAAGACACACAAGCACAGTTTGTGCTCTGTCTTGGGAAATTCCATCACAAAGTCCAGCAATGTGCTGGTTCCACGACGACGATCGTCGTATTAGATGCTCCTAGAGATGAAAAGAGCAGCTCCATTTCCACAGAAAGGCCAGCTGTGAGTCTTAATTCATCAGATGGACTATATATCATTTACACCTCAGGTAATTCTCGTAGAATCTTATGAGGCAAATTTTCTAACCTTGAAAAGGAACCACAGGAAAACCAAAGGGCGTTGATGTCAGCCATCAGAATGTAACCAACCTGATCTGTCTTCCTCCTGGGAATCTCGGTATCAGTACAGGCACGAAAGTGCCGCAATTGCTATCGATCTCTTTTGACATGGGCAAGTTCCTTTCCCCCTTGATATCTAGAGCGAGGTCTGATTTGTTTGGCTTCAGCACAATGGGAAATCCTGGCAACACTCTTAAATGGAGGCACGCTGGTTTTGCGTACTTCGAATTGGAATGATGTTTTAAAGCAGGTAGGTGCCACAGGTTTTATTCAAAGGTCACTCTGCTCACCTTGTTAGGCCAACACGATTATAGCAACGCCATCAGTTCTTCGAAAGCTGGATAGAGCTGAATATCCTAACATTCAGGTGGTGGCTTTGGCTGGAGAGCCGTGTCCAAAATCGTAAGTTTTGAATAAAGCCGAGAAGAGCGTTTCACTGACTTCTAAAAAGGCTGGCTGATGAATGGGCAAAGGAGGCCACTCTCTATCACTGTTGCGGCCCGACAGAGGTTACGATCGTGAACACTATGCATGTTCACCAGCCAGGGTATGATATGTCGATCGGGCGGCCTGTACCAAACACTGATGTGTACATTCTTGACGAAAATGAAAATTCCCTTCCAATTGGTAGTATCGGTCTCATGTGGGCCGGCGGTCGTTGTGTGTCACGAGGTTATCTGAATCTACCAGAAGAAACGTCAAAGAAGTTCAAACTGAATAAGTTTGTTAATGATGGGTATGAAGCCAATTCGAAATTATATTTGAATTTGTATACTAATTGCCAGTAATAGGTCTTTTATGTTCAACACTGGTGATCTTGGCCGATGGCGAGACGATGGCACCTTGGAAACTCTTGGAAGAATCGATGATCAAGTAAAGATTAAAGTGCGTTTATTCATCCTTTTGACACACTGTGATCTTTCCTAACTATCAACAGGGATTCAGAGTGGAGTTAAGTAGTGTGGCCACTGCAATAGAGGTAAGTCATGTCCACGGCCTGGGCAAAAGCAACATCTTACAAGGTCAACAGCAAACACCCGGTGTCAGTCGAGCTTGTGCAATTTTGAATAACGAAGTCCTCTGGGGATTCTACTCTGGCCCATCTTATGTCGAAGAGCTTGCTGTAAATGCTGTGGTTAGTAAATGTCAGCCATATTATGCCATACCAAGTTCATGGATGTACCGATCCGATCTACCCCTTACTCCAAATGGCAAAATTGACAAGCATGCTCTTTTGGCTTCAATACCGGCCAACCAGGAAATGCAGTTAATCGCCCAACCGACTCCAGCAACTCTGAATGACCTAGAGAAATATCCGGTTTCCACGGATGATACAGCTGTCACAACTGTTGAGTCAGACACAGGAGTGAATAAAACTGATTCTTCCACTTCGAGTATTCAGGAGAAGCATCCACTTCCACAAAAACTCGGAACCCACGGAGCTAGAGCGCTGCGTCACCGATTCTTTTCTCTATACCGACGGTTCTTCTCAGTTGTCTTCATAGCCAACACGGTAGCGGTGATTTACATGATCCACCGCTACGCAGTCCAAGGACCAGACCTTCCAAGTTTAGGGACCGCAATAGGGGCGAATTTATGTACCGCGGTCTTAATGAGGCAGGACCACGTTGTCAACCTTTTATTCACCCTCGCATGCTCTGTCCCCACCTCTGCTCCCCTTTTCATACGGCGCAACTGTGCCAAAGTATATCATATTGGGGGCCTGCACAGCGGTGCAGGCGTTGCAGCGACTGCCTGGCTTTTGGTTTTCACCATCGCAGCAACAATCGAGTCCGCTCACCCAGCTGTTCTCGCCGTCTCGTACACACTCATAGCGCTGCTTGTGGGCATAGTCATCTCAGCCCATCCTACATTCCGCGCTCGCTTCCATAATCGGTTCGAGCTGATCCATAGATTTGCCGGATGGACCGCACTGGCGCTGTTCTGGATACAGACCATCGTGTTGAGCGACAGCTTGCGCGGCACTTCCACATTAGGGAAAGCCCTGATAAACAGTCCAGGCTTCTGGCTCCTCCTCATCGCTACCAGCAGCGTCGCTCTCCCCTGGCTCAACCTTCGCAAGGTGAACGTTCGACGCGACGTGCTCTCCGGCCACGCAGTCCGTCTCTATTTCGACTACACCACCCCAGTCGTAGGCACCGCCGTTCGAATCTCCCAGCGGCCTCTAGTGGAATGGCACGCATTCGCCACAATCGCCAAGCCCAACGAAAAGGGGTTCTCCCTCCTCGTCTCAAACGCAGGTGACTGGACATTAAACCAGATCCAAAACGGCCCCTCAAAGCTCTGGGTCCGAGGCGTCCCCGCATGCGGCGTTCTTCGAATTGCACCTCTCTTCAAGAAGATAGTGTTGGTCGGCACTGGATCTGGCATCGGCCCCTGTCTGCCTGTCATATACGCCAAGAAAGTTCCATGTCGTATCTTCTGGTCGACGCCCCATCCGGAGAAGAATTTTGGGCCTGAGATCATCAAGGCTATATATGATGCAGATCCAGACGCAGTGATCCATAATACGAAAACGATGGGAAGGCCGGATATGGTCGCCATTTCGTATCGTCTTTTGCAGGAGAGCAATGCGGAGGCGGTGTGTGTTATTTCGAATAAGAAGTTGACGCAGATGATCGTGTATGCTATGGAGAGTAGAGGCATTCCTGCCTTTGGGGCGATTTTTGATTCCTGATCGGGGTAGAAAATGCGTGGACGCGTTCGATTCCGTTGGTTGGGAAAAAACATACTTATGCTACGACTATAAAAATGAGGTGCTAAGGATATCAGCGCTCACGCACCCCAATATATATAACCCCCATTGACATTGTCTTCTCTTAACCCGCGAGTGATGGTATCTTCAAAATGGCGCATATCATAGCGAACCCATGCTACGTTTCCTTAGGACCCCGCCTCTCCTCACCTCCCTTCACATCTTGACAAGTACTTCAAAATACAGACTCATCGTCAAGAGCCATTCATTAGATTACTCAATTACCAGCGCCTACTAACGCTCTCTCCCCCATCACCCACCCATCCATCCACTCAACCCCTCCAGCTCTAACTGTTGAAGACCAGCCATCCCAATCGGCTCATTCAGCCATCTATCTCCCCTCAACCCAACCACCCCAGTTATCAAACATCCCATCCCCCTCCATCATGCATCTATCTAAAAACTCCCACGAACCACCCTTCCTCTCTCCCACGAAACCCAGGTCCCCTATTCCTCCACGGTCTGCCTCTCTATTACAATGCCCACTCAGGGACTGACATGCATCACCACCACCACCATGCCTCCCCACGTCTATACAAAATCCGCTCCAGCGAGACAATTAAGTATCCATTCTCTATTACCCCCCCCGCCCCATCAAAACCCTTCCTTCCCCTCATTAAAAAAAACACCAACCTCGCGCCTCGCACCAGCAAAACGTCATCCCCCCCCCCCCAAAAAAAAATTACAACCCCAAAAATACACTATCATCTGTCCAAAACTCCCCCACTCCACCAGCAGCAGCAAGAAAAAAAGAAGAATTCACAACGAAGCACACAGCCCCTCACACGCTCAGAAACTCCTCCCCACTCACACTCTTCGCCCTCACCCTTCCCACCACCTCCGGCTTGGCACTAACAGCATAAACCAGCTCCTGCGTCCAGAAGTGGCTAAACTGCGCCTGCAGCGCGGGCACACATCCAAACAGCGGCGCCACCAGGGGCGAGACCGCGTAATCGACCAGGTTGCCGGGGAACTTGCGGAAGGAGAAGACCATGTGCTCCGCGAGCCCGACGGCGGTCATCTCGGCGAGACGCAGGCCGGCGCCGGTGGCGTGGTAGCTCTCGTAGAGCATGAGGTAGACGGCTGTGCCGCCGAAGCTGATGATGCGGAGGTAGTTGGTTAGGGCGAAGGTCCAGCCGATGTGTAGGGTGTCGGGCTTGTCGGCGGTGATACAGGTGTAGAGGGAGGAGGCGAGGACGAGGAGGATCATGTGGGTGGGGAGGAAGTGGGCCTCGAAGAGGCGGTGGAAGAGGTAGAAGATGCGGATGTAGTCGGGGGAGCTGACGTCGCCGTGCGTGACGTCGGAGAAGATGCCGTTCTCGGCCTTGCGCTCTTCCATCTTCTCGTCGGGGGTGGGGAGGTAGTCGGTTTCGGCGTTGAGGGTCGTGTGGAGTGGTCTGTAGGTGTGGACTGTCGTCTTCCTGTTCTTCCACAGCTTGACCATTTGTCTCATCGCATATCCGCTATCCAAAGCACCCCACATATGGCGCATAGCCTGTGCGTATCTTGCGCGGATATCCATAACCAAGCCTCGGTGTCCCTTCTGTCCGCTGCACACACTTGTCTGGCTGACAGGAGACAGAACGGTCCTGCTCGTCAGGTTACCGTTCAAAGCGAAGAAGCACTTCAGATACATGTGCAGATCTTCTCCGATGGCCTCAGGGTCCGAATCCCAGCCGCCAACGCGGTCTACCAACTCCAGGGGTAGAGAATAGACAGAGGTAGGCGGCCTGATAGACGAACAGGCGTATAGGCCAGACAATCCAGCTGCGCACCATAGGATATCAGCAACTCGGACAACAGTCGGGACAAGATGGGCGTTTCTGTCGAATAAGATAGGTGCTGAGTATAGGGTGGTTTGTGCCAACTCCGGGTATTCGAGATGCATATTAGTAATTAAAGCGGTGTAGTTCGAAGAAAGGTGGCTATCGGCTGTTGAACCTCAGTGTTAGCATATCTGCACCCCTTGACAATGAAATGAAGGGACATACCATCTATTCCAGTAATAATGACATCTCTGCGCTCCTCAATAGAATATCTCTCGCTGAGCTTCCGCGCCGCCCATGCGGCGTTGCTACCTTTTCCAGGCGCCTCGCCTGGAATATCACTCGGGTGCATCGTAAAGTAGATAAAACGAAACTTCTTCATATACTCGGAGACCAGGCCCATAGCCTTTACTTCTGCGCCAGATTCGCGGGTCTCCATTGCAAGATATACCTATTAAGATCGGTTAGAACCATCGCCATTGATCGTGGGGCTCAGAGGAAGGGCTACTCACATCATAACTCAATCGTGCCTGAGGATGAGAAGCAAGAACATCCAAGGTCTCGCGCAGCCCGTCGACATCCTCCTTGTAATTAGGGATTATAATAGCATGAATAACCTTGTCCTGGTCATACTCAACATCGGTAACGGAGTCGATCATGTCAGAGTCTCCCGCATCACTGGAAGCCGTGGTCGAGGCAAGGGATGATGTGAGAGTCACATCACTCGCGAGAGACATGAATGAAAGCCTGCGTGTCGGGCCATACTTGAAGCGCTGTAGACTCCTGTTGCGCGAAACAGCTTTCACACCGCGCGTGAGGCTGCCCACTGCTAAGCATGCTCGGACAGGGAACATGAGGACCATGACATGAATGAGGACGGAGTAGTATGCGAAAGCGAGAGTCCAGTAGCCTCCATTGGTGATGGGTGCCGTTGTATGCGAGGCATGGCTCGGCGCTTTGGAATCACCGTGTGGCTTTTGGATATTTTGTTTGCGCGTCGACCACTCGAGGTATAGTGATATGGACAGCAGGGACGCCAATGTGAGGACTGAGAGGCCTCCCACTCGCCGGGTGGCCCATAGAAATATTGACATTGTGGCGGAGGTGAGGAGGTGAGAACGGCGTGCACGCCGTGTGAGAAATCTGTGTTCACGATAGGGTGAATAGTTGTCGTCTGGACAGATGTAAAGGTGGAAGGACGACTCGAGGGACAGTCTAGTCTGTGAGAGGTGAGAGATTAAGGTTGCCTGCCAAGTGTCTATTAAGCAGGAGAGACAGGTTTATTAGGGAAGCCGCGATTAAGTGAGAATAAGCCGAAGGAATAAGGTAAGGGGGAGAAAGAGGTAGAATATTTTGGGGAAACGAGATTAGGAGGAGACACGAGCGGGTAAGATAGGGAACATAGGGCAAAGAATATATTTGAGGAGGGGAGCTTTTCATAACCCAATCTGGTATTGCTTATACCGGTGGCTTGGGGTCACACTTTCTCCTCGGGGTCCCCTTCATCAGGGTCCTCCCCATCTCACACCCCCCACTCACCTCACCGCCGACTACTTCCAGGAGTAGTAAACGGGGGGGACATCAAAAGTTGGCCAGAAGCCAAGAGTAAACGGACGTGCCTCCAAGGAAATATGCCGGGTCTAGGGAGGATGATCAAGCAAGGAGGCCCAGTATAAAAAAAAATGGTAGAGTAGCACAGACAGTACGGCAAGCTGCACTATACCTGTCGTACCAAGACTTACGGGGAAGATTGACAGAGACACCATCGATGCCGGGGGTCTGGATGGTCATTTTTCACGATGCAGCCACCCACCTAGCCAACCAACCAAACACTGCTGCGAAGCACGGGCCGTAGCGAGATGATGAGGAAGGCGCAGCTCTCTGTGGTTGCCATCTAAATGAATGGTAGGAGGATGAAGTTTCTGAGGTGGAAAGTGCAGCAAGGGAAGGAGCAGGCCCGCTTGGGCTAGATCGATGGGGCTCGGCGGAGGGAGTGGAGGGAAAAGGGCATAATTTGCTCAGATCACCCGTGTTCAGCGGCTGGGTGATAGTCGAGATCTTCCCCACATGTAAATGGCGCATCTGAGGTTGGTTGGGAGGGAGTGCATCGTGGCTCCCTCTCTGCATTACACGATGTCCCGTATCCAGAGTGTAGCAGGTTTATGCGTAGTAGAATGGAGGGCCTCATCAGGTCCTGCAATCTCGGGCCAACGCAGCGGGATGGGATGGCCTATTCCTATGGGTAACTGAGCATAGCCCGTTTCCGTCTCTGGTCAGCCAACATACTGAACCACGGAACCGCCGCTGGCTGGACCAAGTAAGTCAGTCAGGTACAAGAGTCAGTCAGAGACAATATTGTGATAGCACCCCCCTTGCCGTGTCACCATCTCCACCAGGCACCAGCGAAAGGTAGAGGAAACGCCAAAATCGAAATCTCACAGAAAGTTTGGCCTTACCGAACCAACCTATCCCCTCCAATAACTCCCCTTTTCTCCCTTGCGTCCGCCTTCATGCCCCACTACTGCCGCGCCGGGAAAGTGAAGTGACAAGTTTTAGTTTGACAAACAGCCGCCACAAGCCTGCCAAGCTGTCTTATTACGATAGACTGGACTAGATCCCTGAGAGACAGTGGCCATAGCATACAATGCTTGGCATGGCGTATATGGCAGCGTTTGACAGGTCTTTGTCATCATTCGGGGATGCTAGCTGGTATGTACGACATGCCGTTGGCTGTACGCCGGATCGGAATAATTTATTCTCGTCCCATTTCCACAACACACAACCACCTCGCTTCAAATAACTACAGTATGGTACGCAGTCCACTTGATAAAATTTTGATATTCAGATATGCGCTCTTGGGGCCATAGGTACTGTACATCCAACAATATAGCTACGATACTCTTCATTACCAGACTACCAACCCATCTCCCCCATCCCACACACAAACCCACACACAAGCCTTCCCTAGCGCCTCCCTCCCCCCCCACGTTCCCTCCCCCCTCCCCCCATTGGCCTCTCACACATCGCCCATCTCCTTTCGCACCCCCCATCCAGCCAATCACGCCTCCACACCCCCCTTCTCCTGTCAAAATTAAACTTTCCCTCCCCGATCAGATTCCCCCTACTAAACACCCTCTGTGCGCAGCTATTTCTCTTGGCGGACAGCTATAGTAAGTGTTCGCCAAGAGTCAGAGCTGTCCACCTGGTCTCCCCCGATCCAGAAACGAACGGAAGGCCCATTTTCTCAGCTATGACCAGCGCTGGGCGTGGGATGGCAGAGGGAGATGGGTGGGTGTCGGGCGTGGACGGGCTGGATGGGGGGAGGGGCGGGCTGGAGAGGGAGGGAGGGACGGAGGGCGAGACCAATCTGAGGATGGGGGTTATACCACGTGTAGGATGGGGATGTGTGAGTCTCTATTTAGGGGTGTGCGGTGGTGGTGGTGGTATCGTTTTCCATTTCCAAGGTGTGTTTGCATGTGGAGGGGGACGTTGGTTATCTTCATCAAACCGCCGTGGTACGGGCGAATGGCAGGCTGGGTGTTTGCAATGGAGTTTCCAACAGAGTGGGGGGTGGTGAGGGTGTGCTGAAACGTCTTCGTGAACCGTGGGTGGTGACATCCCTCAGGGTGACTCTAGACCCTCGGTTGGGAGGAAGAGGAGGGACCGGAGACATCCACGGCATCTCCTGATTACTGAAGGGGAAAAAATTCTCCCCTGGGTTCCATGGAGAAAGAGGGGGCCAGCCAGGCTTAAGTCGCCGAACGCGGGGGACCCCGTAGGGACGGCGATTTTCCGACGTCCAGCGGGTATGGTGTACTTACCTTACTTCCCTACGGACAAGGGAGGACAGTATTGGCATGCAGGTAGCCTGTAGCCACGAGAGAAGAGCTGTGATATATCCCGATCCTTGTAGAGCTTACTGCTTACTCAACCTGACAAGCTTTTGGAGGCTACGTACGCTCTCGTGTTCAGAGGCTACGTACGTTCTCGTGTAACAAGGCTTCAGATTATCCTGAAGCTTCGTATTCACCACCGGCGGTTAAAGGCGACACACCCTCTTTCCTTCTCTACAAGGAAGGCGGGACCGTTTACCAACAGAGCCAGGTCGGGAAGTTCCATTTCACGGCCTGGATGGAGACGCCCAAGCCACCCTGCCGTCCCAGACCCAATCCATCCCATACCAACAAACACCACCACCCAGCACCTCCTCATTTAGGGAAAATAAAAACAATCAAAAATCGGCCCTCCTCAATTCTCGACGCACTCGAATATTCCACCCGGCTCCCACCCGGCTCCCTTCCGGAGGTACAACCCCGCATATCCATATCAGCTTTAGAGACATCCATCTATCCCAAAGCAATCCAAACCGCTTACTCACATCTCACACACCCCCCCAACAGAAACTCACATACCGTACATCTCACCCGTACAAAAGTCCCCAGCCGCAGACGGACGGAGTAAGTAGTCGGTGCCAATTTCCCAGCCGCGGAGGCGCCGTTGCACAGCCCAGTTTGGGTCGATCGGGGAATTTTGTTTTGCCAGAGCAGGTGGGTGGGACGGGTGGGTAGGGCGGTTTTTTTTGGAAGCGGCGTGCTGCGCTGCAGGTGCGATTTCTTTGAGCAAAGGCGTGATGCCCGTGTCGCGTGTGGTGATGGGATTTGTAGGTAAGTTTTGCTGTTTGGAGATGGGGATGAGGGATGGGACGGGAGGGTAGGGTAGGTTGGAAACGGCGCGCTGCAGGTGGGGGGTTTTTGGGCGAAGGGATGGTGTCTTGTCGCGTGTGGTTACGGGGGTTGTGGACTGTTTGGAGATGGGGATGAGGAATGGCCAGGCGTAGGTATGCGGGTCGTGGACACTGCATTGCTGCTGGACCGGGTCACTCAGGGGGAGGGTTACATTGATCTCAAGAGGGCTCACAACGGTACAGTCTTGTATTCCACGTAAACTCGTCACGATATTGTAATTTGAAGGATCCCTCGGGGTATAATATTCCAGCTACCGAACACCACATCCGTCCTCGAACATGCTACAGACCCCGCAAATCCCACTGCAGCCGTAGCTTATCAATCCGCATCTTCCCCTCGTTCGGGCACGGAACCGGGTTAGGTATTTGGGATTTCCGATTTCCGAGGCCTCGTGCTACCTCCTCCTGCACTGTGTAACGATGCTGAGATTACGTGTGCGCTGTGGATAACTTGTGGATGAGACAACAGGATATGCTCCGACGATGCAGCTGGTGTCTTGTTTTCGTGCTTGGTGGGTTGGTCTTGGGGTGAGCTCTTTTGGTCTCAGCTGCGGGGTTGGATTTCGTGGGGAGGATGTCGTGTGCTGTGTCGAGGATTGCGTTCTGGTGGTGAATTGCCCGATGCAGAAATTTGGTAGGGGTCTGCGATCAAGTGCTTCTCCTCTTGTGCTGTATGTCCGGCGCTGCTCTTCTCATTCTTCATGCTCAGCTGCACAGAGGCATATCCAGCCCTCATATCACCATACGACCTCCATCCCCGCCATCGCACCCACACAAAAGCCTCTCTCCCATCCCACCGCCATCCCCCCCCCCTTTTTCACCACCACCCAAAAAAAACCAAACCCCTTCTCAAACCTTCTCCAACGTCTTCTGAATCGGCTTCGCCGCATCAATAAAATTCTCCAACTGCTTATCCAGACTCGCCAAATCCTCCTTCCTCCTCTTATTATCCGCAATCAACCCCTGCTTCATCTTCAAAAGCCCCTGCCTCTGCTGCTCCAGCGCCTCCCTCTCCGCATGCTCATGCTCAATCCGCGCCGCCATCAATGCCTCCTCATCCTTCCCAACGTGCTCCGGGAAGAGAGTTAGGAACTCGGATTCGGGGATCAGGGGGAGCTCGAGGTATTTGTGGCTGCCATTTTCGTTAGTAACTAAACTTCCAGCCATTGGGGAGGACGGGGGGGGGGGACAAACTCATAAGCCTCACAAGCCGCAATCTCGCCCTGCAAATGCCTCTGCTCGTAATACAGATTCTGCAACTGCAAGTGCAGCCTATCGACCTCCTGGCGCGCCTCAGCCGTCTGCGCCTTGGTGTCGCGCGCGCCGAAGGTGGCTTGGCGCTGGAGACCGCGCAGCTGGGCCAGGTAGCCGTTGAGCAGCTTCTGTTGCTTGGAGATCTGGAGGGCGGCGGTGGAGGGGGGGAGGGGCGAGGAGGTCAGGGTGAGGAGGTCGATGGCTTGTTGGCGGGCTTCGCGGGAGGCGATGAGGACGGCTTTGAGGGAGGGGTCGGTGACGACCGTGTCGATTGCCATTGTTGCGATTGTGGGGGAGAGTTAGGCTTGTGTTTGTTTGTGGAGGTAGGTTCTGTAGAACGGTAGGTGGTTTTGTTTGCTGAGATCGTGGAGAGTTGAGGTCGAGGCTGATAGTTCAGCCTTACGTCTTGTCTTGTCTGTCTGTGTTCTCCCTTGTTACCAACGACACATCACATGATAATATATCACGTGATATTTTCTGAATCTTCAATCTTGAATATTTTCTAGTGGTGGCGGACAAGTCGGTTACACATCACATGACTTAGTCGGAGTTTTCGTCCCTTCAGTCCGAACCAAGCCGCTCCCACTTGCCTCCTTTTGGCTGACTTATGACGGCTCATAGGAGTCTGGGCACGTCTTGGCTGGTTATTCCGCTCAAAATTGCATGTGCCAACAAATACAAACAGGAGGACATATCTGGGAATGAATTTCCACTTTCCAAACTCATTACAACTTAATTAAAGATTAAAACATATTCACATTCATTTATATTATATTCATACCAGTACATATATTAAAGATCTTTGTCCTCCCCACAAGAACCCCACACCCTGTTATCCCCCGACCAAGATTTTAACCGCCGCTGCTCCCCACTAGAACCTCCGCCGGCGGTTTCGAACCTGCAGTTTATAGTGCTCCTTTAACGACCACAGCCGATTGACGGACCTCCCCCTCTTCAGACTTCAATTTCCAGTCCTCCACGCTGGCTACAAACAAAACAATAGCATTCATTATATCGCTCGAGATTCACAGCCCGTGAATCAGCGACTAGCTTTCGAAGTGGCATACGCAAACTCCTGAGCCAAACATGGCTTCGACTACCGCCCTAGCCGCCGGGGCGGAATGCTCTACAGAAACCATGAGCGCAACGACATCGGGCATTGAGGCTCCAGCAGCGCCCTACAAACGACGCCATTCGTCGTTCCGTAGTGGGAGGCTATCCATCTCCAGCTTGGACTGGGAGGACGGGCTTCAGTTGAAGGTACATCCCAATTCGAACCCAACGACCATCCAGGGACATTGTTAACTTTCTCTGTTTAGATTGACCTCTTCCTCGAAGAATTAGAGCGCCGATTAGACTTGATTGAGGAGTACGGCGATATCGACCTCGATGCCAGCATCCAGCGAGCCTACGCGACTTTACAAGCGGTACGAGCACGATGCTCGCAGGTGTCCGGAGAAGTCCTCGACGCTGGCCGCAGGAGAGCCAAGGTCATGGTGGAGACTGTAGAGTCGAGATATCAACACGCGCTGGTAGCGAAGGAGACATTTGCTGAGAAGGCACAGACGGGGCTCATTCTATTAGAAGAGATGCTGTGTGAATACGAAGCGCGCGCAATGAAATTCCGGGAGCAGGGCTTCTGCAACGCCGCAAACACGGTCATTGAAGGCGGCCGCAGAATGGTCGACGAGGGTATTGGCAGGGCCAAGGTGGTGGTAGACGACAGTATCGAACGCGCCATGAAAGCCGCCGAGACCCTGGACATCCGCATAGCGCACGCCGTCTCGCAAGCTAAGAAGCACGGCCTAATCACCTTCCAAGACCTGCCCGCCCCATGGCAAGTGAACCCTCACATCACGCGGGGCTACCGCTTCTCGGAGTCCAAAGTGCACATCCTGCGCTCCACACTCACCATCTCCAACGAGCTCGTGAACATCTGGTCGCACGCCATCGGCCTCCTAATCGTCCTCTCCATCGCCTTCTACTTCTACCCCACCTCCGTGAACTTCTCCCTCTCCACCACAGCCGACAAAGTCATCGCGGCCGTCTTCTTCTTCGCAGCCTGCAAATGCCTCGTCTGCTCCTGCCTCTGGCACACCATGAACTGTGTCGCGAACCGCACGCTGCTCGAGCGCTTCGCATGCGTGGATTACACCGGCATCTCCTTACTGATCGCCGCCTCCATCATGACGACGGAGTACACGGCGTTCTACTGCGAACCGGTCGCTAGAAGCGTCTACCTCATCGCCACCGCAACCCTCGGCGTCGCCGGCGTCATCCTCCCCTGGCACCCGACCTTCAACGCGAAGAACATGGCCTGGGGCCGCGTCGCATTCTACGTCACCCTCGCTGCGACAGGTTTCGTGCCTGTGTTCCAGCTCGTCAAGACGCGTGGCGGGGACTGGGCGTGGGATTTCTACGCGCCGATCACGAAGAGCATTGCGGTGTACTTCTGCGGCGCGATCGTCTATGCTAGTAAGGTGCCTGAGAAGTGGTATCCCGGCGCGTTTGACTACGTGGGGGGGAGCCATAACTTGTGGCATTTTGCGGTGCTGGGGGGGATCTTGTTCCATTATCGCGCTATGGAACATCTTTTTGCGGCGGCGTTTGAGCGCGCGCAGTTGGGCTGCCCTACGTCATGAATGATTGGTATTTCAGAGTCAAAAGTACATATATGATTTAGAGCCAGATATGTTGGAGTGGGGGGTATTGTATATCGAGGAGATGATACATGAAATGAGGTGAGATGCATTGCATATTCCCGTCTGGATGGTGACGGGAACGAAACCTGGCCTTCGGCCGCAACTTTTTTATTTTATATATATTTCTTGGGAGTAAGGCATGGCGACGGAGTCAAACTTGTTGTGGATGTTTCTTTTTTGGCAAAGCATTTGCATAATAGATGGGGCAGAGGAGGAATAATGGTATGAGAAGATTTGCATACCGCATATGAGCCTAGAGAGATCGCGCTGTTGAGCGTTCCATAGACTATAATTTACAGTTTACATGACACACTCATCGTATATATTCGTGATATCAAAGTTTCATGTCTAACCAAACGGGTATATTGGTCTCTAGTAACTCTTTATGTCATAAGCCACAAAACCCCCCATCATACTTTGCGCAGCGAAAGCACCCCCCCATACCCCCAATCCCCTTCACTCCCCCCTCCGCTTACTCTCCAACAACCACGCCCCTCCCTGCGGCCCACTCGCATCCAAACTAACCGTCGTCTTAAACGCATCACTAAAAACCCTAACCAGCATCGCCACATTCCCATAATCGCACTCACTCGTCACCCTCACCTCCTCCTCCTTCTTCCCCACCTCCCCCTTCTCCCCCTCCTTCTTCCCCTCTCCCTTCTTCTCCCCCACCACCGGCACAGCCTTAACCTCCAAACTAGGGAACGGCAAGTACCCTTCGCGTAGCGGGATGAGGAGAACGGGGAACCGTAGTGTTGTCGGCGGCGCAGACCCGGAGGCGGGGATCTTGAAACCCCCCTTGCGACGCCCGCCGAGGAGCCAGGTGTCTGAGGGCGCGCTGAGCTCGTATGTGAATGCCAGTTCTGTGGCGCGGTGGGGGGAGTCGGGGTTGTCCCAGGCGCGGGTGTGTTTTAGGACTAAGGTGGCTGGGATGGGTTGGTTAGTGACAGCGACGAGCTCGTCGTCGGTGGTAGTCTCCGCGCCGTGGGGAGAGGGGGTGGTGAGTTGCAAATCCGCGGTGTGGACGACTGTTATAGACGGTACAGCGACAGGGATGGTGATAGAGCGGCTCTGCGCTATAGTATCCGCTGTGATGACCAAAGGCGGAAGCGGGATGAACGGGTGCGCGGCGTGGAATTCGCGGATCCAAGTCGCTATTTGCGTTATTACGTCGGTGGGTTGCTGGGAGGAGGTGTGCAGACCGCCGAAGTAGGGGGACCAGTTTGTGTCCAGCAGGGTGGAGGTGAGGAGTTCGCCGAGGAGGGCGGCGCGCTCGAGGTCGTAGGCGGAGAGGCGGGAGTGGAGGACGGAGAGGATGGCGGGGATGATGAGGCGGGTGTATTGGTGGAGAGGGGTGGTTTTGAGGGAGGTGGTTAGGGCGGTGGTGATGGCGGAGTCGATTTCTTCTTCGAGGCAGATGTAGTGGAGCTTCAGTTGTAGGGAGGAGACTTGCTTTTTCTTGCCGCCGGAGGGGATGATGGGTGTCTTTCTGCGGTTGATTCGGTAGAGGAGTGACGCGGACTGGCGGGGGTAGATGACTACTGAGTCCATGAATTCGTCTCCACTGCAGGCTTCGTAAATATCTGATTCTGAGAGACTTGAGCTGAGAAGTCGTAGAGGATTGGTTGTGGCGGATGAGATTGTAAACTTCGAAAAGAGCGCCTTCCGCTTGAATACATCCTGCACATTGACGCCGAGAGGTAACAGCACCGAGATAGTCGGGCTGCATGCGAGGAAGAAGACTTCCTTGCCCACCGTGTACGACATTTCAACCTTAAGCGCTAGCGTACTTGTCTCCTGCTCAAGACTAAATGGCAAGCTAAGCTTAACGGTTGAATTCGCAGGTAAAGCCCCAAAGCGAATAACCCCTGGACTCGATTTCTTCATGATCTCAAGTTCGCCATCGAGCACTTTCGTCTCTGCAGTTTGTAGGCGGAGACCTGCTGTCGCGGCGCGGACATGGATCTCGCCACTAGCGACATCGTTCCAGCCGGATGAGAATGTAACCTCGAGAGCCCTTTGGCGGTCCAGGTGCAGATTTTGGGAGGCGGCCATCTTGACGTCAAATGAGTCTGCGCGTTGGTATAGACGGATGCGGGGGCATTTGAAGAAATCCATGCTCTGTGTCATGGCTGGCGGTGCACTCTCGGTCTCGTAAGACATTACCATCTTTGACGAATATAGCACGAGTTGCTTAACGACGTACGTCCCAGGAATAGTAACCTGCGCGAGTGTTAGATGGCATCATAGAGTGGTTGATGGGGATGCTTACGTTGCTCTGGAATTGTAGCCTATTAATCCCAGGCTTCAAATCCATAGGTTCCTGTAAATCAAGCCATATATCTCGAGCCTGTCCCGCCGTAACTGGTACCAACCGAGCCTTTGCCTTGTCAATATGCAGGTCATCAGGAAGAAGGTACCGAAGTTTAAGCTGAATAGAGAAGCTATCACGGCCTTCATGGTACCTCGCAGCTCCCTCAACTTCGATGCGAGCAAAGAAGTACTTCAATGAGACGGCGAAATCATTCTGCAGAGTAGGAACAATCGTCATCAGCTCCGTCAGATATCCATCAACGGATACATCTTCGAGGGCCTGCAGTGCGTCCTCGTGGCCAAGTTTAACCCCAGATTTTCGGAAATAATCGCTCTTCGCATGACCAGCAGCTTTAGCCAGAAGGTTGATAGCTACCCTGACATACTCGTCGTTCCGCTTAAGCTCTTTTAAGCACCTGGTATACATCACCAGCATAGACATCTGGATCTGCTCCCATCCCGATTCACCGTAGAATCGCGTTATGCGGTATAGATATGATGCTGCGCCAGCATAATCATCCAGGTGATATCTCAGAACCGCAAGGTCTGCCATATTCGCCTGCACAGACTGAGTGTGTCCTGCCACTGAAAAGTGGCGCAGGGCTTTATCCGTTAATATCTCATACAGTCGGTTGAAATCCTCCTGGGTTTCCAGCGCCGTTCGGAGAAGCTTATTGTCAATCCCCTGAAGGGATGGCGTGCCTTTATCTAACTTGTCCGGGGATTCTTTAGAGTCAGAGTTCAGATCAACCTCTTCCATAGCACCAGTTCCAACGTTTGAAGATTGAAGCTCCTCCCATCCCACAGACCACTTTCTTTTCTTACCAAGTCGTTCAAGGACAATTCGGCTGAGAAGGTAAATCTGAGCTCTGCCGGCAGCCAAATCTTCAAGCCCGGCTTTTAAGAACGTGGAGCTGACACTGGCGTTACTATCAACTGCAGCCGAGCTGGCTCTTCGGCCCGGAAATACACCAGGGCTTGTCGCCCTTGGTGGCGGATTCGTAATGAGTGATGAGGACCTTGCGGGGTGCATCATAGTTTTAGGTTCTGGGATAGTTGCCTTCTCCTGGTCAGGGCCATCCGTTGCATTCATTGGTGCCAAGTTAGAGGCAGGAATTGGCAGCGCCTTCGTTGCTGTCTGAGCCAGTATTTGCTGGGTAACAGAAAACGTAAACGACGATACGACATTGTCGATAGCTTGGGCTGTGGCTAGATCCTCCGATGTACTCGACTTTGCGTCAGGGTTTTTCTCTTTCGATATATACAGAGCAGATGTAATGTCGTCGCGCATGATCCTGCTTATAGATGCCAGGAAGTTAATAGAGCGTCGACAGATCTCGCTCAGAAGAGCGAGGTTCTCTCCCTCTTCGTTCGCCTGGGTCGGTGGATGCCGAGCAGCGACTCCGAGAAGGGATGTTTCGCGCTGCTCCTTTAACTTGGCCAGAAGCTCTTCTCTAGATGATACGGCATTTCCCATGCGTAGGAGCAGGGAGAGCTGTCGAGCGAACAAGTAGCATCGGAAGTCGAATATCGAGATGTTATTCGCCAAGATAAGTTCACGGTACGGCTTCCGGTCTGCACTCAGGAGGATCTCATCTTGGTCGGCCTTCTGAGCATTATCGGAGCTCTGGAGGTCGACAGTGTCTTCTGAATCCGACGGGTCTACAGCATCCCCGTTCGCGATTCTCTTCTTGGCCTGCTCAACTTGGCCGAATAAGTCGTCCGTATAAGGCAAAAACGAACCGCCATGTTCAGCCCCCGTCCCAGTCGCAGCTTGCTCCCTAATAATCGCATCCAGCCCCACAGCAAGCTCATCATATCCAACCAGCGCATCCTCCACCAAGCCCACACTCTCAAACCCCCTCGCTAGCCCCTCCTTCAGCACAAAGAACGTGCAAAAGTTCCACCCCGGCAACGCCCTCTGCGCATCCTTCTCCTTAATATCATCCTCATACTGCGTGACCCGCATATCAAACGAGTCCAAAATCAGCTTCTTAAACTTCGCAATCAGATCCTGCCACGCCGCCTCGTGCTCCTGCGCACTTTCCGTATACGACCCCGGTATCGCGGGTACGACTCGCGGCAGGCGATCGTATGGCACATCATTAACACCAATCCTGATCTGCGCGACGCGATCCACCGGCGCCTTCGCCGTGCCATTAAAATCCGCTTTCAGCTTCTCATAGATGGTATTCCCGCCCTTCGCACTAACGCGCGGCTGCGTCGCCGCGGCCGTGTTCGGCACAATAACATGCAGAATCAGGTACTCAAACGCATCATGATTCTCCTGCGCGCTAAGCTTCGCCGTGCTCTGCGCCGGCGGCGTATGCGCCTTCACCCACTCGCGAACCTGTTTCCTAGCCTGCGCTTTATAGGTATCATTGTCGTCGCATCTTACGAGCAGGACTTTGAGGTACGGCGTCTGTCTCAGGCCGGGGATTTGGTGACGCCGCCCTTTCACCGGGACTTGGAGAGGAGCAGGCGTCTTCCCTTCTTCGCGATCGCGGTCGTTGCTTGATTTCCCGAGGGGCTGCGTGCGGAAGCCGTCGTCGCCGCTGATGGTGGAGTCGTTGGATTTGACGCGCGAGAGCTCGGGGCTGCTGGCGGAGGAGGGGGGGCGCGCGTCGGCGGCGGGGACGAGGTCGACGTGCAGGGAGCGGATGGATCTTAGGGGGCCGGCGTGGGATTCCCAGTGTAGTGTTCGGAGGGGGAGTCGAGCCAGGAGGCCGGGGGAGAGAAGCTCGTAGACATTGTAGGGGTCGAAGTACTCAACTGTGGAGTGGAGTTAGTGGTGTGGTAGGCACGGGGGGTTGGGTTTGGGTTTGCTTACCGGTGACCTTTGAGCTTGAAGATGGCTGTTCCATTGCAGACAGCTATTGGGAGCATCAGATCATCTTAGAGGCAATCTGTATTCATGGACGGGGGGTTATCAATCGGGGTCCGGCCACATCGCGATACTGCCCTAGTAATAGCTCGGAGTGGTAAGGCGGTGAGAGCTCAAGCTCCCACTGCCAAGACAATATATCATTCAACTTCCCCTCTTACACTTCACTTTGAATAAGAGTCCAATATTGGTAACAGTTAAATAAATTTATGTCTGGTCTGTTTCTAGGTTGCATAGTTGCACACGGCGGTTTTATTCCAATTTGTATTGGGACGCTACAGAAATTGTTCTCATTGATAAATAATCCTACTAGACTTATAATAAACACATAAAACAATTATTTCTGGTCATGAAAGAGTAAATAATCCTAACTTACAAACTACAATGAAGACGCTAATGCACCAAAAATACAATAGATAATAAACATAAGAAAACTTGTCATCACACCTTTTCGCTAGAAACCCACAGATTATGCCCTTCGTTCGTCGTATATCGTTATGGATCGTCAGTCTGTCCCAGTCGTCTCATCAAATACTCACAAACAGTCTCCCCCTCTCCCCTATTGCTGTCACCTGTGCATCGCAACCACCTCCCTCTCCCTCCCAACCTGAAACACCCTACTCATAGCCGGCAAATCCTCCCCCGCATCCATCTCCCTCCTCTCCATCGTCTCCTTCATAATCATCCCCCCCACCTCCGCATTCTCCATCCAAAACAAATGCGTCTCCTCCCCATGATTCTTCCACAACCTCGCCAACATAAACCCCACCCTCGCAAACACCATCTTCAGCAACACATCATTTGCACTCAGCCCCGCATGCAACTTTCTACAGCACTCCAGCAGAAGAGGCTGCGCGGCATCCATCCCGGCCGTCTCGAGGTAGTCGATGATGCAGAGCCGTATGCAGGACTTGAAATCATCGAGACAGTATCGCTCGGCGCAGATATACACGTCGACGCTGAGTTCATACGCCATCAACCAAGTTCGCATATCCTCCCCATCCATCCTCGGTTCCGGCGCCGGATCCACCACCCCCCTATCCCTCGACAACCTCCTCTGATTTCCCCCCCTCGGCCGCGGCGGGCCACGACGATGCATTATCGCCCCCGGATGAGGAGGATGGACGCCCACAGGTGGCGGCGGTGGAGGGACACCCCAGCCGCCGGGAGGAGCAACGTATCCTGCGTAGGCGCGGCGGGGGGGAAGGGGACGGTTGGATTGCACGCCGCAGTTCCAGCAGGGCGGGCGCTGGTTGTGGTTGAAGCAGGTGGAACAGTTGCAGCCGAGGCGGTGGCGGCCGGGTTCTTTGCGGTTGAGGCGGTCGAAGGTGCGCTGTTGGCGGCGTTGGCGGGCTTGGAAGCGGCGTTCGCTTCGCATTCTGGGGAGGGTTGTTAGTGATAGGGATAGGGGGTTAGAGGTTGGTGGCCCGGGGGGGGGGGGGGGGGGGGGGGGGGGGGGTTGGAAGGTTGGCCTTACGAGTCGTCACTGCTGCTGTTGCCGATTTCGCTGCCGCTGCCGCTTTCTGATTCTTCGTTCTCTTCTTCTCCCTCCCTTCCCTTCCCTTTCGGAAGTTCCACAACTAGACCCATCATCAGCATATTGATACCCCCCCAGACCGTAAAAACTCACCCAATGCATCAACCGCAGGCTTGATAGGAGAAAATTTCCCCTCATAAAGGTATGCCACCACAAAGCTAAACAACGCCGGGTCTTCCTCCGGCAAGTCCACAGCCTGCTCGTCCGCCTCCCTAAACCGCCCATCAAGCGCGTTCCTGAAGAACTCCGATTTCGTGAGGATATCCTTGTGAACGTAGAACGTCTCCGCTTCAGGCCCGCACCTGACTGGTATAATCGGCGATTGATGGCGCCTAAGAGAGAACATAATGTTAAAACCAATTCCCACAAGAAGACCCTTATCAAAACTCCCAACATAGCAACAAACCATCCAACAAAAATCCACACCACCCAACGCCCTCCCTTCCCATCGACCCCTAAACCCCCATGCCAAAACCCGCAAAACCGAATAACAAACAAGCAAAATAAGATAAAAAACACACCACTCACCCATCCACAGTCGAAAGCCACAAGTCCTTCTTGACACTAACGAACACCCTCCTCGGCACCTCCACATGCGCCTCATCCAGCACCACCACGGCCGGCACCGCCACGCTCGGCTCCCTCATCGCATCCGCCAACGTGCGCTCCTTTCCCCTCTGCGCCGCAGCCGAGGACTCCGCGCGGGGCGTCGTTATGGTCGACATCCCTCTCTGCTCCCGTCCGGATCGTCTGTCCTAAAACAGCAGACAACACTTAAATCCTTATCCTATCGTCCAACTCTGTCTTCTCCGCCTCACTAAACCAGCCTCGATGACAGGGACAGACTGCTGGACGAACTTGCAGATAACCCGAGAAAAGAAATGATGAGAAGGCTGCGCTGAACTCAACAAAAGACTCGTCGTCCCCGCAGCAGCCCTCACCACGCAAGCACCCGACGAGGCTCCAGGCTGCAGCTGCGGCTCTACGGGGGCAGCCAACCAAAGAACGAGGTGTCAGCTCATTCACACCTAGCTGGTATCCAAGCCGGGTGATGGGCGGGTATGGGTATGGGTATGGGTATGGGTATGGTAGGGCTTAGAGGGCCCGCTGGCTGGTGCGGGTCATGCGGATCATGCGATGCGGTTCGTGTCGTGGGAGTGTCCGTTAGTGACGTATTTGCTTGGGTTACGATATCATGGTACTATCATTTCAGCGGAAGCTCCCGGTATATATGGTACGGGGAGAATAGTGTAGAGTGATTATATTGGGGATATGGAGGAGCCAGCAGGAAAGGTAGGAAGAGGATGGCGGAGCAGAGGCAAGCATCCGCACAAGGCGGGTATCTGCCTCCTCGCCTTCCACAGGGATCGTGGCACCTCTCAAGAGCGTGGAGGCCGTGGTGTGATAGCCGGTTTGGGTGAGTGAGTGGCTGCTTGCGTGTGTGCTGCAGTGATTTGACTGCATGATAGCAAGGGGTGCCAATGGATGGGTGGTGGGCGTGGTGTGTAAGCCTTGTTTTCTACTGCAGCTCTATCTTACTATCACTTCTGTGGGGGTGGAGCATCAGCAACAGGAGCCTAATATGGGGGAAGGAGAGTTGTTGATGGATTTATGGACTGTGGACTGTGTTTTGGATTTTTTATTTTATGCATGATGATCTTTTTGTTTTGGGCGGGGGGGAAAATAAAATGATAGATGATGGATACGAGGTGAGGGGTGTCTTGGAACGGCGGGTGCGGGGGTGGGGGGGTTGTCAGACATCAAGGTTGCGATTAGATACGGGATGACGAGTTTTTTTGTTTGGAAGCTTAAAAAGAGGCCTACGTTATTAGAAAGGTGTTTATTGGGGAAATAAAATTGTTGGATTTTGGGATTGAGTAATTGGCAAGCTGTATATTTTAAATCAATCCCTACCGCCTTCATGGTGCTCCAAAGCAGGAATTATAATCGCAAACGATGCCCCTCCTCGACAGCGACAGCCAAGACTTCTCAATTCTCCCCTCCCTTCTACACCACTTCTCACCCACCACCCGCCAACATGGCGAAGTAACCGCGCATTAGTCTACATATTAACCCACCACCTCCCCACGTCGCATCCTAATAACGGCACCGCAGTCGCAGTCGAAAACGGACAATCCAATCCCCAACACCCCGCGTCTGACCCCCAGTCTGACAGCTGGACAAGCATACATCACCCATCCGCCGACATCATCTCAGCTCCACAGGGTTCACAAGTCATCATCATAGCGACCGGGAAAGCGATTTCCCGGTTGATAGCCAGAGATTTCCACCGGGTAGAGGGAGGTTTTAGGAGGGGGAGGTGTGGGATGGAGGAATGCGGGGGTGGGGGGGTTATACGTTTCAGCTCGTCCGGGTTCTGGGTTTATTATCAATGCATATAGGGCGGACGATGCAACGGTTACAGGTTATGTGGGTGACAATTGCGCGCGAGTCAAGAGGACCGTTTTAAGTATTCCGTCGCACGCGCGCACCACTCGAAGAGATCTCACAAAACCATCCAAGACAAATAGACAAACAGAGCAAGAGCACAGGATTAGATAAAAACAGGGAACGAACCCCTCGCCGAAAGCAAGCAAGCAAGTACACACGTACGTTACACTTTATAACAAGATAAGATCCCAATCTCCCCAGCACATAACAAAATTTTCCGTAAAAATATATCGCTCTAGCATCCCCCATCTTCTCCGCGCGCCAAGCGCCTCACCCCGCAATCCCTCTAATAATCGTCCCTCTCACATCTCTACATAAGCACAGCTTAGAAGAGCGCGAAGACCATGACCATAGCGCCGAGGAGGCCGCTGCCGACAATGGCGTTGCGGGGCGCAGCGCCGGTGGGGGTAGCGGATGGCGGGGTGGTAGGCGCCTCGGTGGAGGTGGGTGGGGTGATGCTGGTCTCGAGGGTGGTGGATGGGGCCTCAGTGGTGCTCGGGGCCTCGGTGGTAGACTCAGCAGTCGTGGTGGACGCCTCGGTGGAGGTGGTGGATGGGGCTGCCTTGGTAGAGGTGGACGAGGCCTTGGTGGAGGAGGAGGTGGTGGTGGGCTCGGCAGCGGTGGAGATCTGGGAGACCTTGATGGTGGTGGTTGACTTTCCTTCGGTGGACTCGGCAGTGGAGATGCTGATGGTGCCCTCGCCGGCGCCGGCGGTGGAACCGCCCTCGCCGCCGGAGATGGTGAATGGGTTGGAGTATTGGAATTGATCGTGGTTGGAGTCGAGCTGGAGCAGGATACCGTAGGCGGCGAAGGGGGCGGAGGCAGGGACGGTCCAGTCGAAGTGGCCGACGGCGCTGTCAATGGAGCCTGTAGTGGTTGTTAGGTGTGCTGCGCCGCAGGATTGGGGAAGGGGAACTTACTGGCGATGGCTTGCTCGGCGATGTCGAGGCTCTGGGCGTCCTTGCCCTGCATCAGGAGGAGGGTGATGGGTGCGGGAGGGTCGCTGGGAGTCCATCTGATGGTGAAGGTCGAGCCGGCCGGGATGACCTCGTGGCTGGTTGGTGCGGTGAGGACATTGAAGCCGGGGATTTGAGCGAGGACGCTGGTGGTGGTGGCGAGTGCCAAAAGGCAGGCCTTTGCGAATGAGTACTGCATGTTGAAGAATTGAACGCGAGGTCGATCGGTGTAAAGAGTGACTGGTATCCGAGGATACTGAATGAGCGACAAAGGGCAGAAATAACAAAAAAATGAAGGTCAGCGGCGCAGTAATGTAAAGTGTAAAAGGTTAAGAAAGCTGAAGGCGGAGGTGTCGCAGATGGACATAGGCAGCGAGGGCCAGGCGCCAGTCCAGTGTCAGCCCCCGCAGGGATCCTCTTACCTGAGGGCCTCATTGGAAATTGGGTGTGAAGTCCATCGAACTGCCCATCTTAGCGGACCAACAGGCAGGTGGATACTCACAGGGAAGAAATTAACGATCATATCGAAGGGTTGGACTGGGGTGTGTCTCCCAAAATAAACCATAAGTCTAGCCCAGGGCGGACAAGATGGCGAGAAAGTCTCTCAATATTTCCCCGGAACCTACCTTTTGCAGCTGGATGAGGCGAATCATCAAGTGATCTAGGAACGGCAAATGTTCAGCCCCTTGCCTTGATTGCGGCAATGGTGGTAGGTAGACAGACGATGTATTGATTTGAGGCGTTTCTTTGGTTTGTTGGGGGGGCTCATCGCTGACACGGTAAGGGTCCATGGTTGTAGAGCACCCGCGGCACAGTGTCTGAAAGCCACGAGGTAGGTGCGGCTGGGGGGGAGCAAGAAAGAGTCCGCAGCACGCAACGAACGCATCCATGCATTGGCCCCATGGGTGTCGGTGTCTCTGTTTGTCACTTCACCTGTGCCTCGACGCATCCAATCAAGGATGCGTAGACGGAAAGTGCATTGGGCGGCGCAGCAGCGACAACAGCAGCAGAGTGAATGGACAGTGAGTGGACAGCGAGTGGACCATGGTGGATGACGGTGGATGGTTGGTGGATTATAGTGGATGACAGTGGATGACAGTGGATCTAAGCCATGGTGCCGCACATTCCGACGTTGACGGGTCTTATTGGATGAATGTGCCAATGAGGCAGCTGGGGGGAATATTTACCCATGGAGAAGTGGGAATTTAGCAACAGAAGCAACAGTGCGCAATTACGGCTAATCCCCTCTAGTGCCCAAAGGAGTAAAAAGGAAGCAAGCATGGAGACACCACCACACACCATCAGAACACTAGCGATAGGCAGCGTTAGGCAGTGTGTTGGACTGTGGAGGCAAAAGGGGATCAGCAAGATTCTTAAGGGTCTGAAGGTTCTGACCGCCCATGACCGACATCTTAGGCATCTTGCGCATCTCACGGATTTGACCGACCACACCACAACAGCTTACCTGCTTTGGGGATAGCCGGGTCTAATGGGCCGATCCAGTGAAACTAACGTCAGGAACGGAAGAACTAATCCTCCACATTGCTTATCTTTTTATCTTTTCTTGTCTCCTGATTGCTGACATCATTTAAGCGAGGTCTCATGTCTTTCGAGTATCGAGTCTGGAGTCTCAGGTCGGGAAGTGGGAACCTCAATCAAGCCTCACGTCTCACGTTCTCCTTGAAGCAATACAACGCGCGAGTCACATGACACATACATCCCCATCCCAACAACACACCTACCTAACCCTGGCTTATGGGAATTTCTGAATATGGCAATGCCAAGACAGATATATTGTGCATTATAAGACAATAAACAAACTGCAAATCAACCTCCTACTAACTTCCTTAATAATCAAAGTCATGTGCTGATTATCTCATTGGACGACAATTGGGAAGGAGCGAGACACCACATCATCATGCCTCGAGTAACCTTAGTAACCTTAGCACCGTTCCTGGCCTGACAAAGACAGCAATGAGGGGTAAGACACGATATTCAACAGTTTACCTCATAGCTGTCTTAAACACCTATTACTACTCTTCATATTATATTCCATAGTCCTCTTCTGTCATTATTTAAATCTCCAAAAACCAATGCTATAATGTCTTCGTGAGTGACGACTCTACCCCAGATTCTTCCCTATCGCCTTCCCACTTGGTCTCTGCCCCGCACATCATCCCTGCCGTGACCTTGGTAGCTCGGTGGCTAACCAGCGAATGCTCACTCCGCAGCACGAACTTGCCAGAGAACATTCTCAAGACAACCACTGCTGCACTGAAAGACACAATCATGGGCGGACAACCTGCTGCGGAGGCAGACGGCCAGTATCCTCAATTGTCTGCGAAACCGGTCGGGCAGCGGATCTCGCGGATTTATAAGGAGCGCATTAACTCGTTTACGGCGGGTGGCCAATATGAGAGCCAAAACTTACGATCGTGAGTTGATTTAATGGCGGTAATTATAATACCAGAACCGTCGCTGATTACGTATTTGATAGTATGCTGAATGAGGCTGTGGTGTCTGGAGAACCGCATGTCAGACTATCAGTCTATAACGTGCCAGACCTTGCTCGGCCGCCCTTCAAAGATGCTGTTTCCCACGACTTTAAGCCCACCAAAGTCGGCGAGTCTTTTGGCCCGTCGTGGTCAACCCACTGGTTCAAGGTGGCTATCACAATTCCTAAGGAGCTACTGAAGAAGGAGCTTCTTGAGTTACACTGGGATGGTAATAACGAGGCGCTCGTGTGGTCTGAGGATGGCCACCCATTGCAGGGCCTAACAGGCGGAGGCGAAAGAGTAGAATGGGTTATTCCTGATTCCTTCAGAGACGGGAAAGAACATATCGTATACGTCGAGATGGCCTGTAATGGCATGTTCGGCAATGCTCCTGGAGGAGACTCCATCCAGCCACCTGATCCAAACAGGTATTTCAGACTAGGCAAGGCGGAGATTGTCGCCGTTAACGTTCAGGCGAGGGCTTTACGCCTGGACTTCTGGGTTATTGGCGATGCTGCGAAAGAGTTCCCAGAAAATTCCTGGGAGCAGCACAAAGCACTTCAGGTCGCAACGTCAATAATTGACGCTTTCGAGGCTGGCAACCAGGATTCGATTATAAAAGGTAGGAAGATTGCCCAGGAATACTTGGGTGAGAACGTAGACTCCGAAAAGGTCTACGAAACCGGCACCGAACCTCTTGTATATGGAATTGGTAACTGCCACATCGATACATGTTGGCTCTGGCCATGGGCCGAGACCAAAAGAAAGGTCGCCAGAAGTTGGACAAGTCAATGCAACCTCCTTGATTCCTATCCAGAGCATCGTTTTACGGTCTCCCAAGCACAGCAATTCAAATGGTTGAAGGAGTTCTATCCATCCCTCTTTGATAGAGTCAAGGCGCATATTAAGAAGGGTAACTTCCAGACTGTTGGAGGTAGCTGGGTGGAACACGATACAAATATGCCAAGTGGAGAATCACTTGCTCGTCAGTTCCTATACGGCCAACGCTTTTTCGAGAGCAACTTCGGGGAGCGATGCAAGACGTTCTGGCTTCCAGACACCTTCGGCTACTCCGCGCAACTCCCGCAATTGTGCAGGCAATCGGGCATGAAGCGCTTCTTTACCCAGAAGTTGAGCTGGAACAATATCAATAAATTCCCGCACACCACGTTCAATTGGGTGTCCCTTGATGGAAGCCAGGTTATCTGCCACATGTGTCCGTCTGAGACGTATACTGCGGAAGCTAACCTTGGCGACCTTCGTAAGAGCGTAACCCAACATAAGTCGATGGATCAGGATGCGACCTCGCTCTTGGTCTTTGGGAAGGGTGACGGTGGTGGCGGTCCTACATGGGAGCATTTGGAGAAGCTCAGACGTTGCAGAGGGTTGAGTGATAAAATAGGCTCATTGCCTAGAGTTCACATGGGACAGTCCGTGGAGGACTTCTATGACCGACTTGAAGACCGAATTGGGAAGGGCTTGGATCTCGTCACTTGGTATGGTGAGCTGTACTTTGAGCTTCACCGTGGGACATACACGACCCAGGCGAACAACAAGCGCAATAATCGGAAGGCTGAGTTCCTGCTTCGTGATATTGAGCTTTTGGCTACTGCTGCGTCTCTTAAGAATTCGAAATACAAGTATCCTAAGGAGGATATAGATGATATATGGGAGGCTACGTTACTGTGCCAGTTCCATGATTGCCTACCGGGGAGTTCGATAGAGATGTGCTACGACGACTCCGATGAAGTAAGGACCCCCTACCCAACTACTTGAAACATTCTAATTGAACTTGCAGCTTTACGAAAAGGCATTCACAACTGGGCATAGACTTTTAAAAGAAGCCCACAAAGCACTTGGTCTTGAGGACCCTGTAATTTCTGGGGTCAGTGGTGGACTTGTTGCTGTGAACACCCTTCCATGGTATCGCAAAGAGATCGTGAGAATCTCAGAGACCGCAGTCGGCGTAGTTTGTGGAAGCGGAACTGCCATCAAAATCAAGCCATTCAACATCGCCGAAAAGCCAGCCGTGACAGTCCGCGAAGTCATCAAAGACGTCTTCGTCCTAGAAAACGACCAGCTCAGAGTCCAGGTCGAAGGCGGGAACATCACATCCCTCTACGACCACCGAGCCGGCCGCGAAGTCATCCCCAAAGGCAGCCGGGCCAACCAGCTCGTGATCTTCGACGACAAGCCGCTCTACTGGCAAGCCTGGGACGTCGAAGTGTACCACCTCGACTCACGCAAGGAGCTCCACGCCACCAGCACCCGCGTCGTTGAGAACACCCCCCACCGCGTCAGCGTCCAGAGCGAGACCCGCATCAGCGACGTCTCCTGGATCAAAACAACCATCAGCCTCAGCGCCGCCTTCGTCAACACCCCCTCCCTCGTCGAAATCACCGCCAACGTCGAGTGGCGCGAAACCATGCGCTTCCTCAAGGTCGAATTCCCCGTCGACATCCGCAACACCGAGGCCTCATACGAAACGGCATTCGGCATCGTGCGCCGCCCTACACACTACAACACCACCTGGGACATGGCCAAGTTTGAGGTCTGCTGCCACAAGTGGGCTGATCTGAGCGAGCATGGCTACGGCGTGTCGGTGCTCAACGAGTCGAAGTACGGGTTCGCGACGTGTGGGAATGTGATGAGACTTAGTCTCCTGAGAGCCCCCAAGGCGCCCGACGCGCATGCGGATATGGGGAGGCATCAGATTAAATGGGCGTTGTTACCGCATCAGGGGGAGCTGGGAAGTGAGACGATCAGGGCGGGGTATGCGTTTAACAACCCCATGCGTGTGCTGCGCGCGCCGGTGGCGGCGGTGGAGGCGCTGAATGTACTTGATATCCGTATCACGGGGGATGCGAGTCTGGTGCTTGATACGGTGAAGAGGGGGGAGGATGATGAGGATGTTAGTCGGGGGGAGCTGCCGAAGAGGGGGGGGAGGAGTGTGGTGCTGAGGATCTTTGATAGTTTGGGGGGGACTAGTAGGGGGGTGATTGAGACGGGGTTTAAAGTGAAAAAGGCGTGGAAGACGAATGTGTTGGAGGATGAGGGGGTGGAGGTGGAGGTTGGGGAGGGAGGGGTGAGGATTTGCTTGAGGCCGTTTGAGGTTGCTACGTTTAGGTTGGAGGTTTAGGGGGGAGACAGTCCTGCGAAGGTTTAACGGCTGGGAGGGGGAGTCAGTGGTAGCCCCGGAGAGTCAAATTGAATATGTGATGAGCTCGATGGTATGCACTTAGTCTCCAAATGTATGTAATAAGCAGAGTCTCCCTCCTACTAATAACACTATATTACCCCGCCACCACCCATCCAGCTCACGCCACGATCTTCACCCAATCCGTGCACCGAACAGGCTTAGCCTCAGCAGGCTCAATCGCCGCAATAACCTCCTCCACAAGCCAACGATACGACATCCTTCGGGACTCGCCATGATGATTGCCACCCCCGCCTCCCTGAATAAGCCGCACATTCGTTCCCTGCTTGTTAATCGCCGTCCGCAGCGCAGCTACGAGGGACCATCCGCTGATTTCACGCAGGCGGAGGACTTTTCCGTCTCGGTAGTAGGTGCGGCTGTTGGTGGACCATGAGGGGTCGTATATGGTCATCTGGTTACTGTTAGGATATTCTGTGCTGTCTGTGGGATAGGGGAGGGGGGAGGGGGGGGGACCCACCACATTATCCTCCCACTTAACCACAATAACATTCCCCGGCGTCTCAGGCTCCTCCCACAACCTCCTCCTCTCCTCTGCACTCCTCGTACCCTCCGTCCGCCCCGCCTGATCCGCAGCAGCGAAGTTAGTCCACGGTGCTAAACCCATGATGACAGCTAGGTTGACGTTTCCCTTCCTCCGCCGGAACGTATCATGCATGAACTCCGTTAGTTTCCCACGCTCTTGGACTTCGACATCCAGCTCGGCATTAGTGAATTGCTCAGCTGTTGGGTCCTGGTTGCGCGCGGCTTGGACGCGCCGGAGATGGGTCTCGGCTTTTGTGGTGTTGAGGTATTGGAGTTCTTTGGGGAATATGTTGATGGTCTTGGCATTGGTGGAAGGGGGAAGACTGGGGTCCTTGGGTTCGAGGTTGGCTAGGTCGGCGGCACGCTTGATCGAGAGAAGGAATGCGTTGATGACCTCGAGGCGTGCGTCTGCTGCTGGTTCATGGTTCCGGAGGCCTTTGAGGATCTTGAGGGCTGCGGATTTGTTGGATTCGGTGGATCCGTTGGTCGGTTAGGCGGGAGATGGGGGGGGTGGGGGTGGTGGCGATGAGGGGGCCATGGTTGTTGTAGGGGTAGCAGGCCTGGTAGAGGCAGCTGAGGAGGAAGAAACTCGTCCTCGTCCTAACGGACCTTGAGGACGTGATGTGTGTGTGGAGATGTGGTAGAGTTCAGGGTAGCTGGGGTGTCGGAGTGCACGGTGGTTGGAAATGGGAATAACGCCAGGTTGAGTGTGTAAACTTGATATTGAAATGTATGTTGCCAGTCGTCCGCCTCGCGGAAGCTGGTGTGGTCTAGCGCGTTGTAGCTGGTAGACAAAGAAATAATGAAATAGGGGATTTCTGCGCCCAATTTGGAGGAGGTATTGGTCTGTATGTGGTTGCAGCTCGCCTGGGAGGTAAAGGGAGAAGAAAGCCCCCTTCTACAACTCTATTTACTACTTAATCGCGGGTGGAAGGAAAGTGCGTTCGTGAGAAGATGTAGGAGCAATATACGTTTGCAACTACTAAATATTACAGGTACCTTTATATGGTAAACTGTACTTAACGTAACTTAAGATAGCAAAAAGATGGAGATATAGTTGGATTTTTAAAATAAAAAAATATATAATACTATCTATACCTAGAAGCATATAGATTTTATAATTTTATGCAAGATTGTGATGCCAGAGCTGCTGTTTTCAGCTGGCTTTGGTTGCTGCTTTACGCCACCACGAACACCAAGATCTAGACTACCCTATCAATAGTCAGGTTGGTACAGGAGTTGTAGGTTCCCGCTGTAACACTTCAAAGGTTCATGTAGGTCTTTACAAGCTATGCCTGCTAGCAAGTGGCTATACAGCATTAGCTACAGCTCCGGTGTTTGCTCTGTATTGCTTTGCTACTGCTATACTGTTAAATAGGAGAGGCTAGGACAGGTTCACTTAGTTCTTTACTTGCTTTCGTCTTTATTTAAAGATCGAGAGTAATAAACTTAGATGTCTAATAACAAATCACTTTCCAACTTCACATCATAGTGTACGTCCTAGTCCATGTTGCGTCAAAAACTCCACATTTACTTTCTGTTAAACTGTGCGGGTAGCATTCAGTAGAATAGGAAGATATGAATTGATACAGCCCTCAAACTACTTACAAGGGGTCCTTTATCTTTGTGAGGCTGTGCTTCGAGGAGATGTTTGTGGAACTGTTTCTCGTAGATGAATATCCCTTTGCGTTGTAGCAGCCTTCATTATATAATCATTGTTGGTTGTGGCGCAGGCTGTTGCAACTTCCATGTAGACAGCCAATGACTTCCTTGCACTATTTTCGTATGGGTGTCTTTCGATACGCAACCATGTCATTATGCAGGCCTCACATTGTGGCTGCAAAATGGCGCAGTAAAAGGACGACAGCTAGGGCTTCGGTCGTGAAAGTACTATCTGATTGATGAGGATATATAGGTGGCATGCGCACGTCTCTAATGCAACTATAATTACAGTTGAGTTTGGTATTCTCACTTAAAGGTGTTTGTGGCCTGCATTTTTTTACTACGACTCTTTCATTTATATTCTCCGCAGAATACTTTAAAGCTAAAAGTATACCAAATAATAGTTCAGTATCGACGAATCAGGTCAAAATGAAGGTTGAAGCTCAGACTCCATTCTCAAGTGCTTGCAAAGCTACACAATGGGATCCGGAAGCTATACTGGGCATTATAAACCCAGATCGAGGATCCTTTACTTGCGTGGGCTACGCACCGTCCATGCGGCGACAATGCCGGAACCCGATTGCGCGAAATAATCGTGACTTTGTGTACGGACTGCTCGATCTCCTCGCCTTAATGGGTCCTAGTAGCGGCAACTTTGCGACTCTGCTGGAAGAAGCGGCATATCGGTCTTTATGTTGGCGGCACGGTATCCAGGCTGACGACATCGTGAAGAAGTGGGAAGCCAGTATCGTTGCATTAAACCTACCTGGCCCTGAGGCTAAGGGGAAAGGAAAGCAATCCAAAAACCGCACAAAGGAGTCGCAGTCAACGCGCTCATATTATACTCGCTACACGGATGAGTATGTCAAGACTAAGGCAGAGGATATGAAACAGAAAGAGCGAGAACAGGATTGTCGGGAGGCTCAACAGGACCAGCAACGGAAGAAGAGGCAAGAGGAGCAAGACAAGGAGAAATTGCAGCAGGAACGGCGAGACAAAGAGGCTCGCGAGCGAAGGCAACGTGAGGCACAGAAACGTGGAGAACGAGAGCAACAAGCGAGAGAGCAAGCCATGAAGGAACGAAGAGAGTGGCAACAAGCGTGGCAAAATTACGTGACTAAATGGGCAGCTTTTAAAGAAGCCAAGCACGAGCCCTGTACAGTGCAACAAGCTCAAGCGCTCATTCCGTGGCCAGTGAAATCCGGCAGATTTGGAGATTTAACCAGAGAACATGTTAGGGGCTTCTATCGCGAGGCGTGCCCGGATACGAAAACGACCGCGATGTTTAAAACTATGCAGCGTGAGAGTTTGAAGTGGCACCCGGATAAAATGGTTAACCTGTATCGCAATTGTGCACCAGGTGATGCGGATAAGATGGTTATTGGGATGATTTGCAGAGTTGTGCTTGAGTTAAGAGAGGAAGCGAAGGCGATGAGAGATGAGTGATTAGATACGTTACCAGTGTTTGTAAGTCTACTGAAGATGGTAGTGTTGTGGTCTTTACCAGGCTAGGATTGGGGCGGGGAACCATGCTCTGAGGTAGATAGGTTGGCGAACACCGCGACTAAGATGTTTGCAGTCGGGAGAGGGAGTTGTTGCCATTTGATAGAACTCGAAAGCGGCAGCAGGCACATGCAGGCGTATTGCCTGATTAAGGCGGGCACTAAACCCGAAGCTCGAACACCACGATCTAGATTATAAGATTATAAAGTTACTAATTACTAAAAAGGGTGTAAAATAGGCTCATATTAAAAATATAGAAAATGAAGAAGTTCTGATATTTACAAATTTACTATATAAATGTCTCCGAACGCACTTTCCTTCCACCCACGATTAGTGTCAATGTGACACCACAAAACGCCTCCTTAACAATCACGTGCCCCTAAATATCTCTACCCCCAGGCATGAGGTGGGCGTAGAGTTAGTTAAAAGAAAAACAGAAACTATCGATGTGCTGTGATGAACTCGGCAGCAAGCGTATGTGATAGTGATGGTGCTACCCCAATTGTGATACTGTACCACAAAACGCCATCCCGAAAGCCAACAATCACGTGTCCCATGTATTGTCTCGGACTTCCATCCCAACCAAGCGGTCCAACAACGTGACGGCCGAGCGCCATGCACGTGCCCCGTCGGTGTCCGTCCTATTGTGAAAGGTATCCCGTCGGTCATCCCGTTTTGGCCTCTAATCCCGTTCTCGGCATTCCTCCCCTCTTGTCCCTTCTTTCCCCTCTCCTCTAATTCTGGCAGAACTCCAGCTCTAAAACAGGACCCCAACACACCCCCTCGAAACAACAGGAGCGATTGAAACACTAAAAATAACCCTCCTTGAAACTGCGTCTGCGTTTCACAGCGCACTCTCAAAACTCACACCCGCATCCAACCAAGCTAAAAATACCCACACCTCTCACCATCCCTGTCCCCCGTCTGCTCCCGCAGGCCCCACACCATTAGCTTATTAAAAGAACCCAATCAGAGCGCGTACATAAGATTCCAGCGCCGTGGGTGATCCTGTAGCCGCCGGGAGGGGGAGGGGTGCGGGTACGTACCGGCGTGGAGACTGGGGGTGTGTGGTGCTGCTTTTAGGGGATTTTGGCGGGGTGAACTGGGTGGGTGATGGGTGATCGACGGGCAATGGGGGGAGTTTGTTTCTGTGTCTTATTTTCGTGATGTCGTCGTCGCTGTGCACAGCTGCGCCGCAGGAACGAGGTTTTTTTCTGGCGGTTTTTTTTATTAGGAACTATTGGTATGCGCAAGCGGATATTGATTGCTCATCGGGATCTTGGCTTTGTTGGGGAGTGGAGAGAAGTAGTACTAACCGGCTAAATGTCTAGATATCCCTCCAGTAAATATCCTCTCGACGGCGTCAAGTATGCCTAATTGGGACATCAAATACTGCATTTGCTCGTAGGGGCCTTGGCTTTGTTAGTTATTAGAGAAAAGTAATTTGAGCCGGTTAAGTGTTTGGATAATTCTTCAGCAAAATATCCACTCGAGGGCATCAAGTATGTCTATAAGATAGTAAATACTGCGTATTATATCCTTCTGTTATAGCACGCCTCCAAATCAGTCTCATATTACAACCAAAACAAACCACACTGTTATAATCATGCGGTTCACAACTACCACTACCCTCTCTACGCTCTCGCTTCTCCTCGCCTTACCAACACTCAGTACGGCTACGCCATGCAAGGCCAACGAAGTCGGTGTTGGTTACACCTACATGACCAATGGTCAAACCCCTCAAGGGGCGGGAGTTCTCTGGGTTCAGCCCACAATCTTTGCTACCGACTGTGGAGTTCTTGCCAGCAGCCATCAGAGTCATTACTGTAATATGGGGTGGGATGACCCTAGCGGTATTGTCGCCTGTGATAAAGACCGTAAAGCCACAGGTGTGGTCCTCAACGGTCGACACTATGGCAATTGTTACTCACCATCATCCTACATCTGTGCCGCCTGGTTATGGGGTAAAGCCTCAGCGGAAATGTGCTGCATCCGGGATGTGTAAGGACGAGGAATCAGATGTGGTTGTGTGTATGTACAATACTGCGTGCTGAGGGCAGTCGAGATGGCGATGTGGTGGCTTTGGCAGCGGGAGCTTGGACACGTTGCGGGCTGCAGATATGGTAGTGGGTTGGTTGGTCGAGGCCATGGCGACCGGCTGTTTAGGGAGGAATGGTCGCGTATTGGGTTCTGTTTATTTGTTTATTTTGTTAGAGGAGGCAGAGGAGAGTCAAAACGTGATGTGGACGTGCTTGATATATGAATCTTCATTTCTTGCTATGTACGGGCATCTAACCCTCCCACTCCGCAATGACATAACATGTATGCCTCCCATTGACCCCCCGTATAGTCCCCCATAACGAACTCCAAAAGCACACTCCCATAAAAACGCCTGCTCCCGCCATCCCGTCCCAGCATACGTAGCATAGGCAGACGGGAGACAAAGTACCCCCCTCCCACCCCAACCCCGCCCCCAGCTGCTCCGAGTGCTCCAAGCCTGAAGCCGAGCGTTCCTCGAGCGCATGCGTTGCGTGCGTGGCTCGTTAAATAGAAAACAACCGTTTTTCTCCGTGTCCGAGAGGTATATAGTTCGATGTGATGGATAAATAAGGTAGATAGGTAGTGTGCGATGTGTCCAGCGCATCTTAAATTAGTGTGTTGATTTTCGTATCCACGGCCCAAATTCATGGTAATTGGGCTGTCGATGTGAAGGCCTTCACCTCACCCGGTATCGACCTAGCGATCCGGTGAGGCTCCCCATAGCCATTCGTAACTCTCTACTCGATCCTCCTCCTCTTCCCCTTCGGCGCCGCGCTCATCCTCGGCGTATATGTGACGGTGCGCGTGACAATCTCACGTATTTGTTTTACGCCGCTACGGCTCGTCTTCGGGCTTTTGACGTCGAACCAGCGTCCCTTGAGCGCGATGTCCCAGTCGTGAGGACTACGGGCGCTGAAGGGGGAGCGAATGCTGGTGGCGCTCATAGGGTGTGCGCTGTATGGGTTTGCGCTGAGCGGGGAGCGGGCGTCCTTTAGAGAGAAGGCGGGGGAGGGAGGTATGCGGAGGCGGATGCGAGAGGTGGAGGGGGCGGAGGTGGGGTAGACAAAAGGCGAGGGCGCGGGTGATTTGTGTGGGAGGGTGTGGTCATCGTCGGTGATGGGTGAGACTGAGGTGGTAGAGCCGCCGTCGGAGTGGGCGGTGGAGGAGGGAGTTGTCGAGCCAGACTTGGGCTTGTCGGCTACGACGGGTGAAGCCATGCTCTTGAGGAAATCGAGGTAGGCGGACGGCGGGGTGATGGGGGTCTTGGTATCGCACTCGATCTTGATGTAGTCGGGGAAAGCAGAGAGAGGCGTGCGAGCAGACCGGGCGCTGAGTTCAGAGGGGAATGGAGAGGGAAAAGACGCTGTCTGAGGCGTCTTCAGCTTTGGCAGCGTCGGGCGGGTAGTCGTTGAAGCGGCCATTTTGAGTATTCGATTGTTGAAGCGAGTGTCCTTAGGCGTCGAGAATGAATGACTCGGGATGGGAGACGAGGCAAGATGCGAGACGCAGGGCACCTTGGAGCGAAACCGTAGCAGTGGTCCGTAAAGATGAAGTGATCGTGACGGGTGGATAGGTAAAGTATTATAGAGAAACAGAGGCGGCGGGTGGGCCTGGGTGAGATGAATGTTCCCGTGTGACAAGGGTGGACCAGGTCAACAAGCTGGCGCAGCAGTGTTTGGAGTATGAAGTAGCGGCCAGATATAGCAGCAACGAGGGGCACAAGGAGCAGTAACGCGGGCAAGTCAGGGCGAGTGAGCAGTGAGTGATAGAGGGATTGTAGGTTGCAGGACAGGTCGTAGTTGGACGCAGGTGGCAGCTTTGTTCGTTCAGTTGGTCCCCCTGGTCAAGCGCTGGCAGGTGATAAGGGCGGCAATGGAGAAGGGTGTGTGAGACAAGAGCCAATTAGAGGCGATGGTTGACAAGAAACGGGATGAATGATTGTGCTTTGCCTCTGCTGGGAACTAAGCGACACGCCAATCAGTAGGTCGCGAATCGCGCCAGGGTGGGATTGCGGGTTCTGTTTGTGGGTAGTGGGTCGCCCAGTCCTGTGGGTGCAATAGAGCGCCCGTTGGTTCTTGGCCGCGTTTTAGGTCGAGGGCGAAGGATCGATGATTGAGCTCGATATAGATCTTGGATCAGTTGTTGATTCGTACTGTTGACGCGTTTGAAGAGAGCGCGCAAGAGAGATCGTTGGATATGGCGATGAAGACGAAGACGGTAAAGAATAATGTGAATGCGACGATAATCGGGGAAACCGTGGATGAGGAGAAGAGATCGTCAAAGTGTGAATGTGAACTGTATGTACAGTTGCAGTAGGGGCACAGTGCTCAGATGCTGTGGTGCTATTGTGAAGGTCACTGCCAGCGAATGCGTCGAGCTTGAGCGGCGCCTGCAGATACCCGCTCTTGATTGGCCTGTGACTTCCGTGTTTTGCTTGTGATTGGACAGGACGAGAATGCGTATGTGCGTCAGTACTATACTTGGCGCTCAGTCCTCGGCGGCTAACTCTTCAACTCTTTGGTCTTTGGGCCAATGAGACAAAAGGTGATCTGGACGGAGTCTCAGCACTACTTGGGCCAATAGTCCAGCTATGTATCGAAGTACGGGCTTGGTCGTGCTGCGCAATATTTGGTGGCTGGAAGGGAGCGTCACTTGTTGGCTGCGCTGCAGTTGGAATTGGGAAGTTGGACAGGTTGACCAGCGGTACTATCCAGAGTAACTCGAGGGCGTCGTGGCTTCAATGTGGTAGAGGCGTGGTAGACGGAAAAGGGCAATGGGCCCGAGGTGAAAGCGAGACAAAAAAAAATCCCAAGATCCAGAGCGGTGTTGGAACCAGGCCGACGGGTCAGACGACTTTCGTTGGGAGGACGGGGAAGACGGGTGGCTTGAGTGAGGCGAGACAACCAACAGATCCAGCAAGTAAACGCTGATCCCGGGTGTACAAGTTATGTCAGAACAGAATGTCAATGAGGTTCTTGCTTAAATGTCACGATAGTGGGCATTTCCCTTGCTTATGTAGTGTCAAAGTGCCAAACTGAGAGTCTCCTATTTAGAGAAGGACGGCCGTCAAAGTAGGCCATGCAGATAAACTGACACAAAGAGCGCGCGCCAGCAGAGTTATATTTTGGTCTGTGACGGGCGCGAATCAACGAGATCCAGTGTCGACGACCTCTTCGCCGTTAATAATACATTGGCGCCAGAAGATGAAGCAGAGCTTCGCAGAGCGCGCGGTATCTGGTGTTCTGTGGCCCGTGGACCAACACCAATTGCTGCCAACATCTGTTCAACTCAGAAGTGTGTGTTGGAGAAGATACAAGACTGTTGTCTGACTGGCTCACAAACCTTCTGGAGTCTTTCCAATAGAAACGCCAACTAGGCCGGCCACTTCGATGGCCATTGCTCAGCGCGCGGCTGCACGCCATCATCTAGACGCCGAACTTGTGGCTGACAACCACCACCATCAGAAGGATTCTTGGCGAATAGCAGATAACCACGACGCAAGCGCGTAATATCTCGAGGTCTCTCTATTATCTTCCCCTCATTGCCTATAGCCAATCATGCCAAATCATCCAACACACACGTTGGACAGCCGCCCATCGTCCACACCCATTCCATCGGGCTGCAGATTGATTACCAATGAACCCTTTGTTGACAGCTGCGAGTCAGTGTCGCATTGTTGGGAATCATGTCGAACAGCCTACTGCATCCTCCAGGGAGCATCATGGGCATGGTACGAAATTCGAAAAGGCCGACATGCATCATGCAAGTTATAATCCATGTCGTGTGAGTCCGCACGTGTCTTCCATGTTTACCTCCATTCCTTCAAAATATGTACGTTGGTCATGGGGCTTGTCACCCTCCCCCCAAAATCCAAATGACTATAAGCAGAAGAGAAAGCAAACGGACCGAGGCCATTGATGAGCTCACCATGACTCCCTGGACAAACCCATGCATGAACTCACCACCCCTCACTGGCTTGAAAAATAGCGACTGCCTGCAAAGGAGTTATGGGTGTGCTCGTCATCTCAATCTAACCTGAAGGATAAGCAGCTTGTCAATATCCATGAAATCTGAGTTGTGTAGCCGAGGGACGCCGCAAAATCGATTTTCAGCGGCCACCCCCCAGAGAAACAAGATCTGTAGCAGTCAGAACGAATGGGAGTAGAATCAATACTGTACGAAACGAGCCACCCCCCAAACCTTCAGAGAACAGGATCCGTGACAGTTTGAATGACATTGAATAAAACCAATGCTGTAAGAATCAGTCCGCTTCTCCGAGCCCAAAGCTCCAGAAAATAGAGTCCGTAGCAATCTGAACGAACGCTGTAGGAATAAACCAATCCTATATGGAGTGAGCCGCTCCCCCGAAACCAAAGCTTTGGGGAGCAGCATCCATCGTAGTCAGAACGAATACCGCAGGAGTGAAATCAATATTGCAAGAAAAGAGCCTGACTGCGGGAGACTTCAGGGAACAGGATGGATGGCTGAACGAATAGGAAATGAACCGGAGGTTCAGTAGCAACCTCAACGAGTAGAGGGAAGAATCGGAGATCGCAGACCACCATCAACTACGAGATGCAGGCGCCACGTACGCATACTCCCGAGGTGTGTGCTACCCAGACAGGCTTCGGCCAAGACAATTATCTTTCTGGAACACGCCCCAGATTACCATCTAGCAGAACACTACCGAGTATTCCCAGCAGCCACTGCAAGCCGACTTGGCGATTCAATATATCGGCTGCCATGCTTGCACTGTACATGCAACAGATCGACGGCGCATAGCTCTCAGCTCTAGCTCGCTCTTCCCTCAGCCCTTTTGCCACCCCATCCCACGTGCATGTGGCGTGACGGGTGGATCGTTCTTTCCCTCCACGCGGTAATCCTCGTCTGGGATTGCACTTGCAGCTTTCTGCCTGAAAGGAAAGAGCGATGGAAGTGGACCTTGAGGCGAGAATCATGTTGGGGGAAGAGTCCGCTTCAGTATTAGGTCGCTGGGATGAGTCGTTAGCTGGATAATGGAACGGGTTCGAGAAGGCCGGCTAAGTTGCTGGTGGGGGGAATACTTCATTTTGGGGATTCTTGGAGACTATAGACCCATTCAGTGGAGACCCCACATCCAGACCCTCGGTTTATCGGATCAATGCACATGCTCCAGTACGCAAAGTGCGAGAACGCCATACGCATTGTCATTGTTGGAGGTGGTATTCAGTTCTGAGGTTGTTAGATACTATGATTCCTGCGAACTATTGTGCAAAAATACAGCTGATCAAAGCTGATCGATGGCAAAAGCGGTACAGTTCTATGGTTTTTGCGGCGCTTTGCTCGGCGATGGTAACCGAGCGCCGGGACTGGATATCGCCACGGCAGTTAACAAGCATACGCCACGCGTTTACCATTGGCTCTCTCTCTCCTTCATACTCGACAACAATACGCGGGCGACGCCCACGCTTTCCACATCGAACACCAAATCTACTTAGCACCTCCACAGGACGGTTCTTGCCTGATTAGGGCTTCGTTTGTTCGTGCTGTTCGATATTACCCAGATGAAAAACTCTCTTCCCGTCCTCGGTGTCCCCAGCTTTCACCCAAAATTAAACCTCTTCTCCCGACTATGCCTTTGATCCACCCTCGCCGAAGACGGATAGAGGAGATCAATCTCAGGCCTCGGCAGGAAAAGAAGAAGAATCCACTATTTGACCATCCACTGTGCTGAAGCTCCTTTTACCGGCATGGGTTTTGCGCTGGTGACTTCTGACAGTGCCAAGTGTGTCTTGTCTCCTCCACGGTTAGACCTCCCCTCTCAAGGTTCATGTGCCACTATCCCAGATGTGGTGGTGGATCACGCATGTTCCGGGGTAATCGACTTTATCCAGAGTGCGGAGTACGACGGCGGTATTTAGCCTAATGCCATGGAAAACAGACCATCCAATCGCTTTTCTCTACAGAACCAATGGAACCCTTACCGGCTCAGGGGAACGCATAACTGCCCTGCCGTGATGGTGGGATAAATGCGCCCTGGCCGCTGTTGGCTTTCGGCGGCCCCAGTGTAATTGACAGTGTCAACCCCCAACTCCATGTGTGATGGGATCCACCGCAGACTCCACCGACGCACTCCACCCGGCACCAGAACACGCTCGTGATTTTACTATGCCCCAGTGGGAAGAAAATCGCCCTCAGTGGTCTCTCTTTCTATGCGGGGATGAATTGGAGGGGCGTTAGGGTGTACTCTAGATGCGATTGTTTTCGGGGTACCAGGGTTGTATTGGGAGGGGCAAGGGGGGGGAGATGCACGTTCTCGGAGACAACCCCAAAATGCATATATAGTCATTGACGCCCCTTCTCCTGCACAGAAAGGTATCCCCAAGATCGGCTATCAAACAGCGTCGCGAGCAACTCAGTCGCCGCCATGCCGTTCTACACTCCAAGCAAGCCAACCTTCGAGGTCGCTGGACGCGACTTCCCGCGCATTACCTGGTGGAATGAACCTGGCATGAGGTCGCTGTACATCTGCCTTGGTTTCGTCGTCTTGACGTCTGCTACGAACGGTTACGATGGATCTCTCATGAACGGTCTCCAGGCTATGGAGTCATGGAGGAGTGGTGAGTACCCCGCGCGCTGGCTTTGGCCTTAACCCCGAATACGTCCTAACATACCTCACAGAATTCAAGTCCCCGGACCCGGCCTCCCGTGGTCTCCTCAACGCCATCATGTCAGTCGGTTCTATCTGCGCGCTCCCAGTCGTCCCATATACCGCCGATATCCTCGGCAGACGTTGGGGTATCATTATTGGCTGCACTATTATGATTCTCGGTGTTGTTCTCCAATCGATTGGTATCAACTTGCAACTCCTTACTGCGTCACGTTTTTTCGTCGGTTTCGGTGTCGCCATCGCTCACGGAGCTTCCCCTCTTCTTGTTGCAGAGCTTGTCCACCCCCAGCATCGCGCGATTTACACCACAATTTACAACTGTACCTGGTATTTCGGTAGCATTGTTGCATCATGGACAGCATTCGGTACAAACAAGCTGGGAGATACAAATAATTGGGCATGGAGAATCCCCACCATCCTCCAGGCCCTGCCGTCCTGCCTCCAAATGATCTTTATCTGGTACGTTAACCGTAACTTCTGTGGGACACATTTTCCTCTGCACTATACATGCTGACAATATAAACAGGTTCGTACCGGAATCGCCGCGTTTCCTTATCGCTAAGGGAAAGCATGAGCAAGCCCTCAAAGTTCTTGCTGACGTACACGCTCGCGGCAACCAAGACGATGAGTTGGTGCAGCTCGAGTTCACCGAGATCACCGAGACCATCAAGCTGGAGCAAGAGTTCGAGGGTAACGGATGGAAACAGCTGATCAGCACCAAGGGCAACCGCCATCGTCTTATCATCCTCATCTCTCTCGGCTTCTTCTCCCAGTGGTCTGGAAACGGACTCGTGTCCTACTACATGACCGACGTTTTGAAACTGATAGGAATTGAAGACTCCGACAAGCAGCTTGAGATCAACGGTATCCTGAATATTGTCAACTTCTGCGTCGCCTTGTTCATGTGCTTCTGGATTGACAAGCTCGGCCGTCGCCTACTCTTCCTTACTGCAACTGGAGGCATGCTCGGAGCCTTCATTATCTGGACCGCAACTGCATCAATTGTCGCCAGGACTGACGAGGAGAACCCAAATACCATGGCTGCAAATGCTGAGATCGCCTTCATCTTCATCTTCTACTGTTTCTACAACATGGCCTGGTCTGGTCTGCTTGTCGGCTACGCCGTCGAGATTTTGCCATACAGTATCCGTGCCAAGGTACGACACCCTATCAATATCCGAAGCTAGAAACGCGGAAACTAACTTCATTTTAGGGTATGACCGTAATGTGGCTCGCGATCGATCTCTCGCTGTTCTTCAACAGCTACGTCAACCCCGTCGCCCTCGGCAAGCTGGCATGGAAGTACTACATCGTGTACGACGTCTGGCTGGCCGTTGAGCTTTTGGTCGTCTACCTCTTCTACGTCGAGACTAGCAACACCGCACTCGAGGAAATCGTCAAGCACTTCGACGGCGACTCCGCTTTGTTGGGCGGCGCCGTCGCCACCGAGAAGGGCAGGCAGCTGGTTGAGCAGATCGAAAACTACAGCGCCGCTGGTGGCGAGGAGGGTATCCACGGCATGAACCACATTGACGCGAAGGCGCCAGAGGTCGTAACGGACGAGAAGGCGCTGAACTAGAGCTTGCCATTGTAGGTGTGCGCTGGTACGCGGCGCCTCTGGTTTGAGACACTGGATTAATGGAGCGGTTCTTGGATTACACTCTTTTGTATGATGATGATTAGATAATTATAATTATGAAACTCAGTAGCGGCGAATAAATTTATTTGATCCCTCTGAATTATGGTTTTTGTTTCTACTGTTGAATGGCTGGGACGTGACTATGTTTTTGAGTGACTTGGCTATTTTTCTAAATAAATAACACTAATCAAGTAAAGGAGAAGAAGGAGAATTCGTTCGCCCTCTAGATTATATATCAGTGCACAGTGATTTAAGTATAATCCTCAAACAATAGTAGCAATAAAAACACCCCGACGCAAAAAAGTGATTATCCCACATCACGGCAGAGCCACAACCACTAACCAAACGTCACTCTCCCAAAAACCCACCCAAACCCCCCAAACAACCTCCAAACAGAATAATTCCCCTCCCCTCCCCAATCCCCTCATCCCATCCCATACACCACACACTGACCCCCCCCCCTTTCCCCTCAATTTTTTTTTTCGTGCCGCCTCCCCCCCCTACGTCGACCGCCGCATCGACACACACGTCCCGCCCGCCTGCCTAATCAGTCCCCCAAGCGAGCCCACCCCCGCCGCCAAGCTACGTAGCTCCTCCCATCCAATCCAATCGCTCGCGACATTTCCACTCGCGGCCGCGCGCGCAACGAACATCAGGTCAGTCCAGTTTACGTCCACCTCTGCGTTCTGGTAATCTCGACACATACGCATACTTCACATCGCAAGAATTTCTGTCGCGCGCAGCAGCAGCAGCATACGAATCGCGAAGGAAACGGGAGACGCATTGAGGTTTACGAGCGCGAAAAGGAACAATACGGTTGTTGCGGGATTATTGGGGATTGAATAAGAAGAAGGAGTAAGAGATAGCAAGAACAACTGCCACGATGAGTTTCCTCGGCCTCAAAACTTTCGATGACCCCAATCGCGCGCCTAGCTCGGGGTCATTCGCTACATACATGATCGTTGCGCGTACGTCCCGTCCTCCCTCCATCCCCTTTCCCCTCATCCCTTCCTTCCCCAAACCCCTCAAACCAGACCAACCAGACCAACCAGCTAACCTCTTCCCCTCCCCCAACAGCAACATCCTTCTTCCTCGGCATGCTCTTCTCCTCCTTCCCCTACGACTACCCTCTCCTCTGGACCTCCAGCCCCCTCCCCCCCACCTTCCTCTCGGACCTGGAAACGCACCTCCAATTCCTTCACGCCTCCCCCCCTCTGATCCCACGAATCCTGCACTTCCTCATCGTTGTCGGCTTCGCCGGTTTCCTCTTGAAACTCTTCAAACCCTCCGAAGCGAATTTACTCTTCGATGGCGCTAGCTTGGTCCTCTACGTCGTGGGCGTGATCGTTTACATCACAAACATTATCAAGGGATTGAGAGTGGTGACGAAGGGGGAGTGGGACGCTGTTGTACAGGTTGCGGATGGGGAGGAGGTGGTTGGGAGGGAGGATAGTCTTAAGGTGCTTGCGGCGAGTAATACGATTCTTGCCTTAGTGCTGGTGGGTGTGCTGGTGCTGCAGGCGGGACAGTGGTATGCGGAGCGCAGGGAGAGGGAGGAGAGGGCGCAGTTTGAGGCGATGGAGAAGAAGGAGGGGAAGGGGAAGGGGGGTTCCAAGAAGAAGCAGTAGGGGGCTGGGCTGGGTGATTGGAGGGTAGTAGTGAGGAAAGGGGGGTAGGAGGAGTTGTGTTTGTGTATGTATGTGTAAGGAGATGGGGGAGGAGGAGGGGGGGTGCGGTGGTGCATGGTGGCGCGGGCGGCGTGGTTTTGATATATTTTTTGTTTTATTGATATAATTACCGCTTCTCTCGGTTCTGCTTCATGTGAACATTGGTTTCGTCGCTGTGAAGCTGTAAACCTGCTTGAGTGGGGCGTCTCTTCCCCTTTTTCCGCGCCGCGTATTATCTATGTACGCCTATGCTAAAGCAATATTTTAAATTCCCAAAACGCCTTCCATATGCTGCCATTTTTCCCTGCCCGCTTTTAATGCTCAAATTTTGTAGGTGTTCGTTTCTGTAAATGTCGTGTATCGTCATCCGGCCTGGTACCCCATTCTGGGCGTACTGTCCGCTCATGTATATTTTCGCCATGTCTGCCGTCTAACATGCCATGTAAATCTGCCGTCGTATCTGGTCTGCCGTATATCGATGCCGTATAAACCGCCGTTTTGTCTAGTCGTCCGTCTAGCCATGTCGTATATAATCTCTTCAGGTCTATCCCACCACCCGTCTAGTCCGTCTACCACACACAGCCTTCCATCCGTGCTCGTCTAAAGCCAGTCATTCATCAATCATCCCTCCATCACGGCACAACCTTCACCCCCATCCCCCCCTTCACAGCAGCAGCAGCAGCAGCAGCAGCAGCAGCAGCAACCCTCCCCTCAATCCTCTCCAAAACCTCCCTCTCCCCCTCACTCAACACAAACCCCCTCGGCAACACCACCACCCTCTCCCCCCTCCCCTCCTCCATCTCCTTCTCCACCACCCCCTCCTCCACCTCCCCCAACTCCATCTCCGTCCACCAAAACACCGGATACCTCCTCCCCTTGTGCAGATTCCCCCACACCAGCGCCACCACCATCATCGCCGCACACCCCACCTCAATCAGTGCCACCAACCCCCAGCCCAGCTCTATAATCTCGTCTGACGTAACAGCCAACAACGCCGTTGCGCCGGCGGGGGGGTGGACGGTCTTCGTAAAAGACATCACCGCCGCCGCTATCGCGACAGCTAGGGCGCCTGCTAACCATCTCAGGCGTTCGAATTCCTCATGGCCGAGAGAGCGGAAGGCGAGCGTGATTAGAATCCCGACTGTGGCTGATATCGCCTGTCCCAACAACAACGGCCGCGGTTGCGCGAGGGGCGAGGCGGGGGTGGAGTACAACAGTATCGCAGTAGCGCCCAGCGAAGCGATGATAAGGGGATTCGCATCCGTAGCCGCAGAGAGGGAGGGGAGGATGTGGAAGAGTAAAGTGGCGAGAGCGAGGCCGGTGAAGGTTCCTAGGAGGGCGAGGAGAGTGGTGAGGAGCGTGCGAGGGGGGTGGTGGAGGTGGGGGCGGTGGCCGAGGAGGTGGGCGAGGGGGCGGGGGAGGAGGTGGAGGCGGGGGGTAGGTAGATAGGGGTTGAGGTGGTGGTCTATGTCGAAGGGGGTGCGGCGGGGTTGGTGTGTAGGTGAGGGTGGGGGGATGGGTGAGAGTGAGGGTGAGGGGGATGGTGATGGTGAGGGCGAGATTGACGGTGATGGCGAGGGTGATGGCGAGGGTGATGGTGAGGCTTGGAGAGTTGTTTTTGAAGACGTTGAGCTAGAGGCCGTTGAGCTGCCAGCTGACGTCGTGTATGGTGCGGGCGACATGCTCGAGTGGAACATGGTGAGGGCTCTGATGACATCTGCGGTATCGTATATTTCTCGCTCGCGACGGGGGATGAGATCATATAAAAAGCAAAAGAAAGCAAACGGACTCGGAATGGAAGACTCAAGGAAGAAAAGAACGGACGGGTATGTCCGAATATGACGAATACCCAGGATGTCTCAAGAACAGACAAAAATAACCAGTTACTTACCGAAAGTACCTACCAACCACAGCAGCTACAGCAAGCTCTGTGCTCCCTCAGCCGGACAAAAACCGTGGACATAACATCTCCGCGGCACAATAGGCCGACGGAGAGGGCAAACTACGCAAACTGCTCGCGTCAAACCACGTGGAGACGAGCGTTAGTAAGGGTTTGAGTCCGGAGTTGGAGTGGTTTTGTGTGGGGTAGCGTCGAAAAGAAAGAAGCGGGGAGGCGGTCTAGAGTGTGAGAGGGTTAGAGGGGGTTCTTGAGCCGCTCGGTGGTAAGGGGCGGGTGGCTGGCTTTGGTATGTAAGGTACGAGTGGCCGTTGTACCGAAGAGGGTTTGCCGTGCTCCGGCACTAAAGTGTTGGGATTTTGGTGGTGGATGAGGGGATTGTTCCTGAAATGTTAGGCTGCAGTGTGACTCTTTGCAAAATTGTCGTCGGAGTTTGTCTTCTAACCGGCGGATCCGAGGGAGTGAAGGTGAAAAGGGATATCAACGATTGATATAGCTGAGAACTACCGTATTGTGGCGGCTGACTGATCCTGCAAGAGCCGGAATAGGCACAGCCGTTGAAGAGATAAGATTAGATAGATCGCCAATCTATTAAATCACATGACCAAATTGTGAAAGGAGCTGGCGCCATATACCACTCGGTCATCTGTATTCGATTGGCTCATATCAAACTAATCACATGATCTAAAATTCAGTCATCACGTGCAAACAACCACGACCTGGCGCCATATACCACTCGGCCATTTGTATTCGATTGGCTCATATCAAACCAATCACATGATTTAAAATTACACTATCACGTGCAAACAACCATCACCTGGCGCCATAGATTTCTGATCACATGACCATAACTATTTCAATCACGTGTAAAAACCCCAATCTACTTCCTAACAATCCAATCACGTGATCGCTGCCATATACATCACGTGCAAACATCCGCAACCTAGCACCATAAATATACGATCACATGACCAATAATATTTACATCACGTGCAATAAACCCCTACCAACTCTATAATGTAATCACGTGCATCAACTTGTCATGCAAGCACCACCCCAACCAACGCCTTCAACCACTCAGCCATTTTACTTGATAGGCTCCGACCCCTCCAATCACCTGACTTCTCCTCCCCTCCCCATCCCCAACAACAACCCATCTCGGTCCCATCCGCACGTGAAACTCCCCCTCCTCGCTTAGATCTCTCTTCCCACCCCCCACCATCCCACCACCACCACCCATCCATCCATCCATCCATCCCCCCCATGTACCCAGTACACACCCTCCCGTACCTCTCCACCATCCAGCCAACAGACAGACACACACCGCCCGCCAAGTCTTCCCGCTCTTCCTTCCGAGAGGGGGACATGGGTGTCGTGGGTGGGTGGGTGGGTGGTACTCTGGTGGTCGGTCGCGTCCTCAACAATTTTAAGGTTGGGGACGCTAGTGGGGGGCCCTGAGAGGCGAGTGAGTGGCATGCAGGGATGATGGGATGGGGGGGTTGTGATTGGGTGGGGGGTGGCGATGGTGGGTGATGGGCCGAGGTGAGTCGAGTTTCTACGATACGATCTGTTGCAGCTGCTACAGCTTACTACAGTATCTGCCGTAACCAGTCTGTCTTCTGGCGGTATGAAGGTGTTGAGATGGCAGTGCGTGTGGTATCACGTGGAAGAGTGTACGGAGTAGAGATTTGTACGAGGGAAGGTGGGACGGGTGGGATCAGATCGGTGGTGGTGGTGGTGGTGGTGGTGGTCGGGTGGGACAGGAAGGGATAGAAGGGAGCACATGCAATGCAACATTTTGTTTGATTCTCACTTAACCTGCGGGTGGGAAGAGACCAACTACCAGCCAAGGAGGCCGCGGAGAGCTGGGCGGGCATACTTCATCCTATCCTATCCCATACAGCAGTACAATACAGTTTTGTACAGCGTGTACAGTACAAGTAAATTAACATCCAGATTCTCAGGTATATTGAGGGCGGTGGAGATCGGGTTGCCACGTCATTCGCTCGTTCTCATAATGGGGAGGAGGGAGGAGAATCTTTTTTCTCTGGATGAGGAGGGGGGTTGGTTATATGTAGAGTACAATACAGTATACTGCAGTCCCAGTTACTCCGAACTTGATAGAGTAGTGAGTAGAGTACCAGTCGGTGTGGGATTTGACAGGAGCTTTCTCGTTCCCTTCCTTCTCTCCGCCCCATAGTTATTCTTCTTGGGGAGATGGAGCTGTCTGTCTTGTTTTGATCACCCCTCTTCTGTTGACCTTGGTGGTTCCGCAGTGTTAGTACTGTTAGTATTGTTAGTAGTGTGTCAACAAAACCGCAGCAAATACTGCAAATGCTGCCGATCCCATTGGCCAGTGGCGAACACTCCCGTCTCTCTCTCGTTGAAATCCTCCCAGTATCTCCTCGGTGGGGGAAGGTGGTTATGTTACACACATGCACAGCTACTGGTGTTGCAGTTGCACATGTCAATCACAAACGGGCCACAATTCCGTCGTCTCTCGATATCTCGAATCCGTGACGGCAAGTCTCACACCTCTGCTATACACTACACACACCGCGAATCAGGGCTAGCTACCGGGTGGTTTAGTTAGTTACGGCGAGTACTCTGTGTGGAAGTATCGGATGTATATTTTTTATCTGAAGGGGGGGATTGATTGTGCCACTTTGTGATGGACTCTTTCCTGGTAAGACTTCTTGTTCGCCTATTCGCCGGTGTGACGTTGTCAGCTCTCTTCGATCCAGCCTCGTCTGCTCATGCGATCGATTCATGCATGCCATGTGCTGAGATCCCAGGCCCGAAACGGATGGGGTTCGTGGAGATAGATGGTTACTTCGGGGGGAGGGGGGGTGATGTACCGATCTTTGATTGACTCTGGACGAGCCCGCTGTGTGTGTGTGTGGGATGTTGTGACGAGAAAGTCTCGAAGGTTGAGAAGTGAGGTCTCGGTGGGAGAGAGTTAGGAAGGAGATAGGCTGGCTTGCTGGTGTTACATTCTCAGGTTGGTCCTGTGAGCCATTCTTTCTCTTCTTCCAGCACCAGTCTCGCCACCCTCGCTCACTCAGACTTTTGTAACTTGGCAAATCAAAATAGTTCTAGACACCGAGTTTATGTGGCTAGAATGGCGTGCAGGAGAGGGCCGTCAAGTTCGAAGCTGATGATGTGCACCCCCCTGTGTACTAGATCGTCGTTGGGGGAGGGTGTGGTCTATGTCTGGTGTGCTAATCAAAATTTTATAGGGGGCAAAAATCGTGAATTAACCGCCCTAGAAAACATAACATGAGTAATTGCCCTGTAAGAAAGACCACGAAGAAAACACGCCAAATCGCGGAACTAACAGATAGCCAAGAGACCTAACTATTTTTCCCCCAACCACACTAAAATTCCAACACAGTACAACTTTTGCCGTTCGTTGCGTGGTGGAAATAATGAAATAGCGTGGGATGGGACAAGTTGTAGAAAAGATAGCGTGCTACGAGTAACTCTACTTCCAGAAACTGTAACTAACTGAACTGCAAGGTTGTGCCAAGCCAAAGGGATGGGGGTGGATGGGGAGGGTACGGTGGTACATACATAAGCCAATAAATCTCCCCCACACCCAGACCACCGCGCCCCGAGCTTTTTCTCATTTTGAAGAACCGTCCCCCTTCAACCCACATCTCCCCCTGTCACCGCGAACCTCTCCCTTCTTCTTCTTCCTTCACCGTCCTGTGAACGTTTTTTGGTGAAATTGTAAGTTCTCGTGGCCACCGGCGAGTCAATTGATCAAGTTTGATTTGACCAGACAGATTAGATCTACCGCTAACGACTCCCGCCAGCCAATCTACAGCCCCGGGTTCCTGCGTTAAAGAAACCTCGGACCCAAAAAAGACGAGAATCGTACCAAAAATTCCCCCAACAAACGCCTCCACGCCCCCCGACCCGAAGGGAGCACCCGACTTATAAAACATCTCCCGCAAGCCCCTCCACCTCCATCTCTTACCTTTTACAACATCCCCCCGGGTCGTCGATTCTCTCACATCCCACAACCATGGCCTCCTCAACAGCCATCCCCCGCCGTGATGGCCTCCGCCGCACCGCTGCCGCCGCCGCAGCAGCAGCGGATTCCTCCCCCTCCACCGCGGACGTGTCTCCCACCGACAGCCCGCGCGCCTCTCCCTCCTCCTCCTCGCTCTCCTCCATGTCGTCCATCGACAACGATGTCTCCGCCAAGTCCACAACATCGACAAAGCTGATCGACACCTACGGCAATGAGTTCCAGCTCCCCGACTACGCGATGGGGGATATCATCCGAGCCATCCCCAAGGAGTGCTTTAAGCGCAACACCGCCCTGGGTCTCTACTACGTCGCCCGCGACATCGCCTGTCTCGCCACCACATTCTACCTCTTCCACACCTTCGTCACCCCCGAAAACGTACCATCCACCCCTGCCCGCGCGGCCCTCTGGGCGGTGTACACTGCGATCCAGGGTCTCTTCGGGACTGGCCTCTGGGTGCTGGCTCACGAGTGCGGACACCAGGCTTTCTCGCCCTCGAAGGTCGTTAATGATACTGTCGGCTGGGTCTGCCACTCCGCCCTCCTGGTCCCCTATTTCTCCTGGAAGATCTCGCACGGGAAGCACCACAAGGCTACGGGGAACATGGAGAAGGACATGGTTTTCGTCCCAAAGTCTCGCGAGGTGTACGCGAACCGCATTGCGAAGTTTGTGCATGAGCTTGATGAGTTGACTGAGGAGACTCCTATTGCCACTCTCTTGCATTTGGTTGGACAGCAGTTGGCGGGGTGGTGGTTGTACCTCTTTGCTAATGTTACTGGACATAATCACCACGAGAACCAGAAGGAGGGACGCGGGAAGGGGAAGAAGAACGGGTATACGACTGGTGTCAACCATTTCAACCCCGCCAGCCCGCTCTACGAGGCTAAGGATGCGAAACTCATCGTCCTGAGCGATATTGGTGTTGGACTTACCATCGCAGCTCTTGTTTGGGTGTCCAAGACCTTTGGAGCGGCGAATATGTTCGTTTGGTACTTCATCCCGTATCTCTGGGTTAACCACTGGCTTGGTATGTCATCCCCCATTTAACCCCTTTCAACTCCCCAGAAGAATATAAGTCTAACAACCCCCACAGTCGCTATCACCTACCTCCAACACACCGACCCCTCCCTCCCCCACTACCAGCCTTCGTCCTGGAACTACGTCCGCGGTGCCGCCGCCACCATCGACCGCGAATTCGGCTTCATCGGTCGCCACCTCTTCCACGGCATCATCGAGACTCACGTCCTCCACCACTACGTCTGCACCATCCCCTTCTACAACGCCGACCTCGCCTCCGAAGCCATCAAGCCCGTCATGGGCCGCCACTACCGCGCCGATGTGGAGGGAGGGAGCTGGGGCTTCCTGAAGAGCATTTGGAAGAGTGCTAGGTGGTGTCAGTGGGTTGAGCCGAATCAGGAGACACTGGGGAAGGGAGGGGAGGCGGAGGGGGTGCTGTTTTTTAGGAATAGGAATGGGTTGGGCGTGCCGCCGGCGAAGGTTGCTAAGGCATAAGGTTGGCGAGGCTAGGAGGGGGGAGGTTGAATAATATGTGCGCGTGGTGAATGTGATGGAGAAGGATGGGGGGGAAGAGAAGAGAAGAAAAGAAGAGGGAGCAGTGGACGCACGCAGTGATGATGAAGACGGGATCTGAGCTTTTATATGTGGCTTCATTTTCGCAGTTCTTTTTTTGTTATAGAGAGACGTCGAGATGGGCAAGATTGATGATGAAAAAGAAAGATTTCAGGAGTTTATGGGAGCACTACGCGTTTAATTACAAAGACAAGAACTGCTAAAGATTTTTTTTTCTTCCGATTTCTATTTGAATTGTTGTCTCCCAAGTCTTTATTTTATTTTTGTGCTTGAAAGTTTTCGCGTTGTTTTTTAGGGGATTTTTTAGGGGGGTTATCTTTTCTTTTGGAAAGACGAGAGATAGAAAGGGGACAACAGGTGTAATAGACGGTGGCTTTGACTGAGTTAAATCCACCGTCTACTACACATGTTTGACTCCTTTCCATCTATCTCCCTTGCGCTCCGCTCCGTCCCGTGCCGTTTTGAAAGGGGGTGTGGGGTGGGGCGATCGATGTCTTACTGCTGTCTTAGATACCTGTCTCACTTCTGTTTGGTGTCTCGGGGGGAGCGGGAAATCGGGAAAGGGAGAAAGGGGAAAGACGGGAGGGGAAGAGGGGGTTGAATATATGATAGACGATAGAATCCGCGAATACAGCTTTTTCTCATTCACTCACTGGGTCGCCTTGAAATATCATGCTTCGACACGTGTGGTGGCTGTTCGTCGACTCACGATCGATGGATCCATTGATAGAGTTTCTTGATAGAGTTTTCTTCGGGGTGTGGATAAGGTAGGTTGGTGTTCTTGCCGTCACATCTATTTCTTGCGAGGCGGGTTCTTGCTGTCGCGCTCCTCTCACCTCTCCCTTTCTCACCACCACCACCACCACACCCCCATCACCTCCAACCCCACCAGCTTCGAAAGCATCCAAGAGCCGCGCGGGAAGCTCAGTAGTCACACCGTCGTGTGCGAGGCCTGTTTTACATCAGTTCCAGAGGAGAACTGATGCCTTTTTCTGGTGTGTACCTGTTTGCTGTGTGATTAAAAGATTTCTGCTCGGAGGCCCTTTTTATAGACTTCGTCCCGCACTGTTGGTCGATGGAAGCTCAGCTGGTGAGGATGGGATAGGGGGTTTACCTTTTTGTTCTCGGGGAAAGTGGGACGAGCAGAGAGGGGGATGGATATATGTTCCGGGCCAACCGTAAACCGTATTACGGCCCAACTACGTGGCAGTGTAGAATAGTATTAAAAAATAAATCCTACTTCCTATTTCCTACTTCCTATATAATCACGATAATTATGGCTACTATTGCTTCGATTAACCCGTTTCCAAACGATGTACGTACTGCTTTTGAAGCCTATATAAGCAGCTCTACCTACTACAACCGTGAGCAGTTATCACACGCAAAATGGAGCTAAATCCGTACTATTCTTGAGAATCCTACAGCCTATACACCATATAATAGAGAGACTAGTAACCTTAAAAACCGTACGCAATCTACCTTTGAGCTTATTAATAATAAGATCTATAAGAGTGATATTCGGCATCTACAGCCTCGATATGTAGTATAGAAAGCAGAGGTGTTTGATACTATTACACAGGAACACCTTAAGCTCCTACACGCAGGCCGGAATAAGGTAAGCCTTCCTTATATTCTAGCTTAAGCTCTCGCTCCTACTTTATAGTACTAACTATAAGAAGGTATGGCCTACTATAGAGCAACAGTACTATGGAATAAAGCGAGAGGATGTAGAGTTTATACTCAAACGGTGTAAGAATTGCACACTTAATAGGCCAAATACTACAAAAGCTCCCTTAGTTCCTATTACTACAGGGCGAGCGTAGGAGCGGGTTCAAATTAATCTAATTAATATGCGCCACGAGCCTTTAGGGCAGTATAAATGGATTCTACATATAAAGGATCACTTCTCAAAGTATACACAGCTATACCCATTAAAAAGCAAGCACGTAGAGCCTATTGCAGAGTGCTTTGCTCAATTCATTGCAGCTTTCCTACCTCCGAAGATTATGCAGGCTGATAATGGGAAGGAATTCAAGGGGGCTCTCTTACTCCTACTACGGAAGTATGGAATACAGGTAGTAAATGGAGCACCATGATCACCACAAACGCAAGGCCTAGTTGAGCAGGCAAATGGAGTTGTTGAGAATAAGCTCTAGGCATGGAAAATGGATCACGGGTCTACAGAATGGAAGAATGGGCTACTTAAAGTGGTGCTTGCTATGAACACCCAAATCCACTCTACAATTAGGTGTGCGCTAGCTGAGCTTCTGTTCCGAGAGCGGAGCTCATACATTGACTGGCTCAATAGTCAGGCCCGGAAGGATCTGTCAATTGGAATTGAGTAGGAAGACCCAACCATAGGCCCGATATTTGAGAGCGAGCTCTAGTCCGAGCTTGAGTCTGAGACGGAAGCTCCAATCGACCCACGGCTTCGGCAGCGAGAGCCAGAGCTTAATTATGAGCCTAGCTCTGGTTCTGAGCCAGAGCTCCGAATTGAGCTCAATTCTAAGCTCCGAACCAGAGCCAGAGTTTAATCTAGAACTCGAGCTAGAGCTACAGCTAGAGCCCAGCTCCAGCTCGAGTCAGAGCTTGAAATTGAGCTCGGAATTGAGCTCAATTCGGAGCTCAATTCGGAGCTCCGCTCTGGCTCTAAGCGAGAGCTCAAGGCTTTAGGCTCGAGCGCCAGAGCCTAGAATTGAGAGCTCTAGCTCAGAACTCAATTCTGAGCCAAGCACTAGCTCTAAGCCAGAGCTCCAGCGTGGGAGCCGGGCCCGAGTTCCAACTCAGCTTAGAACTAAGCTTCAGCTTACACTAGATCCTGTAATTGAGAGAGCTATAGTAGCTACTCAACGAGCAAGGATTTCTATGGTGCGGAAGTATATAAAGAAGCATGATATTCAGCACTTTAATATAGGAGCAATAGTCTCTATTAAGGTTCCTTAAGAGGATAGAACTTCAACTAATAATAAGAGGCTATTTACAAGAATTCTAGAAGAGCCTTACCCTCATAGGTATCGGATTCTTACAGCTTCTAGTATTATACAACGCCTTATTCCTACTAAATCACTAGGAGTTGTAGGGTGAGCTCTATAGGGTGATATAGTAATTCCTACTTCTACTAAGGAAGTAGGCCTAGGGCTTGCAGCTAGAGAGGCTTCTACAAGTGCTCAGGTTGGAATATCCTGTCAGTGCAAAGGGCTGTGTAGTACGAAGAGGTGTAGGTGTTATAAGGAAGCAAAGGAGTGTAGTATACACTGCTATAACGATGACCACGACTGTGGCAATTTATCAGGTCTTACTACTCGTACAGAAATAGCTTTAGTTGAGAGGCCTCGTTAGAAACGAGCACGGGCAGACACAGTAGGTAATACTACGTAGCTATATAGATCAATTGATTACTTCTACTATTTCTAGTTTACGGTTGGGCCGGCCAGTTCATGAACCAGTCTGGTTCACGGTTGGGCCGGAACACATATTATGCGCAAAATCTCACAACTCTCAAATGTCCGTTAAAGATGCACATTCTCTCTAGGAATCTTCTATTTGGAAACCTAGAAGATATAAACAGACAACATCCGATTACAAATCAAGAAATCTTCGATACCCCTCTTCAAAGCCTTAATAGCTTAACCTCTGTCCCTGAAGCAAACATCATTCACTAAGATATTAAACCAGAAAACATTCTCATTCAATCTCGAGAACTGCTCCACATAAAACTGTCAGACTTTATCCTTTCAAAGACAACCGCTGACCTCCAACCACTCTGATATGGACACATTGCTATGCTGCACCGGAAGTATATACTAAGCACCGTACTGTATACTACACAAAGGCTTGTGACATCTGATCGCTCTGCCTCGTTGTCTACAAGAATGCAGTGGGCGGTCTTCCGAATATCCGGCCGGCGGAAGACGGCCGTAGGCTGCCTTGGTGTAAGGAAATTATCGAGCGAGCAAATAACGGGAAATCTAACATCTTAATCGACTAAGATGTCAATACGTCGCCCAACTTCATGTCGCCCTTCTCCTCGTTCAGTAAGGAAATCATTTTATGAAATAGATTCAAGATCTTTTGCATCTGCGCTGTTGGGACGACTGTAGCATCGAACCGAGCCTCGAAAAAAACGCCGTCTTTGGCCAGATTACACTCCATGACCAGGGCATATGAATCGAAGTCCTTGAGATGCGTCGGACCTACCTCCAAGCCAAGGATACTGGATTGTTCTCCTTGGTCTATGTAGGGCTGTATCAACAACAGGTGCTTAAAATCGAGTGCTAGTCGGCGGATATTTTGAGGCCCTGTGTGTTCGAATGGTATCATCTCCGCCGCCTGGCTCTGGGCCCCGTTCAGATAGTCAGGAACAGGTTGTCCTCGATCTAAGCGCATTCTCATCGGCACTGTCGTGAATGTAGGTGCGATTATTTCCATGATCCCTGGCACTGGCGCATTCCGGCCTGTGAGTGTGACAACGAACAACACATCGTCCGAGTCCGACAACTGCGCAACCACGACAGCCCATGCGGCTCGCACAATAGTTGACGTCAGCACACTGGAATTCGAACCCCGCATCATGGGCACAAATTGCCGTATGGAATCATTCGGTCGCGGCTGATATGTCGCAGAGGGCAGCGGTGGAAAACTTGTCGGCAATTTACCACTAAGCTGCGATTGCCAGTACATAGCGGCCCTCTCATGATCTAGACCAGCAAGATAGTGAATGAATCTGTTGTAAGGCACCGGTTGAGGCACTGAGCCCTCACGATAAATGCGGCTCACCTGTTCAAACAAGGAAGCGGAGCTCCATCCGTCGTATAGTGCATGGTGGACGGTCAACACAAAGACCCGTGCATCTGCCTGACCGAGAATGGCATATCGGGTAAGAGACTGGCCGTAAGACATCGGAGCATGCTCGTCTTGCTTCAAGTACTCATCCAGAGATCCGCTTCTGTGCCACGATATCTTCTCTCTGACCACCACCTGGAGAGGCCTTGATCGCGCTGCGGGCACGATCCGCGTTCGTAGGATGGCGTGTACCTCAGCAAGTCTATCCCATGCCATCTGAAAGCGGCCAAGGTCAAGTGATTGCGGCAACTTGAACACTCTGCGAGCCATGTACGCTTTGTGCTGCCGCGCCGAAATTGCCATCATACCCTCTTGCTGGGGAGTGCAAGGATAGACGTCCTCAATTTGGTCCTTCGCCACGTTGCAAATTGCTCCAATTTCCTCCAGTCGATTGAAGTCAGCGCTGTCGGTTTCTTCCCACAGCCCAAAGGGTGCAATCTCCCTAAGGCTGTCGTCATCTGCCATGTTGCTTTTCTGTGACATGTCAGAGAGCGTGGGAGTCTGGAAAATTCCTGCCACCGTCAACACGATCCCTTTTTCGCGGGACGCCGCCACGAGCCGCATGGCCCGGATCGAGTCGCCTCCGAGACGGAAGAAGCTGTCGTCCGCCCCGATCGAGCTCAGCTCTAGATGCAACACCTCGGCCCAGAGCTGCTGTAGCTTTAACTCCATCACTGTCGACGGCGGGCGCTTGGTCCGCTCGCCCACTGAGCACGCCGTCAGCTGCAGCACAGTCAGCCGCGCACCTAGCTGCCGTAGCCGCAGCCGATCGGTCTTGCCAGAACTCGTCAGAGGCAGGTGCTGAAGGGGAATGTACACGGCCGGCATCATGTACCCTGGCAACTGTGCAGCTAGGCCGTTCTCTAGCTCTAGCATCTTGTCGTGTATCGCGGCCAACGCGGACAATGCTAGGTCTGCATCAGCCGTGTCATACTGCCTAACTTCAGTACAAATAAATGCTGCCAGCATCGGATCCCCATCTCGGCAGGTAGGCCGGATCATCTCCACTATCAGCTTCCAGTTGCTAGGCACCAACAGCTCTAGGTGGTGCTCAATCTCGCCCAGCTCGAGTCGCTGCCCACGCAGCTTAACCTGCGTGTCTTTCCGGCCCATGAAGTTCAGCGTGCCGTCTGGGTTGTACCGCACTAGGTCCCCCGTTTTGTAGAAACGTCTTCGGCGGCCTAGTCCAAAGTGCTCTGCCCACTCAGGGTTCTCGATGAAGACCGCAGTGGTCTTCTCTTGGTCGTTTAGGTATCCGTGGGCTAGGATAGGCCCCTCGATTAGCAGCTCTCCAACGCAGCCAATGGGCATAAGTCGTTCATGGTTCCCTGGGTCCACTACCCACAACACCGATCCTATCCCTCGTCCGATATTTGCTCCGGACGTATCTGGTTGGAGCCCACCAAGACAAGAAGAGAAAACTGTGCATTCCGAAGGTCCATATACACTAACCAGGTACACGCTATCCGCCCATCTTTTAACAACACCTTGTGTGGTAGCCTCTCCACCAACGGCGAGAAACTTGAGGCCTGGAACATCCTTAGGTCGAACTAGGTTAGCCACCGACGACGTAAGGTGGGCTACGTTAATTTTCATCGTCCTAATTACTTTACCTAGATTGTCCATCTTGTCTTTCTCAGATGGCACGCAAACGCAACCACCATGAACAAGCGTGCTAAAGATCTCTGCCAGGCTAAGGTCAAACGTATATGCGGCGAACTGTAGCACCCGCGAGTCGAATCCGAGAAACATGGCCGCACCATGCTGCCGTGCAGTGGTGCAGAAAGATGCATGCGTAAGCACGACTCCTTTAGGCTTTCCAGTGCTCCCTGAGGTGAAAATGACAAATGCAGGGTCATATGGCCGTGCTTTCTGAACCCCTAGATGAGGAACTAATGGTATCTTCCTAAACAATGCTGTAGGGCCAACAGACACGATTTTGTCAACGACCCCTTTGAACAAAGCAGCATTAGCTGTAGAAGAAATGATAAGGTCGGCGTTAAGGTCAGCGATGATAGCCTGCAATCGGTCAATGGGATGCTTTGGGTCCAGAGAAACACATGCGCCGCCAGCCTTTAGCACAGCTAGCATCGCAACGATGGTCCATGCTGACTTCTCGAAGCACAATGGCACGAACTTCTCTGGTCCGACACCGAGGCCAACAAGATGGCGTGCTAGCTGCGTCGACAGCTCATCGAGCTTGCGATAGCTGAAGCTAGCATCCCACCCATAGACAGCTGGCGCGTCAGGGCGCGCGACGACCTGCTGCGCGACGGTCTCGTGCACGCACGCCTCCACGGCCTCCGGGCAGTTGCTGTTCCAGGCACAGATGTCTGTCTGGTCCTTTCGATTGATCATTTTGATTTCGCCTACAAGCGCAACTTCATGCTTCCAACATATCTGATTTATCAGGTGTTCGAATTGCCCAGTAAGTCTTACGATCTGGGGTTTGTCCACGATCTTACTATCAAAACTTACTTTGATCTGAATTCCATCTGTAGTGAGCGTACATTCCATGACCAATGGATAAGTCTTGTCGTTTTCAAGCTCACTCAGGTATGTCTCGACGCTGCCAATGCGACCTATCTCCTTGCTCCAAGTTGTTGGGTGTATGACTAACAAGTTCTGAAATTCGCACGCTGATTGGGTCTCCGAATTGATAGCTTTGATATTAAGGAGGCCGTATTGCTCGAAAGGGATCATAGTAGTAGCTTGTTTCTGCAACACTTCTAGATACTCGCTTATGGTCTGGTTGGGATGAATATTGACACGGAAAGGTACAGTTGCGATCGTAGGCCCGACGATGTTCTCAATGCCAGACACTGGTGCGTTTCTTCCTGCGATGGTTACACCGAACACAACAGTATTGCTGTTTTCGTACATAGACATCAGAAGTGCCCATGCTGCACGGATTATGGTCGGGGTGGTTATGTCCGTGTTTGTGGTCCGTGATATGCAAATTTGGTGCTTGTAGGAACTTTCCACCGTCGTCGTACACATCGCTCCTGTAACGATTGGAAATGTTGATGGTTGTGAGCTGGATAATTGTGACTGCCAGAATGCTCTCGCCGCATCACCATTCGCGCCTTCAACATGCTTTACAAAGCTGTTGAAGTTGGTCGGATTGGGAACCGTCGCACCTTCATACAGTTGAAGAAGGGTTTTTATGATCAACGATAAAGACCAACCGTCGTATATGCAGTGATGCATCGTCCATACCAGATAGGATTGCGCGCTGGTAATATCATTCACTATGGCGCATCGATTTAATGGTTCTCCGAAGCTCATAGTCAGCCGCTTGTCATTTTCAAGATATGTCTGGAGATCCGAGCTGACCGCCCAGCTCGGATGCTCCTGGATAACCACTTGAAGCATTTTCCGTGAAGAATTAGACTGCACTATTCTTGTACGTAAGATGGGTGAGGATTTCACAGCGGTCTCCCAACAGGCGCGGAACCGGTCCACGTCCAGCGTCGACTTAAGTGAGATCAGGTGTTGGGCCACATATGCGCCAGTTGTCCTGATAGAGAGGGCCATGAGTGATTCTTGTAGAGGTGTACATGGGTACAAATCTGCAATATTGTCCCGATGTACGGTACACATGGCAGCAGCCTCATCAACGATGGTGTCGGTAGCTTCATGCCCACTTGAAATTTCAAATGGCATTAGGTCAACGTGGGTTGATTTCTCGATTCCAGTTGCGACCAAGGACAACTCAGATATTGTCGAGTTGGCAAACAAGTCTGCAACGGTAAACTGGACCCCGTGTGCTCGCGATGCAGCTACGAGCGATACTGCTTGGACAGAATTCCCACCGAGTCGGAAAAAGTTGTCCTTCAGTCCTATGGTATCCACATCCAATTCCAAGATTTCGGCCCAAAGTCTCTGCACCTTCACTTCCATTTCCGTTAATGGTGCCAATTTCTCAGTCGACGTATCTCTCATGTCCAGCACGAGCTTCCTTGAAATAATACGTGCTGCCGTGTGCCTGAAAAGTTGCAGCGTCTTGACAATTTTTTCTCGCAGGGCAATGCGATCTCCTAAATAGAGAAACCCGGCCAACCAGGGCAGTAGCTTCACGAACATCCTCCATGGCCACCCAAAAATTGATGTACCAGCGACATTTGCGCTGTTTACCTTCAAAATTCCACTGGCGCATCTTTTGGGTTGTTGTTTTGCCAAGATAAACCGTCGATTCATGCTCCGGATCAACTTGTAAAACCAGAAGCAGTTCATGACACTTAACGCCGCAACAGCGAGAGAGGTGGTGAATGCCAACCACAGCGGAACGCAACCTTCCTGAGTAGCCTGACATGTATCAGACGGGTTTCTGTTCGCCAGACCCATGACACCAGAATCGAAACTGATCGGCGAGTGATTTTTGCAATAAGAGGTCCAGATATCGTGGTAAAGACCCAAAGACTGATAGTTCCCGCATATTATACGAGACCAAAAGAAGACGAACAACAATGCAAGGCCATTACAAAGTTGTACATTACAACCAGTCATATCCAACATGTCACAAAACCAATGAACTTGAAGGAACGGATTCGAAAGCTGGTAAAGAATACCCCATGGCGCGTAGAACTGGAGAAACGATTGCTGTACGCATAATTAGTGAGCGCTGCAAGCGTTTCATATGGTAGAGGGTGTCATTGTATACATACAGAGGACGCACATAGAAGACCTAACGTGCATACAGAATGTAGCAACATTCCTGTACCAAAGGATCTAGTGTTCTTCATCATGGTGATCAAATCCCATAGATAATACCCCATAGAATACCCGGTAAGCATGCCCGCCTTCTTGCTGTACCCCCACAACCTCTCTTGGGCGTCTGTCATGTTCGATCTCTCTTGGTCATTCAGAACCACCCAGAGGGCCATGCCGCAGATGAAGGTTGAGTGTAGGAGTGATATGATGCGAATATTCCATTGCGTCTTCGTATGTGAGTAGGTGGAAGCACGCCAGTGGGGAAAGAAGTAGCTCAAGATTCGTGGTTGAACAACCCAATTCATAAGGCAACAAGCACCAAACATGAAGCTAATCTCCCGAGTGTGCCATGAGAAATCCATAGTAGTCGTATAGGTTGCGGCTAGTTCTCTCTTATCTCGTGTGGTGTAGAGAAAATGTAAGCAGAAAAGAGTTTACCGTCTTGGGTGTGAGGTGAGATCTCGAAGATATGGGATTTTATCAAAGTAAATATACTTTCCTAGGCCAAGTAAGTGGGCGCTTTTCGTTTGCAAAGCTACGAAGTTCGTAGGAAGTAAAGCGGTTAATCCTTGTAATAGTCAATGCGAAAGTCTCCTGAAACTAAGGGATAAATCTAAGTGTTCAAGAAAGTGCCGTAGGGGAATCCAATATATTGAAGCCGAGGCAGGTCAGCCGGGTGTTTGTTTCACCCTGCTGTGTTGGACCTCTTCCGAGGGGTCCACGGCCCATGACTTGGGGGGGAATAATGGATAAGTCTGATTACCCAGATAGTGCCATAGGGGAATCCAATATACTGAAGCCGAGGCAGGTCAACTCGGTCTTTGTTTGCACCCTTAGATCGTGAAGACGGAGACGGTATTGCTCCTCATCGATCAAGTGACCAGAGTCAAGGTGCTCAACAGTCTGCTTCAGGAGTTTTGAACCTCATCAACTATGGCGATCACGTCTTGAGCCACACTCGCAGTGCCCATGTAAGCCAGGACGTAGGCATTGGCTCCACGATCCACTGCATCGCAGCGGCAGCTAAATGCATCATCTAGAGTGAAGGCATATATACTAGCGCTACTAGCCCTATGTCAATGTCACCGTTGCCGGGGGACTCGAGGACAAAATAATCACGGTTAAGAATATCCTTTCTTAAAAGATTAAGGGGTGTTCTTAAATGAGGGGATGAAGAAACAAAGACAAAGCGACCCCGTATCATCCTTCGCAAGCCATGCCCTAAGCTTAAAGATTCACTGCGACCCCGCATCAACCTTCGCAAGACATGCCCTAAGCTGAAAGGTTTAATTGGACCCCGCATCATCTTTCGCAAGCCATGCCCTAAGCTTAAGGTTCAATGCGGCCCCGCACAACCTTCGCAAGCCATGCCCTTAAGCTTAAGGCTCGAATGCGTACCAAGCTTCGCAAGCCATACCCAAAGCCCAAGGTTTGATGCGCAGAAGCGGGTCAGGTGGCACGCTAGAAGCCGGCTCATTATCCGAATTTAGTCTAAAACATGCCAAGGATCCCTGTCAGGGTCCTTACTAATAAGGCCTTATCCCCATGGGGTATTAGACCACACCACTAAAGTACCCACATGTGGAAACGGCGTCCGGCATAGAGCCGCCTGTCGAGTTAAAGATGGGTAAACGATGCGTCACAGAAGTTAAGTCTGCATCTACACAGACAGTCTTACCCTTCAGCTTACCAGTATGCCCCGCTTGGGAAGATTTCGCAGGCAGAGAGACGACAATCCCGTTTCATCTTCTCCACCATGTGACGCCGCTTTGTCCTCTGGGTTCATTTGCGGGAGGGTTCGTTCGTCCACCTCTAGGGCCTTCTCTATTCTCCGATTGACCCAGGTGACAGCAGTGGTGAGTATCCCAGCATGCCCGAGTATAACAGTAGGTGGAGCTGCCGTGGTTTCCAGAGGCTAGAAAACTGGACACTTAACCGAACAACCCTCATCACCTTCTAATCTCTCTTCTACGAATATTCCGCTTCACTAGAAATGGCAGCAACCGCATCATGACTTTGATGGGCTGTCTTAACGACGACACCTTTGGACCAGTTGTCCAGGGGTGTCGCGACGACTTCGACTTTACGCAGAAGTTTGAGAGGATTTTATTCACTGCAGTTCCTGCTTCGGCTTTCATACTCGTGGCCATAGTCAGGGTATCTCACCTGGCCCAAAAACCGCGATTAGTGTTGGCGACGCCATTTCAGCTCGTCAAAATTGTAAGAGGCTATTTGTGCCAAATAAAAACGCAAAATCTTTGAGCGCAGTACTAATTTATGTCCAGCTGACGATTATTATCTATGCTGCTTCTCAACTGTCTCTTCTAGTTCTCCTGAGCATCGTGGACGCGGCTGCTGTACGTAGCTTTTCTATTGCCGGGATAGCTCTGGCCTTTACTGCTAGTCTCCTCATGATCGCCGTATCATTTCTCGAGCATGCACGATCACATCGAACGTCAGCCCTTCTTAATATTTACCTCCTATTTACCTTGCTCTTTGATATTGTCCAGGCCCGAACATTATGGCTTGTAATAAATTCTCGAAGCCAGGCTATATTTACCTATTTGTTCACAGCCTCGATCACCATAAAATTGATTGTCCTCGTCCTCGAAACTCACAGCAAGGCTAGATGGATTATCTGGGACGAGAAAGAGCACAGCCCTGAAGAAACAAGCGGAATCTACACCCTGTCTGTCTACTATTGGCTGAAGCAGCTTTTTTTACGAGGGTATAAGAGCATTTTACGCTTCGACGACTTGTACGGTCTAGATAGCGCAATGAGTGCGGAGACCACAGCCTCAAAGCTAATAGAGAAGTTAAATGATCAGAAACACCATGGTCAAAAGCCTTCTTTACTAAAGGCCCTTTTCAGAGCATTTTCTTGGCCGTTTTTGCTGCCCGTCTTTCCCCAAATTGCTCTTATCGCCTTCCAGTATTCTCAGTCATTCTTTCTGGAGACTTTGATTGAATATCTGGAGCGACCAGATCATGAGTCGTCTAAGAATATGGGGTATGGTCTTATTGTTGCATGTGCGCTGATATACCTCGGAATGACAGTATCTACCTCTTTTTACGCCTATCACAGTCAGAGAGCGGCGTCCATGGCCCGTGGGAGCTTGTGTGCAGTCATCTACAAAAAGACCACCGAAATAACCACCGCGACTGCTACCGACACGGCCTCGGTCACGTTAATGAGCACTGACGTGCAGCACGTTGAAACCGGCATTCGCCTTATGCACTTCATGTGGTCCAGTTTGATACAGGTTGGACTCGGATGCTGGTTGCTCTACACAAAACTTGGTGTCTCGTTCGTAGCACCTATCGTCATCATGTGCTTATGCTCCGGCATTCTTCTCTGGGTAATGACATTTGTTCAGAGTCGCCAGAGTGTCTGGATGGGAAAGATAGAAAGCAGAGTCGGCCTCACGGCCAACGTAATCTCCAACATGAAATACTTCAAGATGTTGGGCATTTCGGACCATGTAGCGGACTTGATACAGGACCTACGAGAGGAGGAGATTCGGGCCGGAACCAAGTTTCGAATCCTCTTGTTGGCCGCCTTCGGCCTCGGCTATATTCCGTTGTCCATATCGCCAGCGGTCACATTTGGGCTTACATTTAGAAACCTCGATGCCTCGACTCTGTTCGTTTCGTTGTCTTTTATGACACTTCTAACGACTCCCTTGTTGCAACTTTTTCAAGATCTACCTCAATGCCTAGCCGCCCTGACCAGCCTCCATCGCATCGAAGCATATTTAGCGAAACAGCCTTGGGAAGATTTTCGCCATCGGGATGCGCCCGGAGCTTCTGAAGGCCAGGTTATAGATGACCACAAGTCCTGGACTTCTGAAACCGCACTGGTGGAACTTCATCGCCCGGATCTCACACATGCTGCTAGACATCAAGCCGGTGTCCTGCCATCGTCCCAAGAGCCAGCATTCGAGATAGAAAATGGTTCGTTCGGTTGGGACGAGAGCAAAATGGTATTGAAAGATATTGATATTGCCTTCCCCAGCGGCAAAATGTCGATAATTGTTGGACCAATCGCGTCGGGAAAGTCAACTTTATGCAAAGTTCTTTTGGGTGAAGTTCCAATAGCCTGCGGAAGCACAAAAATTAAATTCCCCAACTCCCCTATCGGTTACTGCGCGCAAACGCCATTTCTCTTGGACGCGACCATAATGGAAAACATCATTAGCTATTCTCGATTTGATCAAAAGAAGTACGATGCAATAATTACTGCCACTATGTTGAGTGTTGATGTAGCAAACCTACCATCTGGTCATCACACCAAGATTGGGAGCAATGGAATCCTTTTGAGCGGCGGGCAGAAACAACGCGTGTCGTTGGCAAGGGCTCTTTACCTTGAATCGGAAGTCCTGATATTCGATGATGTGTTTAGTGGACTGGATGCCCCTACTGAGACAGAGGTCTTCAAGCGAGTCTTTGGCCCAGACGGGATCATCCAACAACGGAGGGCTACATCAATATTATTCACTCACTCGGTACGCCATCTTCCTTTCGCGGATTACGTCGTCGTTCTTGGGAGCGACGGCGGAGTCGTCGAACAGGGACCGTTTGATACACTTGCCAACAACGGCAAATATGTATCGAGCCTCGGCGTCATGACAACCACCCCAGATACCAATAGAGTGTCGAAGGCGGAAGATATACCGAAAGTTTCAATCCAACGCAAGACTCTACTAGAGATGAATAACGCCAATCAATACAGGCAAACAGGCGATTGGTCGATTTATGCACACAACCTATGCCGTGATTCCGTATTCGGGGGAGCCCTCAACTTGAATTTCTTGATCCCTGAAGAGTTACCGGAAGTTTCAATCCAGCACAAGGCTCCACTAGAGATGAATGACGCCGACCAAAGCAGGCAAGTAGGCGATTGGTCGATTTACATACACTACCTACGCAATGTCGCGACACGATCCGTTGCCGCGTGCATTATCCTTTGCATAGTGAGTGGAACTGCCGCAAACTTTTCCACAGTATGGGCGTCGTTCTGGTCCGAAAATTCTTTCGATCGACCAACAAACTTCTATGTGGGATTATACGGCTCAATACGTGCTTTGGAGCTCTTTTCCATACTTGGCGCGGTTGTAGGGCTGGTGCACATGGTCTCATCATCCGGATCAAATCTCCACAGACAGGCCATCATTACCGTTGTAAGGGCACCGTTGAGCTTTTTTACTACAACAGACACCGGTACTGTAACGAATCTATTTTCGCAGGATATGACTCTTATCGACGGAGAGCTACCGCTAGCCTTTATAAACACCTTTCTTGGTGTCGTTATTCTAATCGGGAACTGCTTTGTCGCCGCCATTGCATCGCCATATCTCGCAATAAGCTATCCATTCGTGGCTGGCATACTCTACGTGATCCAAGTATTTTATCTCAGAACATCAAGACAGCTGCGATTGCTTGATCTAGAAGCAAAAAGCCCACTATAGTAATTCGCTAGAAACAATCCATGACCCCAATGCCGATCCACTAACTTGACTGCAGCAACCACTTCATCGATACAACAAGAGATCTCGCTACTATCCGGGCTTTTGGATGGGTAAAAGATGAAATTGATACTAGCAATAAGTTTTTGAATGCGTCCCAGCGACCGGCGTACCTCCTGGCCATGATTCAAGCTTGGTTGCAGACGAATCTCACAATGCTGGTTGGGGTGATTGCCATCTGTCTTACCACGCTCGCCACCCAGCTCAGGACGAGCTCGAGCTTCACTGGAGCTAGTTTGCTCACGTTGATGAGTTTAGCGAGCACAGTGGCAGCTGTGATGCAGAGCTACACTCAACTTGAGACGTCCATTGGGGCAATCAACCGACTGAGGACGTTCAGCCAGAAGGTTAAGCCCGAAGACGGGAATGACGCAAACATGCCCATTCCAGAATTGTGGCCTACTTATGGTAGTGTATCGCTCAACGCTGTATCAGCATCATACAGGTATGGCTGCAGTACGCTTACTCTTGCAACTACAAGCTAACATATTTTCCTAGCACTAAAGCTGCAGATGCGGATGATAAGTCGACCGGTAAAAGCCCTCAAGCCCTCGCTTTAAACAACCTTTCTCTATATATTCGGCCAGGGGAGAAGGTTGCTGTTTGCGGAAGAACTGGCAGGTGAGTTTCCCTCAAACATATACGCGCTAAGCTTAATGTCTGACGTTAAAAAAGTGGAAAATCATCTTTGATGTTACTTCTCCTACGCCTCCTCGACCCTTTGCCAGGTTCGGAGAACATAGAAGTCGATGGCATACCTATTCATCAAGTTCACCGTTCAACTCTCCGGCAACGATTCATAACCGTTCCTCAGGATTCCATCTTCCTTCCGGGGGTAAGCAGTATCAAATTCAACCTCGACACCCTCAGCTCGGCCACAGATGAGGAGTGCATATCAGTGCTCGAGACAGTTCAGCTCTCCAGCTTCGTCCGAGCGTGCGGCGGTCTCCACGCACCAATGAGCGCCGATAGTCTCAGTGCGGGACAACAGCAGCTTTTTGGCTTGGGCAGGGCCGTCCTGCGACGAATATTGCGAGACAAGATGGGCGGGCCGAGGGGGGGTATTCTCCTGCTTGACGAAATGAATTCTAAGTTGGATAAAGACACAGACAGAATCACGCAGGAGATAGTTAGAGAGCATTTTGCGGATTATACTGTCATTATGGTAGCCCACCGGCTGGATATAGTGATGAACATGTGTGACCGGGTGTTTGTCCTAGATAAGGGCACGCTGGTTGAAGAGGGCAGTCCGAAGATGCTGGCTGCAACGAGCGAGAGTCGGTTTGGGGAGCTTTGGAAGGAAGATGCCTAACATACTTCATAAGTGAGCGCGCCTTAAGGTTAGGGCTGGTTAGGGGTTGGACGGTTTTGCAAGCTTTGTTAATAGGTAGCGAAATAAATATTCTCTTTGTCTGGTATATGTTCCGGCCCAACCGTGAACTATTCTGGTTCATGAACTGGCCGGCCCGTTCATGAACTGGCCGGTCCAACCATGATTTTTCCGGTTTACGGTTGGCCCGGCCTAACCGTAAACCACAAATAGTAGAAGTAATCAATTGATCTGCCCTGACGGTTCGTAGCGCATATCAATTAGGTCAATTTGAACCCTCTCCCACGCCCGTCCACTTATAATAGGAACTAATGGAGCTTTTGTAGTATTTGGTCTGTTT